GCTGGTACAATAAATAGCATTTTAAACAAAAGAATTTTACGCGGTATACAAAATTACACATTGTCTGATAGTGGTTACAATTTGTAAATTTTGAAAAGTTAAACCTATATATAATTGGGCCTTAGTGGGCTGATTAACTTCATTACAGCCCATTTAATTTAAAAGATGTATTGATTGAAAAGAGGAAAAAGTTAAAGAGTCAACGAAGATGATATGATGAAATGTGCATGGCGTGAGACTCTGCGAGACATGCACTCATCACGTGCTTGCATGTGTGTCTTTTTGCTTTCCTCTTTTTTTTTTTTTTTTGTTTATTCTTAGTTAAGTTAACATAAATAATCCCCAATACATAATTTCTTTTTCTTAATTTGCTAATCAGTTTCACATTATTAATTAGGCACGTAAATATGAAAATCTCCTCATATCCGGTGCCATTCTTGCCTTGAATCTTTCACCACTATTATATATAATAGCCCAAAGTTATATTCCAAAGAAAAAGATTTTAAAAAAGTTATATTCCTAATAAGAATTTAAGATTATACCGTCTTTGATTATCCCAAGTTCGTACTTTTTTTTTTAACTTTTCCTCAAGTTCGAACTAATTACATGCAAATATATCATGTGTATATATATATATATATATATATATATATATATATAGTATAATATATACGAATATTTTTCATAGCAAGAGATTAAACTATATGATATGGAGTAATGGAGAATAACATTCACAACTTATCCATGAATCTATTTTGTTTATAAATCTCGGTTTTAAGTCCAATATAATAAATCCATCTAGCTAACAACAATAGATCGACTAGTGCCCGTTTCATATTCTTGAAAATTTTATCGCAAAATGTTATCTTTTGTTTTCATATCTTTTAGAGTTCAATGGTTGCAAACTTGCCTAAAGCTAGCTATGATTGGTGCACACAAAAAAAAAGCTACTAAGGATCTAGTGCATTTTTTTTTTTTTTTTTTTTTTGATAAACCCTATCGGCTATCCGGTCGGCCCCGGTAGGAACACACCGAGGTGCTACATAGTGGACTGGTCCACCGTGTTAACGGCTAGGCCCTTCGGGCTACCACTCTGCCTATCCCGAGTTTGGAATGCCTTCCGACTAAGTGCCAGGGGGTAGTCAGGCCGCCTGCATTTCTGACTACCAGGTAAACCAATTGGACCAAAGCCCAACTGACAGACTTCCCACAATAATGTTGATAACAGCAGGAGGGAGGAATCGAACCAAGGATCTAGTGCATGCGTTTAATACATACAAAAAAGTACATGATCACTAGTGTTTTTAAATGATCAATACGATTGATATAAATAAACAATCAGAACATCAATTTGTAAAGTAAAAATGTTGAAAATACGTTTTATACCAACTAAAATGGTTTATCAATACTCTTTCTATTGTGTTATAATGCTTTTTTTTGGTCGGCTCTATTTTGGTAATGGTTAAAAAAGCATATATAACATGCGAATGTTCTTTTTAAATAGATTTTTCACGAAAAAAGGAAATGTTACAAAAAAAAACATAAATCTTTAAAGAAATGAAAATAAATTTAATTGCGGAGTGCTTTCAGGCTTTCCCTCTATCCAATGCATCCTATCTTTCTTGTCCTCTTTTGCAAGAATGCATCATATCTCAAAACCTTGAAAATTCGTTATTTAAAGTAAGATTGCATCATAATTTAGATTTTAGAGTCATAATATTACTTGGATTTTTTTTTTTTTTTTTTTTTTTTCAAACAATAAAACAATAGAGATCAGAGATATTACTTGGATTTTATTCACATTAACACCTTTTTTTTGTGGTTCATATAATTTTAAGAAGCCTGGCGACTTGTAGGCTCGATGGACGGAGCTGAGAATTCTGTTTTCTTTTATCTATTTTTGAAACAGTTTTTTTCTGCGTATTTATTTTTATGGTTCATATAATTTTTTTTTGTGTGCACCAATCATAGCTAGCTTTAGGCAAGTTTGCAACCATTGAACTCTAGTGTAGAGTGAAACTACTAATCATATTCATATCCTAGTTCAGAATATTTTAAATTTATTTATCCTTTTATAAACTTATAATTAGTGTATTTGAATATAATTTACCTAGGATATTATGCATATATAATGATGAGTAATAGTATATAAAAATAGTATAAACATAAATACCATATGTACAAATATAAAAAGATGGCGCAATGGTGAAGCAAGGCACCCCAAGGCAAAGAAGTGAGCTCATAAAGTCACTGAGACTTCTTCTAATATTCGGCTGCTCCCCTTTTTATCTTTTGTTTTTCATATTATTAAATGAGTTTATTAAAAGAAAAAAGCACCTCCCATGCTTTATATATAACACACTTGAGTCATACGAGATTTAGAAAAAAAAAATATATATAACCTATATATATATTTCATGGTTGATATAATCAAAGTTGTTAACGACAGAAGATAAACTAACAATCTTGAATTTAGCAACCCCCTCTCCATTAGTCAAATTTACATTTAATTATCAAGATTCTCTTTAACTTTTACTATATGCATATGTCGAAGCTTTGGATTCCACGGGAAATTAGAAACTCATCGAATTCAATTATTCATATTACAATAAACGAATGACCTGTCTTCCTACACATTTGGTAACTAAATAGAGAAATTAGAAAATCGAGCAACATACATATATCATTAAGGTTTTCTTAATTTAAATTCTTCTTGTGTTTTTCATATGCGTTGATCATGATGAATCCTTGTGGCTATTAGATGACCGGTCAATGCAAATCTCTCTAATCTATATAAAGGTTTCCAATGATAATCAACTTATTATTGACACGTATTACTTGGAATGCAATATAATTAGCATATATATTATTGGATAAAATACATTACTTAGTCATGCAATTGAAAATTTGTAACGTCATTTCATGATTTGGTCTCTCACTGACTCACTCTATTCCACACAATCTGCAACTGCAGAAACAAAGTACATTTTAGCAGGGAACTAAATTACTGGGTACTTAGAATTATAGACGGTTAAAAAAGTAACCATAAGGATTTTTTGTTTTAATGTAACCATTAGGATTTAATTTGCATTATTGTTTAATGTATGAAAGAAAGTAAGAAAATAAAAACAAAGAAAAGAAATATCATTTTAAAGCTCAAACAAATTAAAGTAGGTGGCCCTTGAGAATTTGGGTGTCATATTCTTTGAATCTTCACAAATATGGAACCATATAAATTATTTCTTCATAATTATTTTGCAACTCTCTTCCTTAAATACATACAACTAATATCTCTTTTTTTTTTCAAAAGCAGGACAGATAGTTTAATGGTAAGCTAAAACTACAAATGTATCATCAACCGGATTTAAATCTTGCATAATGCATTTTTTTTTTGATAAACAATTGCATAATGCATGTTGTTAAAAGAAAAAAGTTGTCTATCTTCTTTATTAACTATATTAAATATATTACTATAATCACTTTATGTTGTTACTAAATACTACTCATTCCGTTTCAATTTAGTTGTCATTTTAGTACTTAAATTTTGTTTCATAATAATTGTCGTTTTAAATTTTCAATACAAATGTTTTGTAAAAATTTTAATTTTATTTTCACTGTTTTAATGTCTTGACCAATAAAAAGATTAGAGAATATATTGAGTAAAGGTAAAATAGAAAATTTAATTATTTTTTTAATTTATGTGCAAAAATCTTAAACGACAACTATTATGAAACAATTCGACAAGTAATTGAAAACGGAAGAAATAACTAATAACCCCAAAACTAATAAGCTTTTTTCTTACGTTACAACTTACAAGCATATACTTTCTTCCCTTACATCTTATGTTTGTTAGGTCAGTCAAAGCTTTTTTCGTTCACATCTAGAATTTCAAAGGGCTTTTGTATTTCACATCTTCTAGCACATATAATATATATAGACATTTTCGTTCATATTTAGATTAATGTTTTTTTTTTATCTTCTCGTCTAAAAATAGACAGTCAGGCTTGGACAGTAAAAGATAAAAGTGAAAAAAAAAAGTCGTTCAAATGGCGTTTTCACATGGCAGTTTGTTCATTGACTTCTCAATTTTTCTTTATTGACTTCAAAATTTAATCTAAATATATATGTTGGGAAATTCAAAACCTAACAAAAGGTTAGTACAAAGACTTGAGGACAAGGAATACCAAGCTGTCACAACCTAATTAGTAATTTAAAATGCATGATACTATGATGGTTAAACCAAAAAACAAAGACTTAAAAGATTTCAAAAGTTAATCAATGTTTGTAACTGTTAATTAGGACGAGATTCCAAAGTGACGAATCTTTTAATGGGGGTTTTGATAAATAAAACTATACATTACATAAGCTCTATTTATGAGTAAATGACCACGTCATGAGGTAAAATAATATGGTCTAATGATTTGATTTATCTTTGTTTTTTATAATGTTGTGAAGAAAGAAAAACTAGAAAAAGATTTTTTGTTAAAAATAAAATAATTAAACCATTACATGTATTAGTGTATTACATAATGAGAAATGTTTAAGATGTTTAAACGTATTAAATAATTAATTTATAGTTTTAATACAAACGGATAACTTTAATAAAAAGAATTTTGGATATGTATTTTTTCTATTACAAAAAGAAGAATCTCCTTTAAGTTGAAAAAGATTTATTTTATCTTTGATAGAATCTTAACTCTTACTATTAATGAGAAAAAAATCGAATAAATTACAGAGAGATCATATGTTAATAAATAATAATAATAATCAAAGTGGTAATAAAAATAAATGAGTAAAAATCCCTCAAAAGACCAAAACCATCTCTCTCTATCTCACAATAAAGACAACTTCTCTCTTTTAATGTCTCTCTGTCTCTCTCTCTCTTCTTCTTCATCTTCTAACACCAATTCAAGAAAGAAGGAAGCTTAAGAGTCTACCAATCAATGGAGTTTCATCTTGAACATCCTCTCTCACATTCTTCACTCCACAATAACTTCAACGACGACACAAACGATGAAACTTTACCACACTCTCTCTTCCTCGTCGAGTTTCAACACATGCCTTCTTCTCATTACTTCCATAGTCTCAAGTCCTCTGCTTTTCTTCTTTCTAATCGAAACCACGCCATTAGTTCAATCATTCAGGTCTTTTTTAAAAATATTTTCTGGGTTTAGTTCTGAATACTGAATCGTTATCGAAAAAACTTAACTTTTTCTTATTTGTACTGAAAAAATCGCAGTATTCAAGAAAATTCGACGACCCATCTCTAACGTATCTTGCTGTGAATTATCTAGACAGGTTCTTGTCCAGCGAAGATATGCCGGTAAAAACAGAATCTTCCGACAGAATCTGTCCTTTGTTGTTTCATCTGAGATTTGACTAAATTTTTATTATTGTTTTGTCAACAGCAATCAAAGCCCTGGATTCTCAGGCTTATCTCTCTTTCTTGTGTCTCTTTGTCTGCCAAAATGAGGAAGCCAGAGATGTCTGTTTCTCATCTTCCGGTAACTATAAACAAAAAGAATGAATCTTTTTACAATGTGAATGTGTTTTAAAAGTGTTGATTAGTTTCAGGTGGAAGGTGAGTTTTTTGATGCTCAGATGATAGAGAGAATGGAGAATGTGATTTTAGGAGCTCTTAAATGGCGAATGCGCTCTATTACTCCTTTCTCCTTTTTCGCCTTTTTCATTAGTCTCTTTGAGCTCAAAGAAGATCCTTTGGTACTAAAACATTCCCTCAAATCTCAAGCCATTGATCTTACCTTCAATCTTCAACATGGTAAAAATTTTTGATGTTTTCTTCAATCACAATCATATCTCATGATTTGAATTGAATGTCTAAAATCTGTTTTAAAACGTTGCAGATATCAGATTCCTCGAGTTTAAACCATCGGTGATTGCAGGCGCCGCACTTCTCTTTGCTTCTTTCGAGCTCTGTCCTCTAAAGTTTCAATGTTTTAGTAACAGAATCTACCAATGCACATATGTAAATAAGGTAAAGTTTTGAACAAGTAAAATGATCTCAAATCGAGCTTTTTTCAACGCGGTACTAAGCGAGCATTAAACGTGGTTGCAGGATGAGTTAATGGAGTGTTACAAAGCAATACAAGAGAGAGATATAGTTGGAGAAAACGAAGCAAGCTGCTCTGAAACAGCAGTAAATGTGCTTGATCAGCAATTCTCGAGCTGTGAAAGCGATAAGAGCATCACAATCACAGCTTCTTCACCTAAGAGGAGGAAAACTAGTACTCGTCGATGTTAAGCTGAAAAGGTGGTTTATGGTCAAACATAATCGCAGATGAATCAATCACTTAGCAACTTAAAGAAAACCACTTCTGGTCCCCTTATGAAAATGACACTTGCTTCCTTTCCTGTATCTCCATCCATCTTCTGCTTCAAAATAAGCCATTCTCTTCATGGAAGACAAGAGAGTGATGAATGATCAAAGACAAAATCTCGGGTTCCGTTCCGTTTCTTGTTCCTTTGGACCACAACACAGAACTCAAAATTCAAAAAAAAAGATATGAAATTATCAGTCTGTAGTATTTATCTATCTACCTATCAATCATGTTCTGTATTTACAGTTTTGGCTTTGTGGAATTAAGTTGTTTCACTTGAGGGGAATAATCAATAAATATTGTTCTTGTGTAGTATAACCCTATGGTTATGTTGTTATTAATATTGAGCAATGTGGTCACGAGATAAAAATGGATTCAATTTTCAGGAATAAGATTTTGTCTTATGAGACTTCGTTATCCGAGTTATATGGATCCAGTTGCCAGAATCTCTGTTGCAGGCAGGCAATATGATACTCTCTGGACCACTTTCCACAGTATTGAAATCATTCAATTGCTTTTGTTCTTACTGTGTAAATCAACCCCTTGTACTAACCCATAATAGGCCCAGTAGGCATTATAATGGGCCAAGATTATGATATAAAATAACCAGTCAAGCCCACTAATGATAACAAAGAGATTTAAGATTTCTCCAAGAGATAAGAGATTCGAAGTCTGTTTGCAATATATCTCAGACTGTGCTGAAAAGAATGTATAACATGGTTTCCAATTTCAGACATTATTGAGAAGCTAAAAGAATCAAAGCTTCTGATGTAAATGGTAATGCACAACAACAAAACACAAAGATGAAGAAGATGAATAAAGGGAAGAAAGTATATATCTATCACATCTTCATCGTTACCTCACAAAGGAAATCACAGCCAACGAAAGGGAGAGAGAGATCAGATAGGTCCGAGAGTTCCTTCACTTCGACTTCTTCGCATAGAGAGCTCAGATCTCAGACTAGACAATCTATCAGCAGTAGCAACGTGATAATTCTCGTAAGCAGCTGGAGATATTTTGTGTCCCACAGGTGGAAGACGGCTGCTTCTCTCCTTAGACCGTTTCTGCAAAGCTGGTGCTTTACGAGCTGCAGAGGATCCGGGTTTGTGAGAACTGGATGCACCATGGCTACTCTTCCGGCTACTGTTTTTGAGCTCTGATCTAAGGCCTCGGTCCAACTGATGTGTGCTTGTCCCGAGCCGAGCATCTTTAGTGCCTTGTCTATTATAGTATACCAAATTTGGAAGAAGTCCCAAAAGGTACTTTCTCAGTTGTTCATCACCAACATTCTTCTGTGCAGGGTTACCTTCCAAGCTTATAGCCTGAAGAGAACTGTAATTTGCAGCGAGCTGGCCAAGACATTTGGTGGTTGAAAACTTATTGAAGCGTAAATCCAAGACCGTCAATTTCAAGAGACGATGAAGACCCTCGATTTCGCTGATTTTGTTCCCAGCTAGGTATAGTTCTTTCAGAGAGGAGCAAGAAGCCAGACCTAAGTCAACAAGAGAAAAGAAAAGGGAAATACATCAAACATAGTTTTCATATAAAAGCAGATAACTAGAGAATGTTGATGAGCAAAGGTCAGGCCATACCATGACCAAGTCTCAGTATTCGGTTGTAACTCAAATCTAATACTCGAAGCCGAGTGAGTTCACGTAGGCCCTCAATCACGGAGATGCTGTTCTTCGACAAATTCAATGCATGTAGTCCTCGAGGAAGAGCACCAGCGGTTATTCTAACTGGAAAATATAATAAGGCCAGTAAAATAGAAGAAACGAAAACAAACAGTATGTGAAGCAGACTAGCAAGAAGGAAAACTATAGCTACCTATAGCATTTCCTGAGAGATTGAGAGCTCTCAGACCAACAAATGCACTGAGGAATGGTATCACAACCAGACCATGACTAACCAGCTGGGCTGTGGTTGCCGAAGCACTTAGAGAGGATATATACTTTTTCGCAGCTTCCATTCCAGGAGTTAACTTGATGGCATCCACTTTAGCAGAAGCTGTTACTGGCTCATTCAACACGACGGGTTCTCTTGGCAACTCATCGTCGTACCCTGTTATTTCATCAGCTTCTTCAGACAAGTTTACATGCTGAAGGTCATTGACCCAATCCTCAATACGCTTGAATTTAGAATCCTTTCCTGGAAATTCTGCTTGCTGGTTTGATGTTTCTCTTTCAAGAAACTTTGTTAATTTAAGCTCATCTGTTGGTGGTACGATCCAATCTTTTGCCAAAGAAGAATAATCATATGCATCATCATATCCATCCTCCACGAGATTTTCCTTGTTGTTATCTCCAGAATTATGCATATCATAGTCCCGATCTTGATCTTGCTCTTGCTTCACCTCGTCATCAGTCTCATGGACAGATTTATCTGTTTGGTGCATGCCGCGATCATGAAGGTCATCAGAGGATCTAGAGTGGTGAGAAGAATATTTGAAAGGTGAAGACTTCTCTGATGAAGAGTCAGCAATATTAGGCATTGAATTCGACCTCACCATCAAAGGTGAATCATGAGGTGTTTGGCTGTTTGAGTTGTCCATCTGTTCACCATATAAGGATGTATCATCGAGTTGACGGCTGTCTTTATCAGTATGATGAAGATCTCCAACCGAGAAAATAGACCCACAGAGTGCCTGACTTGAACCCTGGTAAGCAGAAACTGAAGCTCGAGGAGCTTGCTGATACAGATTAGGACTTCCATCTATACGCTTGCTGCTGCCTGCCTCATGAGTACCACTCTGTTGTTCAAGAGAATTTGGAGAAGTAATTCGATCTGATCCATCCTCTGTTCCGTTCTCTGTGGCATCTCGCCCATCCAAGTATAGTTCATTTCCATGAGACTGACTTTTCTTGAGATGCTGCATCTGATGCGTCCCAATATCATGCTCAAGAATACCACTGGGCTTAATTTCCTCAGATTTCCAGACACGCTCAACAGCAGCAGAGCCAGCTGGCTTGCTGTTTTCACTAACAGAAGCAATGTTTCTCCCAAATATAATTGAGCTCAATCCTTTTGATTTAGACCCATCTTCTTTGATCACTCGTTCTGAAAATCCTTCAACAGATTTCTGCATCACCAGAACATAGAAACGAATTAGCGTCCTCATATGGGACAAAGGAAATCTTGCGCAGGGGAACGAAAAACTACCATTCTAAGACAAGAGGCAATGATGCTTCAACTTACCTTAGGTCTATGGCGGTGGATGTGAGCGTTGAAGCATGAAAACCTGACCATTGTGTCAAACTTAATAACATTGAACTACATCACCAAAAGGAAACTAAACAAGCAAAACCAAACCACAAAAACTGTTCCTTAATTTACAACCAACAACTAACTAGAAGAAACAATTAAGATCAAGTTACGTTTTTGCACGAATAGAAAGTTGTTATTAAAAGCTTTAGAGGTGGTGGTATTGTGGGCGTAGTAAATGTTAGCCGTAATCAAGGGTAAGACCCTCAGAAACACGACGGAGCCTCCAAATGATTGAAGCTAGAGAAATCCTTGGAAGAGAGAGTGAAGTCAACACTTCAAGGCCACCCCACACCTGCGCCGAGGTGCGAGAAGCACACGACTTTGCAGAAGCGGCCAGAGTGAAGAACAATTGTTCCGAGCTTAATAAAGCCCTGTCCTTTTTTATTCCCCAATTACTTGGTCACCTGATCAAACAATTTAACAATAGTAAGACAAAAAAACAAAAGCAAAAAGCTTGCAAGTCAGATTATAAAAGGAAAGAACAAAATCCATGGAGATAATCTTTTCAATACATACCAACAAAATCTAATCAGCAATCAAAACCATCAACTCATGGACGAAATTACGGAGAAATAAGGTCAACAAGTTCACAAAACAAAAACCCGTAATAACAAAACACGAACAAGTAATAAAACTAGCATCACACACGAGAACTCGCAGGAACCAACACAGAATCGGAGAACAGTGAAATCAGGAGAAGAAGAAGAGAGATTCTTACCAGAGAGGAAAAGGATTGGGATTTGAAACCCAGATGATTAATTAAGCGAAAAGATTGAAAATCAGTTGCAGAGAAGAAACCAATTCTAAATTATCTTCAAACTTTGAGGCAAAGCTACGCTAACCCTAAAACAAAACAAAAAAAAAACATTTTTGGCCGAATCAGAATTGTACCACATACTTTTACGAAAACTAGTCAACGGCTCTGATTTTTTCTCACGTGACGATAACTCCTAGTCACACATTTTATAAACCGGACCGCCTTTCACGACTAAACCGGTTTATCAATATACTTTGGGCCTAACTTGAGCTTTAATAATAAATGGGCCTTACTTTGTTATTTTCACTTGGATTCTACAACAAACTCAATTCTGTCAAACCGGTAACGGTTTAGGAGCAAATTTCAACAAAAAAGGCTATTACAATCTGTGCTCATACTTTGGTCATTGTATCTCTTTGGGGACCGACCATATATATAAGTTAGTTACGAAAATGAAGAGAGCTCTAACTTTTACCAATTACACGATGTAACACTTTTTTCACATCCTAAACCGGTTTCATCATATCTATACAAACCGGAATTTCCTAATCTTCCTTTGTATCTTTGCTTAGTCCATAGAAGAAGAGCTAGATTCGTCTGTCTCATCGTCCCCGCTTATACTAGAGGGCAATTCTACACCAGACCTACAAACATAACATAGTATGATCCAATAAGCCAATTTGATTTCTATTTTGGGACAATATATGGCATTGCAATGGTTGGTTACTAACCGATTTATCTGGCTTTTTCGTTCAAGAATCTCGCTGTATGATGATTTTGGTGCATAAACTTGCTGAATATACCCATGTTTCACTCGTTTGGCAACCTATTGACATGTGTTAAAGGTCAGAACAAGAACTTGATAGAGCCTCTAAACTTTGTTAAAAAATACATCAAATATCTAAATCTTTAAGATAGTTAACCATCAAACTCACCGGTGGTTCATCAGTCGAATGCAATTTCTCTCTATGCGATTTCATTTGATTCCTCTCTCCGTGATACTTTCCCGCCTTTTAAGAAGGTATCACACAAAACACAAGTCATATTTCCATAAAAGAGCAAGGAAAATATAGACATGGAAGTATTAGACAAATATTTACCATCCCAGAAGATGGACCTCTATCCATTGAGTCAGGGGATCGGCTTCTACTCGGAGGCAACAGCTTCGAAGATTTAGTGAGATATCCGGTCTTGCGTCCGCCATTTAATATATGTTTATCATAATCATGAGACTGATTGGTTTCAATGTTGCTTCCAGAAAGATTATGGAAGTTGGCAATCATATTGTTTCTCGAACCTTCAGCCCAACTTTTGGAGCTTATCCGACCATTCTTGCTGTTAGTTACAGGGATTTCTCTTGGTGAACCTTTTAATGTCTCTTTAAACGATTTGTGGTGAGGGACAGAATTATAGAAACTGGGAGAAGGGGATTTCAGTCTTGGTTCCCCAAGACTCTTTTTATCTCTTAGACCAGGCTCCATTCCAACCATTATGTCATCATCATCATCATCATCATCCTCTGAATCTGGATCTGGCGAATGCATCTTTGATTTACGAGCTAATTCATAGCTCTATAAAGACATTAAGACAGAAAACGAAGTAAGATATTAATAATACCTCAGAGAAAACAAGATACTTTAGCCAAGGAATGTGATGGCAGATTAAGATTCTAGGTTATTATCTCCATGGGTATGTAATATATAGGAAGGAAGCTTCTGAAAGTTCACTTACAGGACCAGGATTAAAGCTCTTCCTAGTTCCAAGTAAATGTGGAGGATGAGACCGTCTTTGATTCCCAACATAGATTGGCTCTGACAAAACAGTTGATAGAAAAAGCAATCAAATCCGACTGGACATGGGTAAAGGCATTCACAATCTGACACACGAAGAAGATGGTTTTAGCTTCTCTGAACCACTTACTGAATACTCATAACATCATTAACCAGAAGATTAAAGGTAAAGTTGATTTTAATCATGACTCACCTTGAACTATAGCATTAGTCTGAGGCTCAAATGCACCGGGAGGAAGAGGATCAAATTCAACCCCCAGAGGTGGACCATCCTCTTGGTATTGTCTTCCTAATTGTCTCTTTACGGCAGTGATAGCAAAATTCTCACTCTCTCCCTTCACTTTCAAGTATCCCGAAGGCTTATTATACCCATAGCTTCTCATGACCTGAGGATGCTGGATAACGTCTTTATGTGCAACATATCTAGAACTTTCCACATCGCGGATTCCATCTTTGCTAGAGACAAGATTCTTATGTAATGATGAGCTACGATCAGAAGATGTACTATCTTCACCATCAGCATTTCCCATGTAAGAGCCCCCATAAAGCCTTTGACTTTCAACTTCCCTAGGCTTGGGGTTCCAGTAATCCGTTTGCTTTGTGCTACCACATGAATCCTGTCGAAGCCCGCTTCCACGATCCTGAAGAACAACACTTGACCGATCTTGGCTCCCGATGGCGTTCCCATCTTCTTTTACATGACGTTTGTCTTTTAACCTTCTATGGCAGAACCAACCTGAAACTTGCTTCTCAGTTAATCCTATTTCCCCTGCTAACTTACCCTTCATTTCTTCGGTCGGATACTTATGCTCTGTAGAAAAAAAAAATCACACCTGTAAAGCATATACAACTTGGCATAAAGGAACAAATGCAAATAACAAAGCCATAATTTACCATTGTAAAAATTCTCAAGCGCCATAACTTGGATAGGAGTCTTAAGCTTCCGTTTTTTGCTGTTTTCTGTAGAGGCTTTATCGCCATCAGCTAGCGCCTCGCCTGAATCTATCAAAAATAGCACATACAAATAAAAAAACATAAGAAGATAATGGTGAGACATGGACATCTTTCAATAACCAAAAGATGCAAAGCCCTGGCCAAAATTGATTCTTTTTAAATCATGCTTTGTGTTTTAAGAAATGTTGCCAGTAATTCCACAATTCAGGTAACAAAATCTACACAAGTTTCAGCAATTATGACCTTTCTCACATCAGCCAAATGCTTCTAAACCCAATCAAAACACAAGAAAACTTGGAAATTTCTTGGGAATTTCTTAGCTTGATTAATTTAGTACCATTAAACAAACAAAAAAGACTCAAAATTTCCAATGCCATGAATGAATTTCACTAATTGAAACTACAAAATTGGGAGTTGCATTGTAATTCGACGAACTCGGGATCATGAAAACTATTCTCTCACGTAAACTCGCACGAAGACAGAGATTGAAATAGAGGAAGACACGAATTTCACCTGAGTGCATAGCGAAAATTTCCAGAGATTGAAGGAACACAAAACCTAATCAGCTCCCAAAAACCCAGATTTTTTTTTTCTTCAAAATTTTGATTTTTCTCATGTAAGGAGAATAAAAAACTCCTCTTCACACACAAATGACAATTCTCTTGAGAACCGGACCGGTTTTAGTAAACCGGAACATGGGAAATACTTGAACCGGGTAGACTTAACTTTGGGCCTAATTGTGGGCCTAAATTGGACAACGAAGAAATAAGAAGAGAGGCGTCGAATGTTTTTTGTGACAGAACCGCCATGGCTACAGCTTCAAGGTTTCTACGGAAATTGCCGAGGTTTCTCAAGCTTTCTCCAACTCTTCTCCGTAGCAATGGCGTAAGATTTTCTAGCAATTTGATTCAGGGTTCCATAGAACCGTTGGATTCCTTCTGGCGAATAGGATCTCGAATCAGCCATGATTCTTTTACTACCAGAAGCTTCTCTTCTCAAGGTCCTGCTTCTGTCGATTACAGGTACTTTAATCCTAATCTGATCTCCTTTATTATATCTAAATCGTTAATTTCATGAGAATATGAACAAACTGGAAGAAAAACAGTTCGGTTTTGCAGGAGGATGAGTTTCACAAATTAGCCAACTTCACAATAAATCACCTTCTTGAGAAAATGGAGGTACCTAAAGCTGGAACCTTTTTCTTTCTAGTTAGGGTTCTTTGTTTTCCTTTAGATTGCAATAGCTTATACTATGTTCCTACTTACAATGTCTTACTGGAACAACATGATTCATGTTCAGGATTATGGTGATAATGTTCAGATTGATGGTTTCGACATAGATTATGGGGTAAAGATTAATCTCTTTTATGCATTTAAGATCTTGTTGCTATTTTTCGAAATCTATGTATGCTTATTATAGTTAGTCCTTGTGGCTGTTTCCAACAGAATGAAGTTCTCACCCTTAAGCTTGGATCTTTAGGCACTTATGTACTGAATAAGCAAACTCCAAATCGACAAATCTGGATGTCTTCACCTGTGAGGTAAAGACTCTTGCTTTCCTTTTGAAAGTTGCTAACTTTAGGCGTGTAAAATCGAATTTCTCACTGGACTGTATCTTCTGGTTTTTTGTACTCATAATATATGGAGAAATGAAACCGTTTATGACTATGTAGTGTAGCTCTTGACTTTGTGCTTCCACATCTTAGATTCACATTGATGTCATCTTCATTCTTCCTTTTGTTTCATCGTAGTGGCCCTTCTAGATTCGACTGGGACCGTGATGCTAATGCATGGATTTACCGGCGAACCGAAGCAAAGTTGCATAAACTCCTGGAAGAGGAGTTAGAGAATCTATGTGGTGAACCAATCCAACTCTCATAAAGAAGGCTTTAAAACAAATTGTGAGCAAAAGGGTGTTCATCTAGGAACTTGAAACTGCTATACCCTTTTAAAGGTATATCTATGAAACATTCAGAGGAATAAACAAACAAGGCACAAGACAAAGTTGTTTCAGTGTGAAGCCCGATTAGTGTTTGTGAATCTACTTTAAACAGTATTTTTTCATAGTGACATTGTTACTAGTCTCTTTGTTTAATCAGAGCTGAAGCTTCTTTTTACGCGTTTTAATCAAAATATTTCTTTTCAATGACAAAAGTCCTACGTTTGTCAAAACTCCTCGAATCTCACAAAATTTCCGGGGAAAAGTTGGTTAACAAAGTTTGCAGGGTCAACCTCCACTCTTTCAAAAGCACCAATAAGGACAAAAGATTGACTTCTTCAACACCATTGTCCCCTTTGTCTCTCTCACTGTAAGGAAATACTTGGAATACGTATATTTCAAAAAAAAGTTGGATTTGTTTTACTATTTAGAGATCCTTCACCGAAAAAGTTGAAACAAAGTTCGTGGATTGATCACATGTGGATCTACATACAGTGGCTAAGCGAGTGTAAAGTGGTATCTACTACTTTCATGGCTTTTGGTTCAGATGCTCAAGTGAGACTTGTTCTGCTTTTTCTTGGAAACATCTTAAAACACATTATTAGCTGCGTTCCACATATTTACTTTTCAGGTGGGTCTTTCGTTGACGTTGAGGCAAACTTTTTTCTTTTTTTTCTTTGGACACGTTTTGAGTTCTTATGAAGACATAATGGGAGATATCAGATGAGTAAGACATGGTTAGTACTGGTCAGAGAATGATTTTTTCTGTCTTCTTCTATATGTTTTTGCTGCAAACTTTTCGATTAGATTGCTTTGTTGCAGTTCAAGACTCCAAAATATTGTTCAAAGGTTCAACATTGATCAATGACAGCAACGGAGACACTCTTGTTTCAGCTGGTCAGAGATTTGAGCTGGGCTTCTTCACTCCAAATGGAAGCTCTGATGAAAGAAGGTACTTAGGGATTTGGTTTTACGACTTACATCCACTTACTGTTGTCTGGGTTGCAAATCGTGAATCTCCGGTTCTTGACCGTTCCGGCATTTTCACCATCTCTAAAGATGGCAATCTTGAAGTTATTGATTCTAAGGGAAAAGTGTACTGGGACACCGATGTTGAACCTTCCTTAGTCTTTGCGCAGAGAACGGTAAAGCTGATGGATAATGGTAATCTTGTGTTGATGAGTGATGGAAATGAAGCAAATGTGGTTTGGCAAAGTTTTCAGAATCCTACTGATACATTTCTCCCAGGGATGAGGATGGATGAGAATATGACTTTATCATCATGGAGAAGCTTCAGCGATCCATCACCTGGAAATTTCACCTTTCAGATAGATCAAGAAGAAGACAAACAGTTTATCATTTGGAAAAGATCAATGAGATACTGGAAATCTGGAATTTCTGGTAAATTCATCGGATCCGACGAGATGCCTTATGCGATTTCTTACTTTCTTTCCAATTTCACAGAGACGGTAACTGTCCACAATGCCTCTGTGCCTCCTCTCTTCACATCTTTGTATACCAATACAAGGTTCACCATGAGCTCCTCTGGTCAAGCTCAGTACTTCAGGTTAGATGGAGAAAGATTCTGGGCACAGATTTGGGCTGAACCTAGAGATGAATGTAGTGTCTACAATGCTTGTGGGAATTTTGGTAGCTGTAACAGCAAGAATGAAGAGATGTGTAAGTGTTTGCCTGGTTTTAGGCCTAATTTCCTGGAGAAATGGGTCAAGGGAGATTTTTCTGGTGGATGTTCCAGGGAGTCAAGGATCTGTGGTAAAGACGGTGTTGTGGTGGGAGACATGTTCTTGAATCTGACTGTGGTTGAAGTAGGAAGTCCGGATTCACAGTTTGATGCACATAATGAAAAAGAATGCAGAGCAGAGTGTTTGAATAATTGCCAATGCCAAGCTTACTCATATGAAGAAGTTGATACACTTCAAAGCAATACGAAGTGCTGGATTTGGTTGGAGGATCTCAATAATCTCAAGGAAGGTTATTTAGGTAGCCGCAATGTATTCATTCGCGTAGCAGTTCCCGATATAGGTAAACAATCTCTATCGATTTCGTATTATATGAAATGCTTTTAAAATGCGTTAGGAAATATAACTGTTGATGGTTAAATTGTTGTTAAATTCTGCAGAGTCGACCAGTAGAGATTGTGCGACATGCGGCACAAATGTTATTCCTTATCCTTTGAGCACGGCTCCTGGATGTGGCGACAGTAATTACCTTAATTTCAACTGCAATATGTCGACTGGTCAAGTCATTTTCAAAGAATTTAACAGCTCATACAATGTTACAAGTATTAATCCGGATACTCACAGATTCTTGATCAAAATAAAAGATGTTATAGTAAACTGCACAACTCTAAATCAGATGAGCAGAATTTCAGAGTTAAAGCTATCTTCGCCTTTTTATCTCACGGGGAAGTGCAATGCAGATATGGTTACTGGTGGAACTGAAGTGGAGATTCGTTGGGATCCTCCTCTTGAGCCAACTTGCTCTTTATCTGCAGACTGTAAAGACTGGCCTAATTCATCCTGCAGGAAATCTGGAGACCAGAAGAGGCAGTGCGTCTGCAATCATAATTTTAAGTGGGATGGATTCAATCTGAACTGCACTCAAGGTTAAGCTATGACAACAAAACTCATTTCAAACTCTTATTGCAAAGATGTATCAGTTTTTCTAATAAAGGCTCTCATGCAGAACGAGCTCGTGGAAGATACGGGGAAGCTAAAACACCGGTGGTTTTGATCATTGTGGTGACTTTTACAAGTGCAGCCATTCTGGTTGTTCTGTCAAGCACTGCTTCTTATGTGTATTTGCAAAGAAGAAAAGTAAACAAGGAACTAGGAAGCATACCAAGAGGAGTTCATTTATGTGACAGTGAGAGACATATTAAAGATTTGATTGAATCGGGAAGGTTTAAACAAGATGATAGTCAAGGCATAGATGTTCCATCTTTTGAGCTCGAGACCATCCTATATGCAACATCCAACTTCTCAAATGCAAACAAGCTAGGCCAAGGAGGGTTTGGACCGGTTTATAAGGTTTGAATGTGATCTTCCGATCTGATTTTGATTTTAGACTCTTTGTTAATACAGACTTCAAATATTTTGTGGCTTGTGTGACTCAGGGAATGTTTCCTGGAGATCAAGAGATTGCTGTGAAGAGGTTATCTCGCTGCTCGGGTCAAGGACTGGAGGAATTCAAGAATGAAGTTGTTTTGATTGCCAAGCTCCAACACCGGAATCTTGTTCGACTCCTTGGCTATTGTGTTGCTGGAGAGGAGAAACTGTTATTGTATGAATACATGCCTCACAAAAGCTTAGACTTCTTCATCTTTGGTAAGTAGAGCGTCTTGTCTCTTCATTAATTAATTTTTCTTCTGCTCAGTTCTTAATGCAAAGATCTGGTTCTTGCAAAGATCGGAAGCTTTGCCAGCGGTTAGATTGGAAGACGCGTTGTAATATCATTCTAGGAATCGCTCGTGGACTTCTCTATCTGCATCAAGACTCTAGACTGAGAATCATTCACAGGGATCTAAAAACAAGCAACATTCTGTTAGATGAGGAGATGAATCCAAAGATCTCTGACTTTGGCTTGGCTAGAATATTTGGAGGCAGTGAAACTTCAGCCAATACTAATCGAGTTGTTGGAACTTAGTAAGTTCTTAATACTTCAGTTTCCGTTAACATCCCATTCCTTAGTATTTATGGTAAATTAAAACATTTTGGTGTCTTTGTATTGCAGTGGATACATGTCTCCAGAGTATGCTCTAGAAGGTCTTTTCTCATTCAAATCAGATGTCTTTAGTTTCGGCGTGGTTGTGATTGAAACTATCAGCGGGAAGCGTAACACCGGGTTTTATGAACCTGAGAAATCTTTAAGCCTTCTAGGCTATGTGAGGGATCTGAGACTTTAAACTTGTTTATGCACATTACTTGTTTAACAACTTGACCGAGAAACACATATATAAATGTGCAGGCGTGGGATCTCTGGAAAGCGGAAAGAGGGATTGAGTTATTGGATCAGGCTTTAAAAGAATCGTGCGAAACCGAAGAATTTTTGAAGTGCTTGAACGTAGGACTGCTTTGTATTCAAGAAGATCCTAATGATCGTCCTACAATGTCAAATGTTGTTTTCATGCTCGGAAGCAGCGAAGCTGCTACTCTTCCTACTCCAAGACAACCGGCTTTTGTCCTTAGACGTTGCGCTTCATCAAGCAAAGCTTCTTCATCCACCAAGCCAGAAACATGCTCTGAAAATGAGCTTACCATAACTCTTGAAGATGGAAGATAATAATAGCTCTGAACATTCATTTGAGCCATTAGCTAGCTTTTTGTATTTATTCTCAATAAGCATAAGATTTCAATAGAAAAAACTGTAATAGCTAATGACCTGAGTCCTGAAACAGAGAAACTTTCAATGGAATGAGATTTTGGCTTTGGAAGAAGCCATGGAGAATCCCGTTAGCTGTGACCTTATCATTTGTCTGCGGAGAGAGTCTCTACAGAGGAAACTAGACCGAAGAGTCATCTTGATCAAAGCCTTTCCATGTCTCAGCAAAAAGATTGCGAGGCTCATTTCGTTCTCGCACTCTAAGAATCCGTGAATCTCCACAAATTCCAAGTGGTTCAAGAAAGATTTCAATTCATAGGTTTGAGATTCCCAGTATTGAATCTCTGAGTTTGACATATCCCACAAATCCTTATCCCATTGCTGAAAAACAGAAGCAAGATCAAAGAAAATTCAGTAAAACTGAGAAAGAGAAACAAAGAAAAAAAATTCTTTCTTTCTTTTAATACTTTATTACCCGTCTTTCACTTGTTTGATCATTAATGATTTTGAGGGTAAGTATGTTAAGCATTGGACAGCTCTTGAACAGACATGACAGTGTTTGAACATTGTGTCTGTTGAAACGTGTTTGCAGTTCCAAGAATCTCATGTTGTGAAACGGTAGAAGATGATTCTTTAATAGTCCCTTCTTGCTTGACAAAATCTGTCACAACATTAGTAAAACTATGAAGCAAAGAGCAAACTGTAGAAGAAGAAGAAGGTGTAAGTATGTTGTGCAAGTGTGTACACATATATACCTCTACGGATTGGTTTCCAAGTTGTAGTTTATAGGAATTACAGAGACCTGACAAGAGAGTGAATAAGCTTTGTGTCTGAGAATTGAGATCTTGATGAAGCCAAAACACTTTAACGAATGCTTTTCTCAGACAAACTAACTTGTCCAAGAAATGAACACTAGTAGTGACTGCATTTGAATTCCAAAGGAAAGTTTTGAGATTCGGTGTGTTAATCTTCACAAAGCTCTTTTCTGAGTATGAATGGAAGCAACTCTCAACCTTAAGTCTCTGAAGTTTATTACCAGAAACCTCTAAGCCCTCAAGCTGTAAAGAGTTCGTTAGAGAAAACTCTTGGAGAAGACGGCAACTAACCTTAAGTTCCTTGAGTCCAAAGCAACTTTCTAGGTTTAGTTTCTCAAGAAGAGGAAAGCTTGGAGCAGTGAAGAAATCTGAGAGACAAGGTTGATGAATGTGTAGGATCACAAGAGATAAAGAGAGTGAAGTAAGTTTTTGAAAACCTCCAAGGATTGATGATGAAGGAGGTAATCGAAAACCAGGGTGAGATGATTTAAGCTTCAAAGCTCTTAAATCTTGAGAGGTCACAATCCAACGAGGGAAGTTAAAGTAGTCTTTTGTAGTAACTTCAATGTCAAGATCTTGAACCTGATGAGTAACAGCTAAACGAATCAAGGAATTGAGACTTGTGAAAGTGATAGCAGCGCGAAAACGAAGTGATCTAAGATTGTTGGAGTCACGGTGATTACGAAGAGAAAGCACTTTGTAAATGGAGTTAGAAGAGAAAGATTTCTGATTCTTGAGGTCGTTAATAGATGTGAAATCAAGATCAGGCAATGAGAGAAAAAGAGATCTCCATCTTTTCGAAAGTAAGCTCGTTTGAGCTGCAGATTTAAGAGGAAGTAAGAGAAGAATCTGATGAATAAGAGAATCAGGGAGGTTACTGATTCTATCTACTTTGACAATCTCCTCTACACTAAACCAATTTGCTTCTTCTTCTTTCTTCTTCTTCTTTCGTTTCACAGATCTTGTTTCCATTGTTAAAAGTGTCTTAATCAAAGCTTTTGTCTTTTGTTTATCCTCTAGTTCATAATTAGGGTTTGAAACATTCAAAACAAACCCTAAAAGTCATTAACGAGATAAGTGCGTAGAGTTTGTTTCCACAAATTTCGCACATTCAGTTAAAAACCAAGATCACCAAAATCAATAGAAAATTGATTATTTATACATAAAACAGAATCATCAAAGAGCAACCACATGTTCTCTTGATCCATTTATCTTGGCTAATTCCTTAAAGAAGACGACATTAAAACTACAAATGACGATGATGTTGGCACTCAAGAGGAGTAACAGGAAACCTAGCAGCATCAAAACAATAATCATAAATCATATGATTAGCTCGAACCCAAATAAGCTGATGATTCTGATGAAGGCTAAGCTCAGAGACAGTTGGTTCATCCCACCAAAACTTCTCATCTCCATTACACTTGCTTAGATCAGAAGTTGTCGGAATCTCACAAGCATCGATTTGGAATTCCTTGTAAGAAGCAACGAAAGGAGCATGACTCCAATCAGTTTTAACAAGACCTCCTTGTGTTGCCCAATCATCTGCATTCCAAATCGAACTGTAAACTCCCATTGCTTGATCTTTAGCAAATGGGATACCTTTATCTTCAAGATTCTTCTGGACTCGAATCGGAGTTTCATCTACCATGAATCTGTTTTGCAATCAAAATCATTAAAACCAGTCCATTTATAAAGAAAAAGGAAGAGACTTTGTTCAAGAGAACTTACACAACAGTGCGTTTACTCCAGAGGATTGAGTAAGTGTGAAACTCAGTGGTGGGATCGAACCAAAGGTTAAGTCTTTGTTCTCTGTTTCCAACTCCGTTCACATAGATATTGGTCTGGACAATATAAGGCTCACCGGTTTTGTTCCCTAAGAACTCGAAATCGAATTCGTTGTGGTTCGGACCATCAGAAGACATCTGTAAGAAAAAAAACATTGTAACATATCAAGATTTGAGACATAATAATCAAATCTTGGTCTTGAAAACAGAGTAAGAAAAGATGGGTTTTGTTCCGTACGTAGAAAGCAGTGACTGTTCCAGCTGAATCACCCTCAACAAGCTTAATCTGGATAGAGACTTTACCAAACAAGTATTTGCTTCTCGATTCAAATCCAGCTCCTGAAAAACATCAATAAAAAATCATCAATTATAATGAACACACAAAACAGAGGAAAAAACAGAGAGATGGGTTTGTTTTTTTTATCTAAGTACCAGAGTAATTGTCAAGCTTGAGTTTTGTGACTTCGCCTTCGTTGACACAATGATCCATAGCCCAGCTTGAGCGATAAAGCTCATCGAACTTAGCTCCAGAAACAGATTCACCACAAGAGATAACCAACACCACAATCATCATCATACATTTGAACAAATCCATACCCACCATTTTTTTAATCTCTCTTAAATCAAACTTTCACTCTACAGTCTCAAACACTTGACTCAATGAAGGAGACAAGAGAGAGAGGAAGGGGTTTATAAAGGCGGGAGGTGAGTAAGTGTGAGTGTGAGTGAGCTGGCATACAATGGAGAGAGATGCCACGTTGGATTCGACGTGTGATTGAGGACAGTAATAAGTGGACAAAAGAACCCATCTTCGAAAAAAAAATCACTCAAAACAAGAGAGAGATAAAAGAAAAATGTAGCCGTTACTGTGAGGGCATCACTCAGTGGGGCTCCACTTTTGTACTACACAGAGGACAAGTATTTATGCTTCTCTGTCTATCTTTGAGCACAAAAATAGAGACTTTATTGCTTTTAGAGAGATAAGTGAATAAAAATTGATTCTGTGGTAGTAATAATGAAGAAGAAAAGAGAAGAGAGAGAGAGAGATTGGACCATTTTACAGCTAAGATGTTTTCATTGCCATTGGATTGGATCCAGCTAATACATTTGGCTCCTTTTGTGTCAGAAGCTCAAATTTTTAAAAATCTTTTTACTCACTGCTCTAAAGAAATTGATTGGTACTCAGTCTTTATCTCTCTCTCCTCACTTTTTGGGGGAATTCAATTTTTTGTTTTTGTGTTACAGACATGGATTAGATATGGGCAGGTGTGACGTCCATTGTGACAATAAAATATCTTGTGGCTTTGGTTTTTGGTAATTTTAAAACATTGTCAAGTTGTGTTGTGTAAGGTAAGCCATAATAACACCCATGTAGTATTTGTATGTGTGTATATCCATCCGGGGACTAAATTGTTTATTTGTCCCCATTGGAAGACATAGAAAACGACGGCGTTTTTGTGGAGATTTGAAAGAAAAAAAAAAAGATCACGGGCGTTTATTGAATCAAGACAAAATGAGACAGTGACGTTTACTTAATCGGAATTTTGTTTAAACCTAACACAAGACCCATTGGTTGAAACTTGAAACGATTTGTTTTAATAGTACAAATCATCAGATTTAATGTTGTTTTGTTCTGTCTCGTGAACATTAACCGAGCAAGTGGGCATGCGTGCGTGCACCGAGAGGCTCGGCTATTTGAGCCAACGGCTCTTATTTTAGACTCATGCTTTTTTAACTGTGTCAGTAAAAATTTTTAAAAGTTAATTACTTTTTATCATCATCATCACGATTCGTACTATACTCCATCATCACCATCATGACCTTTGTTTGTCAGTGACTCATGATGAGATGACGCCAAATTACAAATTCTTTTATCTCTCTCTCACTCTCTTCATTAGACTCTTACCCTTTTAAGGCTTTTAAAGACAAAATTAATAAAAGAGCTAATTGGGGAATAACCACAATTAATTAGCTAAAGCCACTCTTTTGGATTGATACAAGCATCTAATAGTTTCCATTCCTCAGTACCTTCTTCCGGTTTCTGCATCCACAACAAGGGAGAAACACCATCAGTAGTTTAGTTTCATAGCTGAAATGAATCATGATTTAGTTTCTTGATGTGGATAATAACATTGATAAGAAACTTTACATGGTCATATTCCCATCTTGCGGATAACGGAAGGGAGACAAGAATACTCTCTATCCGTCCTCCTGTCTTCAGACCAAATGTTGTTCCGCGGTCATACACCTTTGTTTTTATCATCAGTAACAAAGAATGAGACGAGGTTTCATAAACGATCGAAGAGATATATAAACAGATAGAAAAACAAAGCTAGTAGTATCCAATTACCAAGTTGAATTCAACATATCGCCCCCTTCGCAATTGTTGCCATGCCTTGTGTTGCTCGTTAAATGGTGTGTCCTTACGTTTTTCTACTATGGGTATATAAGCTGGTATCACTGAGCTTGCACATTCTGCAAAATTCACCTCAGTATTCAAATTAGCCAACTAGGAAGTTTCTAAAAAACAAAATGTCATAAGCTTTCTCTTGGTCATTACCAGTGGCAAATGACAGAAGCATCTCCTGCTCATAGTCATTCAAATCATCAAAAAATATCCCTCCAAGCCCTCGCCTCTCGTCACGGTGCTGCAGGCAAGACAGTAAAGTTTTTAGTGTTTTTTCAAATCCTACACTACAACTTATCACTGCATTAACCTAACCAAACCTTGAGGCTCTAAATCTATCCTTACACATACATAACTCTAAAACTAAGGTCTTTAGTTCCACAAGGTGCTAAGATCTCACAAAACAATCAGAATGGCGTTAAAAGAACTGCAGACCTTAATGTAAAAGTAGTCATCACACCATTTCTTGAACCGAGGGTAGAAGGACGGATCAAATTTATCACAGGCTTGTTTTTGAACCTACACAAAGAGAGATATTTCAATCAGCAACTCCATAATCACAAAGCTTCAAACTTACAGAACAAGGAATCAGGTTTAAAGACCGAATGAAAATGCTTGACGTCCTCTTCGAAGATGTAAGCAGGTGTGAAATCAGTCCCACCACCGAACCACCATTGCCTCGGAGCTCCAGGAACATCTACAAGTGAAAATTAGGCAATCAAATGCTTCATCCAACAAAAATATTGAAACTTTACACTTCTCAAAGAGAATTAAGGTTGTACCCTTTGGAGCATCGGTTTCGAAATAGCGGTAATTGAAATGCAGAGTCGGAGCAAAAGGGTTCTTAGGATGCAAAACCTGGAACATGGCATGAATGTAGGATCAAAGCTCAATCAAAGAATCTAAAGACCAATTCAACAGCAATGTTATGTGAGATAGAGAAAAAAAGTACCGAGCTGATTCCGGCTGCAAAGAACGGAATCGGACCAGGTTTTTGCTCAGCCGTGGCAGCTTTAGCAGCTCTATAAGCTTCAGGAGGCATGACACCATAAACTACAGAGACATTAACTCCAGCTTTCTCCCAGACATTTCCATCTTGCAACACACGACTGATCCCGCCGCCTCCACCGGGTCGAGACCAAACATCTTCCTTGAATTTAGAACCTCCTTCAACTGCTTCAATGGCTTCACAGACTTTATCCTGAGCAGCTCTTATCATTGTCTCGAAACGAGCCCTAACCGAAGAAGAAGAAGAAGATTGAGTATCATCACCATCGGAGTCTCTTAGGAAAGTGAAAGGTCTTTCCGTTTCGGGAACTTCTTTCTCGATTGAGACTGAACATCGTAAATCGAAATGTGGTCTCTTTACGGGACCAGGAAAGTGGAGAGTGAAGTAACTCGGAGAAGGATTAAGACGAGGAGAGGAGAAGAGATTGAAGGAAGAAGGAGAAGTGAAGAGAGTTAAAGAGTGAGACGCCATTTTTGGCGATCGATCGAATCCAAGTTTTCTCCTTTGCTGAAGATAGAAGATGATAAGGAATCGTCAAAGCTCTGGTTATTTTTTTACCAAACCCGGTTATTTCCGGTTTAGTTCAATAATAAGATCTCATACCGGACCAGGTTTAGTTCTCTCCATAATGTATCTTCTTTATTTATCAGCTCTGTTACAGGAGAAAACATTGATCCTGTTCCTTACAGAACAAGCAACCATTAAACATGGAATCTCTTGCTTTTACTTGGAGAGTAAGCGAGTGAGAGAAGAAGAGTCAAAGACAGGAGGGCTACAAGTGAAGTGTTGACACACAAGAGCAACCACTTTCTCTGAGTTCCTGTTCTTCTTCGCCATCTCAGCTACATTACTGTTATGCTCTTCCCAAAACTCCATCTCATCAGAATTCGAAGGATCTATGTGAATCACCTGACCAATAAAACCGCCAAAGATCACAAATCTTGAATCTAGAAATTTGTATCATTTTAAGCTCTTACCGTTTTATTAGGATCATAGACTGAGTGTGCTGCGGAAAGCATGTTGTTAAGTTCTGCAGAAGACTTAGAACCAACCAATACAACTTGTTTAGTCGACGGGACAGATATCATGTCTGCGGCGCAGCACATTAATGGCACTGCCACCGCCATTTCTCTTAACCTCAACTCAAAGACTGCCTGCAAAAACAAAAACAAGAGACTCAATAATCTGTCTATGAATAGCGTCAATGCCTAAAGATGAATAGCAAATGGGGTTAGTTGATTGCTTGTTTACCAGGAGACGATGTGCCGTGTTTAGGTAGGAGTCAGCTTTTTCTCCAGCGACTATGGAAGCTAATCTCACAAGGTTAATAGCAGAAACAGAGTTCCCTGAAGGTTCTGCACCATCATGATCTTCTTTTACACGGAGAAGAACCGATGGGTCTTGTCCTTCGGTGTTGAAGTAGGCTCCTCCTTCTCGGTCCAGATATAACTCATCCTAAAATGTTTGTAATTTTTATAGCCAAAATCAATAACGTTAACAAATCGAGCTAGTAAAGATCTCACTTGCCTGGGTTTCTTGAAGTTTAATCGCCCATTTAAGCCATTCGATCCCGCCTCCATTCTCGTAGAGATCAAGCAAACCAGCGATCAAGAAAGCATAATCGTCTAAAAAGGCAGGAGCTTTGGATGGTCCCTGTCTATAACTATGTTGTAATCTGCGAGACTGCTCATCATAAAGATTCCCTCTGATAAACAGAGCTGCTTTCTCTGCAACTTCTATGTATTCCTCTGGCTGTAAATGAAAATTCGAATTACGAAAAATTAACAGTCAAAGAAGGATTCGAAGGAAAGGGTGTAGCATTCATTACCAGACTATTCACCACAGGGAAACAGTATTTGGTGCTTTCAGGCTCAGACTTGAGAATCTTGGAAGCTCTTGCGAAAGACGAGATAACAAGACCGTTCCAAGACACGATTATCTAAGCAAGAAATCTTAAATGGTTAACAAAGCTGAAGTAACAGTTGAAGAAGACAACAAAAGATTTCCAAGAAGATTATTACCTTATCATCTAGATGTGGCTTAGGTCGCTTCAATCTGACATCGAAAAGCTTTCTTCGGCATTCACCCAAGATCTCCTGATACTTCTCAACGGAGAGGCTAAATTTTGATGCCATGGCAGAGAGCTCATTTCTTTCGATCAGCACGTTTTTCCCAGCAAATTCATTGTGCGGGTCACTCCTGCTCGAAAGATCACAGTTACCTGATTTCTTAACATAATAATGCTCCTTGAAAAGATCTGCATTCTCCCCGAGAACCTCATCAATCTTCAAACCAAACACACACAAAAATTGTCAGTATACATAGGGCAACACAACTAAGCTGATGAATATATCAGAGAAAAGAACCTCATCGCTGCTCCATATATAGAAAGCTCCTTCCTTCTTTCTCTTTGCCCCCTCGAATTCAAAGCTATCGGCATCTTCAGCTGAGAATATTCCACCTTCAGGTGCAATCATGTCTCTTCTAAGATAATCAAGGATGTCTCTTGCCACATAAGAATACATAACATCCTTGGTTATGATAAAACCATCCAGGTAGACGTTAGCTAGTTGCCCTTGATCATACAGCATCTTCTCGAAATGTGGAACTGCACCAGACAAATAGCAAAATGCTTCAATCTCAAAAAAAAACTTTTATCACCTCGATACTACAGGATACAGTTTGAAGTTTTACCGTGCCAACATTCATCGACACTGTATCTATGAAACCCGCCTCCAATGTGATCATGCATCCCTCCATTTGCCATGCCTTGCAAGCTGAATAAAACCATACTTTGGTCTTCATCAGCCTCACTAGTTTTCCCTGATTCCTTCAACTTTTTGAAATGATAAAGCATCAGCTGGATCTCGACGGGCCTCGGGAACTTTGGTGCAGATCCAAACCCACCGAATTCCGAATCATAGCTCCGAGAAAGCTTGAACACAAACACTCACTGTTAGAAGACCTATTTATGTTGATGTATCAAAAAGCCATATATTTCTAAGAGTCCACGAGTCGAATCATACTTGTTTTGCACATATACTCACAGCCTCCCGAGAAATCCCATCTGACAATTTATCGGCTCCAGCACTTGCGGATAAAGCTTTTGTCAGTTCTTCAATAGCATATGTACCACTCTTCACAAGAGTATCCCTCTTACTATCCCACGCATCTTTCACCTTCCTGAACCAAACCCAAAGAAAACATGGAGAAAATAATCGAATAAACTCTAGTCTTCGCCAAGAGCGCATGTTTCTACATATATACTCTATTTTTTACTGAAAACAAAACCAATTGCAACATTATGAGCCTACAAAGCTACTGTACAATAAGAGAGAAGGGTTTCCTTACTTAAGGAGAGTTTTGAATCCTGGGCGTCCATAATTGTCATTTGGAGGAAAGTAGGTTCCACCCATCAACGGCTTTAAATCAGGTGAAAGGAAGACTGACAGTGGCCACCCTCCTCCACCATAGAGAGCCTGGACGAACGACATATAAACCTAAAAGTGCCAGTAAAAAGAACCGTAAGTCCATGAATACAGTCAAGGCTACTTTCTTTATTAGACATTGATCTAGCCAGAACCAATTCAGTACAAGTCTACTATGGTTTCTAAGGTTTTGCATCTCTCACTGGATATACCGAAGACACAAATATTCTCCAAGAAACTAACAGAAGCTATTAATTTGACCCACAGCATGATTAAGCCAAAAAGAAAAGATATTTCTAAAACTAAGCATTCAGAGAAATATATGAAAATTTGAATTATAAGGAATTTTTATTCAAGACATCAAAGAGCTCTTCTGTTGCAGAAAGTGGTTTACCTTGTCGACATCAGGCCGCTCTTCTCGATCCACCTGTTCCACAGACATGTTAAACAAGATGTTGGTAAAATGTTTCAACAGCAACCAGCTCAAAGATTGTGCTTTAAACGTCATTTTATAATCCACAGCCAGAAGAGAACTTTCCATCTTAAGTTCTAACCTTGATACTAACGAATGAATCGTTCAAGAGTTTTGCCACTTCTTCATCTTCAAATGACTCAACTTCCATGACATGGCACCTGAAAAAATAGTTAACTGGTACTTAAACATTCATTCCAATAGGGAAATAAGCTTGCTCTGCTTCTCTACTACTGACATGAGAGACAAGAACACGAGTTTTTAGACTACAAGTTTTCTCCACCTTAAATCTTTCATTGGCTTATACCTATGAGGAAAGAACAGTAACAATCTAATAATGCAAAGTCTTTCAATATTTCACTTCTTCTCTTACTCCTCCAATTCAGTAAAAGAAGAAGTCAAACTCAAAATCCAAAAAAAAACATATTGAAGTCTCACCAGTGACAGGTACTGTATCCAACTTCAAGATTCCATATAAAAGAGATTTGGAAAACAAAAGGGAACCAAATTAGTGTCATAAAACTAAAGTCATTAAAGACATCTAACCAAGCAGTAATTAAAACGATCAAATAGAGGATAAAGTAAACAACTTGATAAGAAGATGGGCACGTCTCTCTTCCTTGCTTCTTCAAAAGCTTCTTCTCCCCATGGATACCAATCAACCTTTTTCACATAAACCATGAAATCAATCCAGAGAATAAAAAATTCCATGCTTTTGAGCTAAGAACCGGTTAGCTACAAATCTTCCTAATTGAAACTGAAGTTGCCCTAACTGAAACCAGAGGTGTTCTTTTCTATCAATTTTAGCTAAAGATGAATACTTTTTATAGAGTAGAGAAAACGAGGGCAGTGTAATTACCGGATTATGAGCGTGTTGAAGAAGATAAGGACTGTGTTCGGCGGCTAAACGGTTGGTATGTTTCTGAGATGTTGACGAGGTCGAAGAAGAAGACTCTTTCGCCATGGCCACGACCTTGCCTGAGGAAATGGGTCTAGAGAGAATCGGCGGGAAAGGGCTTGAAAACGAAGGATTACGTATACGGACGATAATTCTTCTTCTGGGTAAAGAAGACAAAGACGCAATGCTGCGAGAAGCAAAGCGGTGGAGGAAGATTGAGGAAGACAACAAGTGAAGACTTTTCATCAGCATTGCTGATTGATTTTTTAGAATTACGATCAGCAAAACGGCGACGTTTTAAGGGTTTGGTGAGATTGGCTAAACGAACTCAAGGTCTAGAGGATTCGCCATTCGAGCGAGGGAGCTTCGTACACATCTCTCTCTTGTTGGATGAGTTCATTATGTGACACGTGTAGATAAGACAAGAAAATTGAAATCTGATTTTTTTTTAATTATGGCTTTTGAGTTTTGAGCCTCAATATACATACGAATGCAGGATCCAACCAATCCGACACTAAAAAATAAAGCTTAGGGACATACATTAATTGGTGTATGTAAACTTGTTTGCTACTCTATCGGTTTATCAACTTATCATATTCACTTCTCGAAAGTACAACTTTAGTAACTTCTTCAAATGTGATATGAACTTTTTAATGTTCTAGAGTAGAGGTTGGAGCAAAGGTTAAACCAATTTCATTGTCCAGATTAGGGGTGGATACATCAAGTGTCGTTAGCTCAATTGGTAAAAATCTTAGGCAAAACTTAGAGTTTGCCGGTTCGATTGACGCTTGAGAAGAAACTTATATTACACGTTGTGGTTTTGGGCCTGGAGGATTACGGGTTTTGGCCCGGAACCCCTCGGCATTCAAGAAAAAAAAAATTAGGGGTGGATACATACTTCTTACTTAAAATTTTATGTTTTTTTATTGTTAATTTTTAACCAAGTAAAATACTAATTAACCAATCTGACATCATGTGTGAACTGGGTATTCCATAAATGATTAGATCCATGAATTCACACAGAGACTACATGTGATGATCACAGTAATCTAATTATGATTAAGGCAACTAATTATATTAGTGACCTATACACAGTAGGCTCACATGGGTGCAAGCTCAACTTTATTAATGGTCTCACATGGACACTGTCTCCTTCGATTCTCTCTTGTCTTGTCATACTTTTGTCTCTCCACTTGCTCTGTTTATATATATCAAAAGCTCCACTCTTTCGATTTAGATCACTCATATTGAATCAAATCTCAAACCTTTTTTTCATTTCTTGATCTCTCTCTCTCTGTTCTCATGGGTCTCCGATTACCATCTAAGGTGTTGGAACATATCCTCTCCTTCATTGACTCCAATGAGGACCGGAACTCTGTTTCTCTGGTCTGCAAGTCATGGTTCGAGACAGAACGGAAAACTAGGAAGCGGGTCTTTGTCGGAAACTGTTACGCGGTCAGTCCTGCTGCTGTTGCAAAGCGGTTCCCGGAGGTGAGATCTTTGACTTTGAAGGGTAAGCCACACTTCGCCGACTATAATTTGGTTCCTGATGGTTGGGGTGGTTATGCTTGGCCGTGGATTGAAGCCATGGCGGCGAAATGTCCGTCTCTTGAGGAGATCAGATTGAAGAGAATGGTGGTGACTGATGAGTGCTTAGAGAAAATTGCTGCTTCGTTTAAGGATTTTAAAGTCCTTGTGTTGACTTCTTGTGAAGGTTTCTCTACTGATGGTATCGCTGCTATTGCAGCAACTTGCAGGTTCGGTTCTAACCAAAAAAATAGACTCTGTTTTTAGTTAGTTAAATCTCATAGGTTTGTTTTTTTGTTGTTGTTTGGTTTTCAAAACAGAAACTTGAGAGTGTTGGAACTACGAGAGTGTATTGTTGAAGATCTAGGAGGAGATTGGCTTAGCTATTTTCCAGAGAGTTCAACCTCTTTGGTCTCTCTTGACTTCTCTTGTTTAGACTCTGAAGTTAAAATCTCGGACTTAGAGCGTCTCGTGAGCAGATGTCCAAACCTGAGCTCTCTGAAGTTGAATCCAGCTGTGACTCTAGATGGACTCGTTAGCTTACTTCGTCGTGCTCCACAACTGACTGAGCTCGGCACAGGTTCTTTCGCAGCTCAATTGAAACCAGAAGCGTTTTCAAAGTTATCAGAAGCTTTTTCAAACTGTAAGCAACTTCAGAGCTTATCTGGTCTCTGGGATGTCCTCCCTGAATATCTTCCAGCTCTTTATTCCGTCTGTCCTGGTCTTACCTCGTTGAACTTGAGCTACGCTACTGTCCGAATGCCTGATCTTGTTGAGCTTCTTAGGCGATGCTCGAAACTGCAGAAGCTATGGGTGAGTATGCATTTTTCAAGACTCTTTGACTATCCCATTTATGTTGGTTCTTACTAGTGAGACGATTTTTTGTAGGTGATGGACTTGATAGAGGACAAAGGTCTTGAAGCTGTTGCCTCCTATTGCAAGGAACTGCGAGAACTGAGGGTTTTTCCATCTGCGCCAGATCTCGATGAAGCCAACATACCTCTGACGGAACAAGGCCTGGTCTTTGTGTCTAAAGGCTGTCGAAAGCTGGAGTCTGTTCTCTACTTCTGTGTCCAGTTCACAAACGCCGCTTTGCTTACCATAGCAAGAAAACGTCCGAATCTCAAGTGCTTCCGTCTCTGTGTAATAGAGCCATTTGCTCCTGATTACAAAACAAATGAGCCACTTGATAAAGGATTCAAAGCCATAGCTGAGGGATGCAAGGATCTTCGACGGCTCTCCGTCTCTGGTCTCCTCTCTGACAAGGCCTTCAAATACATTGGGAAACATGCGAAGAAGGTTAGGATGCTATCAATAGCATTTGCTGGGGACAGTGATTTGATGCTTCATCACTTGTTGTCGGGCTGTGAGAGTTTAAAGAAGCTTGAGATAAGAGATTGCCCTTTCGGAGACACTGCACTACTGGAGCACGCTGCCAAACTGGAAACCATGCGATCCCTTTGGATGTCGTCTTGCTTTGTAAGTTTTGGTGCTTGCAAGCTTCTAAGTCAGAAAATGCCAAGGCTCAATGTCGAAGTTATTGATGAACATCCTCCGGAGACAAGACCGGAGAGCTCTCCAGTTGAGAGGATATACATATATAGAACAGTCGCTGGACCGAGAATGGACACGCCTGAATTTGTGTGGACGATTCACAAGAATCCCGAGATTGGAGTTTCACATCTAGCCATAAAGTAACCTTGCTGCTTCAGTCATATTTTCCTTTTTCATCTTGAGTTTTTGCAGACATTGTTGTGGGAGATTCACCTTCCATTTGTTCCCTTTCATATTGTTTTCACTAAGATGTTAGAATATCAGTGATAGAAGCATTTCATAGCTTGTACTCTGTTAAACAAAACCTTGTGTTTGTACCAAAGTTTGGAATAAAATTTATCATTTTATAAGATTTCTAGTCAAAAAAAGTTTGTAAATAAACAGCTAAAATCATGAACTAAACAGTAAGGTCTAGCCAAAAACTACAAATGTTGCCGCAAAGCATCTCTCAAAGTAATAAGAAATTAAGAACCAGTAGTGTAATATAATATCTCTGGGAAGAAAAAGGTCAGTATCTGAGATAACAACAAGGTTTCCGCTTCGAGCCTCCGTAACACCATCAACTGCTCCTCACCATGTTTTGAGAAAATCCTCCATCAGCTCCAAATAACTGGAAGGGTTCCTGATCCGCACTGTATTAACCAGTCATGCACTTTCGTCGATTCCAGCAGATTTCTTGATGGATTCAAGAAGATGCTCTATTCTGTATTTCATTACAGGCTGACCATGTCGAGTCTTTCTCATCATTTTCCCCTTTGCTACTTTCCTCCTGGATTCAGCCACTTCTTTCGCTTCCTTCTTTGCCTGAAACGTAGCCTCTCTCTCCTTCCTTACTTTCTCCATCTCTTCTCTTGTCTGCTTGTACAAATCCTCTACACCAATTCTCTTATTAGATTTACCCTTCTGCTTATCATCATCATCATCTACCTTACTACTCTCTCCAGTCTCATTCTTGTCATCAATGTCCTGCTGCTTCACCGACTTCCTAAACTTGCTCACATACTTTGCATTCTTGTAGAACTCTTTTTGCTTTTCTGAAAGTAAGCACCAAAGAAACAACTCATTCAATCTTACTTCAAGCCTAGTCTGATTCTCATAACGAACCCAACAAAAACATGTAAACATATAAAAACACACTTAAACTGTGAAACTATACACCATTGAAGGAACTCCAAATAGTTCTCTTCTGATGCCTAACACCAAAGGAAACATAGTCAATAACCACATTGTAGCATTCTTAACATGATCCTAATCTTAAATCCTAAAAAAGTTCCTCCTAATCCTCGAGTACTAGCTAAATTTCGATGCGAATAGGATGAGAAGTTACAATCAAAAAGGAAACTTTTTTCAAATTGGGTAGAGAGAAGAATATCTTACTGATCAAAGAAGGGTTATAGCGATTGTTTTCCGATTTCATGTTAGCAAAAGTTTGGAGAGAAAGACCACCGCCTCCCAATCTCTTCATGTTCTTCCTCTTCTTCGTCTCCGTCGATTTGGATCTATCAGTCCCATGCTCATTTTTTTGATAGAATTTCTTCATTGTCGCGAGATTCTTCAAGGTGTAAACCTCCACAATAAGCCGATTTGATCAAGTTATGAGAAAGGGGAAGAAATCACGAACCCTAATTGAAATTGGCGGCGACTCTGAAGTCTGAAGTCTGAAGTCTGAAGTGGGAATCGCCGACCTTATTTAAAATTGCTATTATACCCTTATAGTTTTATCTTTTTCCCAGAAAACCAGCGTAGAGTTAGAGATACATTACGAAAAGCACCGCGATAGTTTTAGACTTTTAGGATACTTCAGATCAGAATTCATTGTATTGGGCTAGTCCAACAAGCCCATGTTCTTTGTGGCCATGCGTGATGATGTTTGGTTACTAAAATTCCATTGCTAAGTTCTAAAAGAAGATTATCAACTACTAAAATTTTCTGTCGTATGCTGACTTATATGTAACACATACGATTATGATGAACACCTTCACGAACAACTTCCCAACGTCCAGCATTTCCCGTAATATTTAGGTCTTCTACTTATGATTCTTATATGTGTCACACCAATGAAAAAAGTCTTATCCTTAACACATGAGACCACAATAAACAGTTTTATATGATTTACTTAAAAAATTTCAACTAGTTTTGTATCATTAATCTGCAAGAAAGTGCATTCTATAAAAATCGAACTCCAGATTTAGTATAAAAACCTTTTAATCTTTTGGGTCAAGGGGTTTCCACTTATTAGCAGTTATAAAAATGAAAAAAGCTCTCTTAATTTCTTATATATATACCTTTTTTTTTGTTCAACATCATTTGTTATATACCTAATCTTCTTTTTAAGACAAACAATTGGACCATGGATTGTAATATAATTGTTAGGTATTATTGTTTGTTGTCGCAGTGGTATCATATAATCTTGTAATATGTGCAAGTGAGTTGTGGACAACAAAAAAATAAGCAAAACAAAAAGGAATAGAGGTAATGAATAAATTCAAATTTTGAAGAATAATCATACCAATTCCAAATTTTGAAAAGAGAAAGATTTTTAAGTATAATGGTTAGAAATAGGAAGAAATATTTGGAGATTTTGTTTCCATTTAAACTTGTGTGTAAAAATTCCTTATTAAACAAGAAATTTAATAAGAGTGTGAAACCTTAATTTCAAAAATCATAAAAAAATTATGCCACCACTATATCACTAATTCAAATTATACCAAGGGTATCTATGTAAATTCCATATAAATTGATGTAATGAAACCCTAATTTCAAGATTAGAAAAGTTCTAATGCCGCTATAGCATCACGATTCAAATTCTATTGAAGGTATATTAATAATATAGATCTGCATATGAAACCCATAATTTCAAGATCATCATGAAAGTTCTAACGCCGCCACAACATCATGATTCGAAGTCTATTAAGGGTGTATGCGTAAATTTAATATGGATCTGCGTAGCAAAACCCTAATTTCAAGATCATAAAAGTTGTTACGCCGCCGCAAGCCCGCAACACCAATTCAGATTCTACTAGGGCTATATACGTAAATTACATATGAATCTGTATATGGTTATAAGACTATGATTTACAAGTCAAAATCCTTTAAAACAAAGAGCAAAGGATCATTTACATTTTTCTCCAAATACTAACACCACCTTTAAACCACAAAGATAAAAGAGAGGCCAAAGATAAGAAAAGAGGGTTGATACTGTCACAAATCTTGAAGTAGGTGAAAATTACTAGTGAAGACGATGAATGAGACATCAAAATGGTGGTGGATTGGTGCAAATCACAACACATCAAATTCCTCTCCTTGGCTTAACTCTACTCTCACTGGTAACTCAAAAACTTATCTTTCTACGTTTTTTCAAGTTCTAATTAACCCCTCACAATCACAATAAGCTCTCTCATTTTGATTTGCTCTCTCACTTATTTGATTGTTGTAACACATGAAAGAACAGATCTTGATGCAAAGACTAAGGAAATGCTAAGAGTAATTGATGAGCTCGATGATGAAGGAGATTCCTTTATGAAACGAGCAAAGATTTATTTCGAGAATATGCCAAAGCTCATTGCCATGGTCGAGGATTTATACCGCTCGCATCGTTCCTTGGCGCAGAAGCATGATCTCTTGATCAAAACCTCTTCTCTGAATTCGAACAGCCATAACTCATCAACCTGCGACGAGCTCCGGTCGGAATTGTGTGAAGAAACAGAGTCTGATGGTGAAGCTGTAAATGAAAAAGACCAAATTATTGAATTTGGCGATGATGGTGAGACAATGAAGGAAGAGTTGGAGAGATTGAGAGAAGAAAACAGAGTTTACAAGAAGATGATGGGAGAGAAGAAACAAGTAGTGACTTTGTTGCTTGCAAATTTAGTTAGGGTTTGCTTTTGTGTTCTTTTCGCTTCCAATTCAATTGCGAAATATTTTCTTATCACCTTTTGCGTCTTTGTTTACTATTTTCTCATGATTCTATGGGAGGTTGGGTGCTTTAAGTATGAATAAGACTCAAATATATATAATGTTTTTGTTTTAGATTTTTTTTTTTTTTTTTTTTTTTTTTTTTTTTTTTTTTGGTTTAATTTTTGTTTTAGATATCTTGATGATTAATAAAGATTTCGTATTATCTCAACTCTTTTATCTTCGAATTTGGAATGTTGGAAACAAACTTGGAATCCAATATGAGTTCATGAATCATGATGCTTTAAGTGCGCTTCCCAAGAAAACAGACAAGAGAGAAGAAAAAAAAAAACAGAGTTTTTGTAATCGTTTTAAGTGGCACTTCAAAGAAACGTCGTCGTATAATATAGCCACGTCATGAGCAGTGTTTTAACTTTTAATGTAAAACATGACGTCATCTTATCTTCCTCGCTCAAATTCAATTGCAGCCACCAAAGAGAGCCTCTTGAGATAATCAGCGAAGTGAAGTGAGAGACCACGAGACGAAGAATGAGCTCATGGGTTTGCTCTTACGTGACCCGAAACGTCGTAAATTTACATCCTTTCTCATTGACCAAACACCTTGATTTTCCGGCGACGATTAGGAGAAGACCAGTCAGCTTTCCGATAACATCTGCGCCGAAATTTCCGTCTTTTAAACTCCAAAAGTCTCAATCTTCGAACCATGAAAGGGAAGAAGACTCAGAATCAGCCGTACAAGCCCTCACGATTCCAGAAGAGTGGTTGCTCCCTTCTAAGGCCATTGAGGTGCTTTCTTGCTTCAATCAAACGTCAAGTTCAATTTTTTCAAGCAATTTACTCTTTAGTGTTTTGCAATTCTTCTGCTTCTGGTTTCAAATTTCCCCAACATTGCTTGCTTACTCGAATGCTGATTTAGGGTTCCTCTGTTTCTGGTTAAAAAAGATGCTTGCTCGAATGCTCTGTTTTCTCATCAATTTGCTTAATTTCCCGAACACGAGTTGCTAATTTTAGATTGGGTTTGTTTTGATAATATGGTATGATTCTTTAGATTATTGATTTTGAAATGTTTGATCAGGAATCTGAGTGGTTGAGAGTAACTTTGCACAAATGGTTGGATGATGAGTATTGCCCTGAGCCAACCAATGTCAAGATCAGTAAAGTAGCTGCAAAGTCTTACTACAGTTCATTGCTAAAGAAAGAAACTGACATGGGAGAGATTTTGTTGAAGATGGCTCAAGATTTAACTTCCATATCATACCAAGAAAGCTTCCATGGAGCTTTCACATCCGCAAATGCAGCTATAAATTTGATTGTTGACAGAATAGAAACCGGCCTACTCTAGTCTAGTGACTCTAGTCTAGTTTAGTTTAGTTCACTTGAAGGTTCAAGAACAGTGTCTTTGTAAATTATGAATCTGAGTTTTGTTACTTCACTTGGTCGGGTGCAGGGAAATCTAACGTCTTAACACTTGTGAATCCTCCATCAACCACCAGATTATGCCCATTTACATACTTTGAATCATCGGAAGCGAGATAAACCGCTGCATTAGCTACATCGCTCGGTTCACAAACCTCTCCGTCTAACACTCCTGTGCTTTGCACTATCTGGATCAGCCTTGAGTCATCAACACCGGGGTAAATCTGTCGCATCTCATCCATCACGAATGATGTTGTGATTGCAAAAGGAGAGATGCAGTTGACCCGGATCCTGTGCTTGCATAGTTCTGAAGCTGTTGATCTTACAATTCCGATAACAGCGGATTTTGAGACGCTGTAAGTATGTTGTGCTAAACCGCCCATCATCCCCGTGACACTCCCTGCACAAATGATGGATCCAGAATTACGTGGGATCATCACACGAGCAGCATGTTTGATTCCCGCGATGACTCCACGGACATTTGTGTTGATTACCTGCAGAACATAAGAAAAAGATGATCAGATAAAACCAAATGCTCCCACACTCGTTCTTTCAAATGTTCTTATAGATTAGTACCTTGTCAAAAACATTGAGATCAAGATCCACGATACTAGGAGGCGTTTTGCAGGGAATACCAGCATTGTTGTACATAATGTCGAGCTTTGTATGGAGCGATATAGCGAAGTCAACTGCGTTAGCAATGTCTGATTCTTTGGTCACATCGCATGGGAAATAAGCAGCACTGGGACCGAGTTCTTGCGCGGTTTCTCGCCCAATCTGTGGTTGGATATCGGCAATGATAACTTTGGCTCCATGGCTGATGAATTTTCCGGCTGTTGCTTTGCCAATCCCACTTGCTCCTCCTGTGATGAGTGCTACTTTGCCTTCTAGCTTCCTATATAACATTTGTATTAGGTAAAACTTCTCATATTTCTAAATCTATAATGTAATAATTTTTAAATTAGTTTTCCCGTTTAACTTCTTATGTTTTTAAGGTTTGGCTGATATTCTGTTTTATAAGCAAAACTTTAAAATGTTAAAACAGTTAGTTTTGAATCTTAATATATGCTTTGGTTTAGATTCAAAATTGTGTTCAAATACCATCTCCTCGATTATGTTTTCACAAGATAAATTAGGTCTCACATTTTTTCTCTTTCTGATAACACATTTGACATTTCTTAGCTGGTGGGAAGAATAAAAGCTTTCTAACTTCAAGATAAGATTTGTCGAAAAAGACAAATCAAAGCAACCAACTTGTAATATCAAATTACTTTATATATGTCATTCACATACAGAGGTATATATAGAAACATATTATTTTTGATCAAATATATGTATAAACATCTTAAGGCCTTTCTTTGATTCATTTACCCAACTTACAATGAATAAAAGAATTCATTTGCAAAAAAACAAAAAACAAAATAGACAATGTTATTCAAGGATATTTATTAATAATATATCTAAAATAATTTACATTAGTTTATTACAGCATGCTATATGTTTTAGCAAGGAAACAAAAAATTTCTTCAACATGCACATGGACTTACAAAGGGCATTTTCTTGCAACTTTCTCAAAATACTTAATATTAATCTGATACTATTTAGATAAGATTCTACAAAATCCAGATTTTTATTCATTAATTCTGAAGACATTAAAGAGTGTGATTAAGATAGAACTTGCCTTGAACTTGAATGAGATGATGCGGAAGAGGAGATTCCCTTGATAAGGAGGTTCTTGCTCACATTCTTATATAATGCGTTTTTTCTATTTCATACATAGAAAATAAAAGTTAGAACAAAGAGTGTTCATTGTTAAATCTGCAGAAAATGAAGAAGTATGTATAGAGAAGGAGGATGCTTGACCCAATCTGAAACATGTTTGTGTTATTGCTCCAAGATAGATCGGTCTTTGTCGTTTCCTAACTTCTGATTTATCGTCTTTGAAGAGAATGGTCCCTGTGTTTGCGTCTTATATAGATATAGAGGGTACATAAAGGTGTGGTCTTGAGAGAGAGAGAATCTAAGCATACTAGCATGCAAGTGTTTGTAAAAGGTTTGATCCCTTTATTTAGCTAATGAAGACAAAGAAAAGGAACATAAAAGTTACTAAGGCATGTGTTGATTTCTTCCCAAAACAAGATTGTAATAGCCTAATAGGCTGGTTTTTTTTTGTTGAACTATATATTTTAATATAAATCTTTTTTTTTTGTTTGGTGTCAAAAATCTTTAATATAAATCTAAAATATGTTATATCATGGAATTTTATTGCAATATCAATAGGAATTTTAAACACTGATTTTTGAAATCAAAGGCCCTTTAATTTCTTTTGTTAAAAAAAGAAAAGAAGAAAAACTTTTAAAAAATAAACCTCTAATGCTTGTGGCATGTGTTGGTGCTTATTATGAGCTGTCTAATAATGAATATTATTTACGTATTCATTTCTACTGTTATACAACGTACCTACCAATACCATCTTCATAACCCGACAGAAAGCTAATAATTAACATTATGATATATTTTGTTCAGTAGACAAATGTTCTTATTCAGAGACATTGCATACGACCCATTTATTTTCATTTGATATCTAATGGTGTTCCCACCTAATAAGATGTATCTATTTGTTGGCAGATTATATAAAGACGAAGACTTAGTAGCATATCAGCTTTTTAAACAACAATACATATTTGCAAATTGGTTTAGATTATGACACGTATAAAATCTAACCAAGAAAACAAACCAAAGATTTTTAACTTAGAATTTCAAAGTCCAAAGTTATGAAATGTGTTCTTAGAACAAGTGACTCATATATCAAGTAGGTACACAAATCCTAATACCATGTGTTGCTAGCAAATAAATTAATTAACTCATATCGTAAAGTAATGTTATTAAATAAGCAAAGTTCACACTCATGAAAAAAATAGAGGAAGGGAAAAGAAAAGCAAAGTGTTGCCAATCTTTGACATGTCGATAAATTTGTAACATTCTTAAATGTTCACTTGACCAAATTCATGAAGATTCTTCACCAAATCGCATACAAAGAGTAGAAAAATACCAAAGTTTTTATGAGGTGTCGAATAAGTATAGTTTCGTTTCCTTCTAGAAGACAAAATATATAATCTTTTTTCCTGAAATGTAGGTGAATAAGATCAAAAGGGAGAAGAACATCGTGGAAAAACTGAGGTAAGATGTTTTGTTTCTTACTGAAATATTTAGACAACGAAAAAAAAACAATTTGGGGCATTCCGAGAATTGAACTCGGGACCTCTCGCACCCTAAGCGAGAATCATACCACTAGACCAAATGCCCAATTTTGATCTCTCTATAACATTATGTTAGATATATAGAACCCATAAATATCGTATTATAGAATTATGCTTTTCAAAACCACTCGTCATAGCTCTGGAGTCTGGACTGTCTCTCTCCCGCCAATCAGCACCAGTTATCGTCAATGGAACCTCTAGGGTTTCTTCTCTGATTCTAATCGTACATGAATTGGGCGCTTCTTGCGATTCGATTTCTTCTTTGACAGCTTTGATAATCGAGTTTCGATGGTCAATCTTATAGAGACCGAAGTTTTCGCCTCCGATTCGCAGTCTCCTTCAGCTTCTTCGGATCATAGTGAGTTTCGAGATTACGATTCATTTACTTTCCCTTTTTCTTCTTGCGAATTCTGTTGTGTTTTTTGAAGATATTGAGGTGATAGATTCATTGTTGCAATTTCATTTCTGGATTTCTCTTAGGGTTTGAGGTTAATGGGGTTTTGGGATGCGGAGAAATTGAAGATACAGAGCCGATTGATGAAGAAATTGTGCTTGATAGCTCGTTACTTGAAACCCCATTTCAAAATCTCTACGATGATACGGAGCTCGTAGACATCGGAAATTGTGGTCTCGACGAAGTGGTGGTGGATGATAGTGAGGATGAAGATGGAGGAGATGGAAGTGTCGCTGCTGGTGAGCCGATATGTTTGCGGGAGCTAAGCCCGAAAGCTGGAGATATACTTTTGGAGTCTGATGGATCGAATGATCACGAATGTCAGATAGGTAAACATATCTTTGTGTTGTTATGATGTCTCTAATCTATCTTCTTTGCAAAACATATGTTGTATTAACTCGGATCAATCTTACTGTATCTCTTTCTTAAAGGAAAGCAAGAATCAAATTGTGATACTGTGACCGGTTTCCAAGGTTCTTCGCGGATTACTGCTAATAGTCGTGGTCCAGGGCTGGAACTTTTGGATTCTCAGGAACCAGGAGAGTCAACACAAGCAGATGCCCTTGGTTTTGTGGATCAATTTCTGATGGACAAAGATCTAGATTTGTCCCCAGTGACTCTCCCGGAAAATAGTTGGAGAAGGAAGTCACCTCCTGTATCAGGTGCTAAAGGATGTCAATCTCTTGCCAAAAAAATCAAGAGCAGAAGTCCAACCAGGAAAATGAGTGTCTTTGATTGGGGTAGTGATCAGTGTGATGTGAGTGACCCTAAAAACTCTCCAGTCACCCGTGTAAGCATTACATGTTCCAAGAGAAGAGAAGATCATGTTGCAGATGATGATCCTGGAGTGAAGAAAGGATCTATGGATCCGTGTGAGAGTAGAAAAGTCTCAACTCATCCCACACAAAGATTTATGCACAACAGTTCTGAAAAACATCACACAATGGAACAACCATCGGGTTTGAGTCAGGGCATTATGTTTATCTCTCAGAAGGATGCTCAGCTGGAGGATAAGGCATCAAAGGAGCACTTGGAACCCGAGGAAGACTTTATTGACATTGGTATTAACACTCAAATTGCTGCTGAAGCAATGAGTTCTTTAGTGTATGCTTCCTGCACTAACGAAGAAGTTTGTGAATCAGACCAAATTCCTGGGAAGTTATCAGAAATGAGGGATCAAGTTAGTAATCTTTCTAGAAGGAACAATGATATCATTGAGGGTGGACTTGAAAGAGACAACTTGAGTGGTCTGCTTAGTGCTCCACACAAGGAAAGAAACTCTAAGAAGAAGAGAAAATTCACCAAGGAAGAGAGAACCGGAACAAACATCTCTGTTACAACATGTCTTCTCAACTTATGTGAATGGAGGCATCCCAGGGCCAAAAGGTCGCGTCTTATGCAAAGGCATCACGTCCCACCTAGAAGATCTTGGGGTGTTAGTTCAGTTAAAAACAGAAGTGAAACTAACACTTTGTCAAGCAGGTTACGAGTATCATTAAGTGGGACAAGAGAAGCCTCTTCTTGCCAATCAGGAGTCATTGACTTGGATGTTGCAAAACATGCACATCCAAGGAAAATATATGACGGGAATCATGAAAGCCCTTGCAATAAAGATTTTCCTAGGTTATTCCTTCAGAAAGAGCTTACTACGAGCCTTGGAGAACCTGGAAAAGTAGGTGACTTTGTGTGGAAAGACTTAAGGAGACGAAGAAACTTGGCACATGTTCGAGTTTTATTCAGCCATAATCTGGATGATGAAACAATCAAGCAGCAGAAGAAGGTTTAAGTTCTAGCCTCATTTTTATCAATTTTAACAGTGTAAGTTAATACTAGGCCAAATTGGTTATAATTGATCAAGAATTCCCTCTTTTCTTCCATAGATAATGGTTCGACTGGGAATTTCTCCGGCATCTTCCTCAGCAGATTCAACACATTTCATAGCAGATAGATTTGCTCGGACAAGGAATATGTTGGAAGCCATAGCCCTTGTTAAATTTGTTGTTACGCCTCTATGGCTGGAGAGCTGTGCACAAACAAGATGCTTGATAGATGAGAAGAGTTACATTTTAAGGGATAGCAAAAAGGAAAAAGACGGGTTCTGCATGCTTACATCTTTGGCCCGTGCGAAGCAGCATCCCCTTCTTAAGGTCACAATCTTATCCCATTTGAGCTTTTATCAGAGCTTCAAAAGATCCTTTGTTCACGAATATCAGAAACAAAATGTCACATATATTCACAGGGGTTAAAAGTCTGCATCACTCCCAACATTAAACCAAGTAGAGGTATGATTACTGACTTAGTGAAGATGACTCAAGGGCAGGTACGAACAACTCACTTGAATTGAGAGATTTTGTTTCATAGACATCTTAGCGCTTCTTCAGGATGGTTGGTTATGAGTTCCTTTATCAGGTAGTGGAGGTAAGTGAGATAATTGCTGCAAAGGATAGAAACTTTCCAGAAGATCTGTTGATTCTTTCTTGCGAAGAGGATCGAGATTTCTGTCTTCCTTTCATTAATCAAGGTAACGACTGTCACTTTTACACAAAGAAAATTAGTAAGAAAGAACAATATTAAGTTAATCAATGTAATCTTTCCATAAACACTTGTAATGTAATGTAGGAGCTGTAATTTTCACCTCAGAGCTTTTACTGAATGGAATCGTGATTCAGAGACTGGAATATGCCAGGTTTGCAACCACAAATTATCACCAAATTCAGAGATTATAATCCTAGTGTGTATTTGTGTAACTACGAACCAAACAACTTTAATGGATAGAACATAAATTGGTTAAATGTAAATCTCCTTACAAATTTTTTATTTTCTCTTGTTTCAGGCATGGTCTCTTCTCAATTTCAGAGAAAATGAACCAAAGAAACACATAAGTTTACAGCAGCATGTCTACGTATTTCTACTACTGGTTTGGTACAAGCTATGAATGAAGCCATTTTATAAATATTTCATAATCCAGTTTGTTTTAAGAGATGAGAAACCTCAGATTTCCTCCCTTTCATCACTCTAATGGATACAATAATCTACCACATAAAAATGACGCATTTCACATACATTAGTTCTAAACCTCTTCACATAAATTGGATTAGAAAAGGTAAGATACTGTGTTGAACAAGAGCTCTGAGAAATTTTTGGCAGTAGAAAAATGATTCATTCAGACCTAACTCTACTCATTGCTTTCAGGAGATTCAGCACTGGGGTTCGGATTGTTGGGGTTCAGATTGCTGAGGTTCGGATTGTTAAGGTTCGGATTGTTGAAACTACCACTTGGTGGAGCAGCAGGATTTGGATGATAAGGAGGGGGAGGAGGTAGTCCATTATAATTGGGAGGTGGTCCACCACCTTGACCTGGTATGGGAGCCATTCCTGGTGGCCTCAGAATACCATTTTGTGGTGGTGGAGGAAGAGGAGCGCCAGGCGGTGCCATCATCTGTGGTACTCCTGGAGGAGGCATGTAACCTGCAAATGTACAATATTACATTTCACTTCAAATAATTTTGTGCAAAGAAGATGGAATATCTATGTATGAAACATACTAATTGATGTTCGACCAACATGGTTTAAATGAATGGAATCTGTTTCCTAAGAGTTTGAAGAGTCATGATACACAACAACAAGTGACAATCAAAGCTCATATTGACCATCTGTACAATTTAACCCAAAGTTTCTTGCCATGTCAAGTTTCTCAAATCACTTATATGGGTGAAGTTCTCTATTATACTCTAATTCATCTCTAGTCTTTTCTAGAGATAACTATATGAAAGTTATCAACTAAAACTTTTGTAATGTAAATCTGCACAGCAAGAGGGTAACTATTATAGTAAGAGAAATTACCTTGACCAGGCATCATGGGTCTAGGCAGAACAGGAGGTCGCATACCCATAGGCATACCTCCAGGTGGTAGCATCATCGGAGGGCGAGGTCTGGCGAGCATATGCTGATTAAACACAGCACCAACCTGTGGATACCCTCCAGTTTGGTCAAGATGTTGCTTAATTCTCTGATCAATCAAACTTTGGGTTTGTTGTTCCTCAAATTGCTGATAGTATATTCTCACATTCGCCTGAAAAGATCATCAAACTCTTAACACACATTAAGAAAAACCATGTATACAAAAGAAAAAAAAACATTCTCTAGACTCTTTATGTACCTTGTGCTTGTAACCAGCATTGTGCTGCTTCCTTACTGATGGCTGAAAAAGATCAAATATAAAACTTTACTGATACGAGAAGACACTACAATCCGTGAAACATAATCAAAACCATAGATAACAAAACGCAACTATATTGATAAATAAACTTTCAATCGGAAATTGGTAATAAAATTGGATCTAACTAAGTTCACTTCACAAAAACAAAATTGAACTTGTATAGGAAAACTTCAGCTTAACCACAAAACCATGATTCCAAGTAATGAATCAAGCTAGTCAAAGGCAAGAAGAGAACCAGTGTGACATACATATGTAAATAGCATACTTGTTTTAAACTAGAATCCAAATCGGAAACCTAACAGACACCGCCGGAGATCGATTTCCAATATATAACCGAACTTAAATTCATCAGCTACAACGAGTTATCGAATACTATGGAAGAAAAATAAAAACAAACAAGAAGAAACTTACGGAATCGTGAGTGAGATAAGTATCGCAATAATCACAGTAATACCTGCGAAAATCAAAACCAAACAAGTAATTAAAAAACCTAATCTCGAACTTAATCAGTATCTATGTATCACTATAATAACGTTGAAGATCTAAAACCCTATACCTCGGCATCGTTTAGAAGATTCCAAAGAACCCTGCGAGTGAGAGAGAGACAGAGAAGCTTTCGGAAGCAGCGAGGGGAAGAAGAAAGTGCAGAGAGAATCGAGTTCACTTTTCGCCTAATTTTAATAAATATGATCTTTTAATCTAACGGTTCAGATTCGTCAACGTTATCTAACGGGTATTAATAACCCTAATCAAACGACGACGTTTTTTCACACGACGGATAGAAAAAAAAAACAGACCATTTCCCAGATTTTTTTTTTGAAACATAAGGAAAAAAAAATGATCGGAGATATCTCCCCGCCGGTGGCTTCAATCCCAGGTTGGTCGGATCTTTTGCCTTGCATTTGCATAATCTAAACAGGAGGCTATAGATTTCGCTGATTAGTTTCATCATGTTGAATTTATTGAATTAATTTGTTTATCTTTCGATAATTTGGCTAATATGTCGCCGAATATGTGTAGTTGTTGAAGGGAATGAAGAACTGAGGAAGCCACAGTATCTGCTTCCGCCGTTTTCAAAGGTGGTGTCTCATTTTGGCACTAGTGGATTATCCGTTGCGTTAGCCACCGGCGTCACTCATCCTCTCGGTTAGATCCTGATTCCTTCTTCTGCGTTTGAAATTAGAACCATTGGCTCCATTTTTGGATTTTATATGCTGCAATTTCTGCAGATAGGTGTTTTCTGTTGAGGTCTTTGTATAATGTAGCAGTGTAGTCTTGCTTTTGTAGTTGATCAGTGTATAAGTCTCTGCTTAACTACTATGTGGCATTTTAAGGTTAGGGATTGAGAAGAAAATGGTTGTTTTTGTTTCATACTATTCTTAAATGGGTTCTTCTTGTCGTTTTCGTTGTCCAGATGTAGTGAAAGTAAGATTGCAGATGCAGATTGGTGTTTTCTGTGGCTGTTTTGTAGCACTTGTCATGGATGTTCAAGTTTCTTCTAAGGAATATGCGTTCTCCGATAGTGATCTTTGGATAATGCAGTATAGTCTTGATTTTGTAGTTGGTCAGTGTATAAGTCTCTGCTTAACTACTACTGAGAAGAAAATGGCTGTTTTTCTTTCATACTGTTCTTAAATCTTTTCTTCTTGTCGTTTTCGTTGTCCAGATGTGGTGAAAGTAAGATTGCAGATGCAGCATGTCGGCCAAAGGGGTCCTTTAATTGGAATGGTAATAGTGTTTTGATGAACTTCTCCTCTTCATGTTGTTACTGGGGATGCTGATTTAACTTAGTTTGAAGTCTTTCATATGTTTTTCAGACTGGGATCTTTGTTCAACTAATGAAGAATGAAGGGTTTAGGTCATTATACTTGGGGTTGACTCCTGCTCTTACTAGATCAGTGCTTTACGGAGGTCTCAGATTGGGATTATATGAACCCACCAAGGTTTCTTTTGATTGGGCATTTGGATCTACCAATGTCTTGGTTAAGATTGCCTCAGGCGCATTCGCTGGGGCGTTTTCCACAGCAGTAACTAACCCCGTTGAAGTTGTGAAGGTAGATGAAACCTCAAGTATTGCTTTTATTCTGTTCACTAGATCTCTTTTTTGGTTTTTAAGACACATATCAATTTGCCTTCCGTTAGGTAAGGTTGCAGATGAATCCAAACGCAGTTCCAATTGCAGAAGTGCGGGAAATAGTCTCTAAAGAAGGCATAGGAGCTTTATGGAAAGGAGTTGGTCCTGCCATGGTTAGAGCTGCAGCACTAACTGCCTCACAGCTTGCAACATATGATGAAACCAAACGGGTCATATTCTAAGACTACTATTTTCCACTTTTTGAGCACCATGAAGTAATTTCCATAATCTGTTTTGAAATTGTCAAGTAATCATGCTTCTCAACCATTTATTGATTCAAAAAGAGTTGCTACTTTCTAACGTTTCAGCTTCTAAAGTTTCTTGTAATTGCAGATTCTGGTTAAGCGAACTTCTTTAGAAGAAGGGTTTCAACTTCATTTGTGGTAAAAGTTTAGCAGTCACTATTACTGTTTCTTTTTCAGACAAAAATCAATTGAAGCGCCAAAAACTAACTTATTCTAGCACTTGAGGAATGAAGCTCAAGTGTGGTTGCAGGTGTCGTAAGCACACTGATAACGGCGCCCATAGACATGATTAAAACCCGCTTGATGTTGCAGCAAGGTTCCGAAAGCACCAGAATCTACAGAAACGGGTTTCATTGCGGTTACAAGGTAATGTTTTCAAGCCTTTCGTTTATACATTTTCACTGGGCATTGCTTGCTTTCTTGCGTTGAATGATATTGTGTATGATCCTTCAGGTTGTTCGCAAAGAAGGACCTCTGGCACTTTACAAAGGGTGGGAAGAAAAAAAAAATCCTTCTTGTTCATGCGCATACATTCATATAATTCGCAATACATAAATATAAAAAACGCTTCTTGTTTTGTTTACTTGACACAGTGGCTTTGCGATTTTTGCACGGCTCGGGCCACAAACGATGATCACGTTCATCCTATGCGAGAAGCTAAGATCACTCGCTGGACTTCACACAATGTAGCCACTGACCGGTTCGTGCCAAGCTTGTCTGGTTCTAGATAAGTTCTTCTCCATTCTTTTTATAAAAATAATAATTCACACTAGGTGAGATTTTTCAAATCAAATGTTTAATTCATTATTGATGTGGTAGTGTTTTAATATGTTTGTTTTAAGGGATTGGATACAATATTAGACATATCACAATTTTTATCTATTGTACAATTTTGCGCATCACACTATTTATTCTCTATGATTCATCATTTCACTCCTATTATGACCAAAAATAAAAAAGATGATGTAATTCTACATTGTTTTAATTTTTGTTATAAAGAAAAAAGTACTCTTAAGTTGGTATGTTCTTTTTGTCATCTAGATCCAAGCGTGATGGAAATTGAGCCTGTTTCTTTGATTAGGATTGGATAAGCATTGAATTGAAATGATATTTATCCAAATAAATATATAAATACGTAGTGGTTATGTCGAAATGACTTCTCTATTACAAAGTGTGTGTCACTCTAATAATTATACTAGTCTCTATCACGAAGAATACAAATTGTTTTCTTATAATTGAATATTAACCAATTATCCAAACAAATAATTCTAATATTAGATTAGTTATGGTGGAAGTTGGTTGTAGACAAGAATACGCTTTGACCATGTTTTTTTCTTTTATTTTTTTTTCTGGTAAGACGTAAAATTGTATAAACATGCACGTTAAAAACTTGTAGGGCCGAAACACAAAAGATGAATAAATTCAGGGGTCTATTTGTTGGAAATATGAGAAAAATTAATTTTGTGGCGTTGGAGAAAGGAACAAGTTGGAGCTGCTCGAGTCTTTGTTTTTTGGTCGCGTTGGCGGGACAGTCTGTCATGCTTGTGTTTGCCCCTCGGTTTTCGCTTTTATTTACGGTTTTTGCCATTATATTTTTTTCTGACCATTTTGGCCTTAGACAGTGACCTTTCCGTTGTGCTTCTATTTCATTATTTTTTTAGATCCTATGGTCAAACTCTTTTCGTGTTTATCCATTTACAAAAGTCTTTGAATGTTCTTCATTATTATTAATGTTTAAAAGTTTACTTTTAAAAAGGTTTCTTGACCTTCATAATTAAGTCGTACAAGAGTTAGCTATAGTACTTAGGGTTTTATTGGTTCGGATACATAATGTAATTCAACTTGTGGAAGTGATAGTTATTAATTACTTATTAGGGTTATTCGGCAGTTTGGTATATATTTGCAAGACCATTATAACTACTTAACTTACAGTGTTTGAAATTAGAAATAACAATATTGGAGATGGTATTTATATTTTCTTGAGAAATATTAAACCATATTATTTATAATATTTGTTATGTTTATGAAATTTTTTAGATTTCGTTATTATCTCGGTGATGATAACCATAGGTCAGATTTTGACATTCGATCATGTATAGTTGCTTCTACAAAAAATTTCGCGGTAGGTTAAGAATAACCACTTTTTTTCTGATTTTCAACTTCATGTTTCTTAGGTTATGAGGTCTTTGTGAGGTTGAAACGTTTTTCATATTCATGAGTGGAGGAGACCAAAGAGTTTCGAGCCTCTCGAGGTACTTCGCATGTCTTTGTTGGGTAGAAGACGACATTATGGATCTCTCATCTTACGGATTTTGGGTTGTCCTATACATCCGATGTTTCCACTCGGTTTATTAGACTATTTTCAAAATTTTCATTGAATTTTTATAATGTTTTGTCTTTGCATTTTTTAATATTATTAGACTTTGGTGCGGATATTGGTAAATAAAACGAATGTCAAATTCATGTTCTCCATGTCCAGTAAATATTTCGATAAGTAAATTATCTATTTTTGAAAAAAATGAAACGGTTGTCATAGATGAATTTGTCAAATTTGAATAAAAATATTGTTAAAAACTATGTTAAAATTTTATGTATTTTCCATGTATGCTAAAAATAATATTTTAAACAGAAGATTGAAAGTAACAAAAAAAACTAATTAAGTACTTCATATTATATGAAACAAGACTACAAAAGTGATATTAAAAAGGTAAAAATACAATTATGAGACATTGAGATAATCTGGCATGAATTCTTTAATACATATGAAATATAAATAATGTGTTGCAGGATATTTAAGATAAAAAAAATGAATCAATATTTGTTGAAAACTAATAACTCATAAAATCTAACAACTAAATGAACCTAATGACACGCAAATAAAGCTATATTAACTATTTTTTAAAGGTAAAAATGATTATCTTAAATAAAAATGTCGAAGTTAAATAAACATCATTAGAAATATATTGTAAATTATTATATATCTACCATGTTTATTGATTTTTTCGAAAACAAGTTGTTGAATTTTTTTTTGTCTATAAAAATATTATTATTTAAAAAAACAAATTTAGAAACAACCAAAAAAATATTTCTTAATATATGAAAACAATAAAAAATACTAAAATGTGAAAATATGATTATGAGATGTCGATATATCATTTTACGAATTTTTTATATAAAGGATATAAACATTATATTGTATTGCAAGATGAGAAATGTATATATTTATTGAGAAACTGGCAACTAGTAGAACCTAACGATAGAGAGATACCAAGACTAACAAATAAGTATTTGGCATATTTTTAAAAATCTTTTTTTGTCATAAATGAAATGATCGAGTTTGAATATGACATCGTGAAAATTTATGTTAAAGTTTAGTGTATATTAAGAAGTTCAAAAATAAGATATTGAATTTCATCTTTTTCATTTTTTTAATATATAAAGTTTTTAACAAAATTTGAAATAATTTAGAATAGATGAAAATAAAATTAGATTTAATATATATGAAATATAAAGATAAAATTATGAGACACCAACATATTCTTGTGTGAACTTGTTATATAGATTAGATACAAATAATGTATTGAGGTATTTTAAGATAGAAAATAAATTAATACTTTTTTTTTAATAAAACATGAAGTAGTTAATAATCTAACGGCTAATAGAAATCAACGGCTGAAAGATAAAATATTAGAAATATTTTTTAAAAATTAATCTGTTGTCTTAAAATGACGGAGTTGACTATGATACTGGTCAAAAATGCATTTAATTTTTATGTATATTCCTCATATAGTTGTATACTAGAAAGTTTGAAAACACGGTATTGAATTTCATTTTTTCCGTATTATAAAAAATTACAAAAAAGTCCTTCAAAACATATGGAAACAAGATTGTAGAATAATAGTAAAGAAGTAAAAATATAGTTATGAGATGCCCATATATTTTTTGTATGAAATTTTATGTTAAAAAATTGATTTTTTTTTTTTGAAAATAGTTTACGATGGGAAATGAATCAGTATTTGTTGAAAAACTGACAAATGGCAGAACCTAACGGCTAAGAGAATCCGACGACTGGCAAATGAAATATTTTGACTAATTTTTGGAATAGAACAAAACGGTTCTTTTAAATGAATTTGTCGCGTTTGAATACGACATCGTTAAAAACTATGTTTAACTTTTATGTATATTCTATATATAATAAAAGTTCGAAAAACTGTATTATTTTATTTTCTCATCCTTTTTTATCTTACAATTTATCAATTATTTGTTGTTGATAAACAAAAAAAATAGCTCGCAATAACGTAATTTAAATTTTGAACACATTTAACCTATTACCTGAATCTAAAATATTTTATTCTATAAGTAGATCGATGTTTTTTTTAAGTCCCAACACCTCATATTGTTCAAAATGTTCGTTTATTTTTAGATCTTGATTCTCTAATTATTTATAAAAATTGACAGCTTTCCTTTTTGAAACTAAATAATACTAAAACAATACAAGTTTGACTACAATACACATTTTTCGAATAAAAAAAAAAAAACAGATAGAGAGAGAGAAAAAAGAAACACAAATAAGACGCGCGTAAAAAGGAAGGGTAATATCGTCATTTACGTCGTTTTCCCATAACGAGACAAAACAATCGGAAGTGTTCCCTCGCATCGTAAAGCTTTCTCCTTCCTTCTTTGTACAGCTGTAATGGCAATATCGTAAATTAGTAGTAACAGAATGGGCAATTATTGTCAACATTTTAATTTAATTTCCCCAACTCCTCAAATTCCACCATTTTCTTCATCCCCTCCTCCATAATTGATTTTCCTTTTTTTTTTTTGTTTCTTCAACTAAATAAATAAATTTTTAGAAACCAAAAAAAAATTGTAGAAAGAGAAAAAACTCAGAGGAGAGAAAGAGAAGACGACGAAGACGACCACCATTTTTTTTTGTCAAGAGAGAGAGAAGACGGAGACAACAATGGCGGAAGCGAAGGAGGAGAATAGGGAGAAAAACGAAGAAGAAGAGAGCGTAAAGCTTTTCGTCGGACAAATTCCGAAACATATGTCGGAATCTCAACTCTTAACATTGTTTCAAGAGTTCGCTGTCGTAGACGAGGTCAATATCATCAAGGACAAGATTACACGCGCCTCTCGAGGTTTCCTTTTTTCTTCTTCACGCCTCTGTCTTCGATTTTTGAGATTTTTTTTTTGAAGTTTTTGATTGGAGAATGTGGTGTGTGATTCGTCGAGATTTATTTGAATTTCGAAACCCTAATTTGTGATTTAAATCTTCCGATTTTAGGATGTTGTTTTCTGCTATGTCCATCGAGAGAAGAAGCAGATAAGTTGGTCAATGCTTGCCATAACAAGAAGACATTGCCTGGGGTTAGTTTTTTTTCTTAATTTCTCTGACAATTTTTTTTTCTTTCTTTCTGGGGATTTTTTTTTTCTTTCAGATGCTTGAATGTGATTTGATGTTGTTTTGTTTTTAATTATTGAATTACACAATTTTTTTGTTCATTTAGAATCTCGAGGTTTTCTTAAAATGCATATTATTCTTAAATCTGATTTTTTGGAACTGCATTGTACTTGTTTTGGTTTCTGATTGATTCCAGAATTGGCAAATTTCTGATTTCGATATATTTTTTGCACGAAGCATTTCTTTCTGTTTAGGTGAACATCAATTTCCTTTGCCCGAATCAGAATCTAAGAGTCAGTTTTGTTGGAATAGTATGACATTGTTTTGAAATGGTTTCTTTCTTCAAACCCAAGAAAGTGCTATCAATGGTAAATTTAGGAAAATGCTAGAATTAGATCAAATGTGTAAACACAAGAGAAAACACTTTTGTTTCACACTTAAATTGAAGCAAAGTGTTAGTTTTGATCCTTGTTCTTATGAAAATCTGAAAAATCTTGGCAAAAATGAGAATGTGATTTATTGGGATGAATTCTGTGTGTTTTAACATCTTGAACAATGGTTGTTTCGATATTTCTTCGGCCCTTTTGTCGATAACCTTTGGGATGCTTATCAAGCTTAAATCCTTGTCAGGTCTCTACCTAACCTAACCTTTTTTATGATTGTTCAGGCATCCAGTCTATTGCAAGTAAAGTATGCAGATGGCGAACTGGAAAGGCTAGGTAACGCGATTTCAACTGCTTCTATATGTTGTTTCGTGCTCTATTTTACCCATTTTCATTGTTGTATCATCAATTGATGGATGTATTGTTACTGTATTTTTCAATCCAGAGCATAAGCTCTTTGTTGGTATGCTTCCAAAGAATGTCTCTGAAGCTGAAGTTCAATCTTTATTCTCCAAGTATGGGACCATAAAAGATCTACAGATTCTAAGAGGTGCTCAACAAACAAGCAAAGGTTAAATCCATCTCTGTGATCTTTGGTTTCGTTAGTATGATTTTCAAGTTTTGACCTTTTTGGTTGTTGTTGTTAGGCTGTGCTTTTCTTAAGTATGAGACAAAAGAACAAGCTGTTTCTGCCATGGAATCCATCAACGGAAAACATAAAATGGAGGTAACTGTTTTTGCTAGTTTGACCACTTACCGTTTGTAACACAGAGTTGTGTGTAGTGTGAAAATTTCATCTTTTTTCTTTTCGTTTTCGTCTTAGGGTTCGACTGTTCCTTTAGTTGTCAAATGGGCAGACACAGAACGAGAAAGACACACAAGAAGACTTCAAAAGGCTCAATCTCACATCGCTCGATTATCTAACGCTGATCCAACAAATCCCTCATTGTTTGGAGCATTACCTATGGGTTATGTTCCACCATATAATGGATATGGTTATCATGTAAGCAAGCGAGCCTAATACTCCGTTAGTTCAGGCGTTATAAGATTTGTCTTCATCAAGCTTGTAATTAATAAAATTCTCGTTTCTATTTCCATAGCAGCCTCCTGGAACTTATGGTTACATGCTACCACCAATTCAGAACCAAGCTGCATTTCCCAATATGATTGCACAACCAAACCAAGGTAATAACAATGCATTGCAAGGAACATCGCCTGACTCTGTGCCACCTCGTTTGGCCCGTAGAAACTTTCCTATGCCTCCTGCAAACTACATGGGATCTGGTTATCCTGCTGTACGAGGTCATCCTTTTCCATTTGCTTATCCCAGAGGAATTGTGAGTCCTCGCCCTCTAAGTAGCTCTCCTGGATCCATATCACCTGGCATTGCCAACAGTGGCATGTCAACAACACCTTTAGGAATTGGTTTGAGTTCCGTGGTTCAAACCGAAGGTTAGTGTTAAAACCTTATTAGTTTCTTCTCCTATTCCTTTAAGACCTGAAACATTATTTTGGTTCTTTAGGTCCGGAAGGTGCAAATCTGTTTATCTATAACATACCTCGGGAATTTGGGGATCAAGAACTCGCTGCTGCATTTCAACCTTTCGGTATTGTTCTGAGCGCCAAGGTTTTTGTAGACAAAGCCACTGGCGTAAGCAAATGTTTCGGTAAGCTCTCTATTTGTCTGGTTTTTCCTCTTTTAAAACTGGTTCATTGTGAAGGTAGAAAGAATGCATTCTTTTGTTGTTGCTGTTGGTTGCAGGTTTTGTTAGTTATGACTCACAAGCAGCCGCGCAGAACGCTATTGACATGATGAATGGTCGCCATTTAGGCGGTAAGAAATTGAAAGTCCAACTTAAGAGAGACAACAACAATGGCCAACAGCCTTCCTTAATCTCCTAAAAGGCTAAAACTCCTCTCTTCAACTTGAAAGCTCATAACAGAAAAAAAAAAAAAAAAAAACATATTCAGGCTAATGGGTCGACCCGGTTCAAAGATTTGGACCGATCTTGATTGGATACATCTGTATAAAATCCAAATCTCATTGTGGGTCAAAATGTCCCATCAACTCAAAAGCTGCAAACTGGAACTTCTTTTTTTTTTTTTTTTTTCTGCAAATAACAATTTGTAATTTATGTGTATTATTGAAATTCATGTAGAAATTTTATGATTTATTAACATTAAATTCATTGAATTTTTCGTCTATCATTTTCTTTTATGATCTGTTGTTTGTCTTTAGAGTTTAGAAGAAAGATTCAGTGTTGTTCAAATATCAAAGAGAAATATCAGATTATCTTGCTACAAAACCAAACATCACAACAAACACAAACAGACAGACACAAACATGAAGAGGTACTACAACAACAGTCAACACAGACAGGTTCAGCCCTTGTTGAACCCTAAAATCAGACCTCTCACCAACAATCCCTAAAGACCCTAAACAAATTGGACAATAATCTCTGTATTGATTTACAGACACAACCAGTTTTCTTCCTTCTTGTTTGTTCTCTGCAGCAGATTGAACAGAAAAACAAAGTAAAGCTACATAGAAATGAGTTTGTCACCGGTGAAAGCGTGGGAAATGCAGATCAGGCTTGAATTAAGAAGATCATTGCTTCTTCATCTTAGTCGCTTGTGCTTGAGCTCAAAGTGTTGTTTTTATTCTCTGTGAATGATACTAGTGGAGATGCTTTAGGGCTCCAGTCTTCAGTGGTACTGGTGTTTGAAACTCTAGCGTTGTTGTTGAGCTGACTCAAGAAGCATTTCTCTACTGAACTTAATGATCCAATATCGGTTTCATCTTCGTGGGTAGAGTGGCGGCTGCGATGTTCTTGTGGCTGTTCCACTTCTTCTTCTTCTTCTCCGCATTCCGAATCTGTGCCTTGTGATTCACCGCTGACTTCCATGTCTTGTGCATTGTCAGAATCAGAATCAGTTTGGGAGTTGGATGAGTGGGATGGAGAATATCCTTCTGATCCGGTAGCAGTTTCTTCGCGTTCAGCTAGTGTCTTTGTGATGAGAGTCTTAAGCAAGTTCATCACTTGAACAGCATGCATAAGAGCCGTTAATGGATCTGTCATCTATAGTTAGAGAATGCAAGAATCAAACGTTAGTAACTTTTCATTGATTCTTATAAAACACTAAGCGTTATTGAACAAGGTTAAGTTTGGTTTTACCTGAGTCATGTTAGGAGCAAAAACCATGGCTATATTCCTTGCATTCATTTTGTTAGACTCTTCTTCTTCAACAACATCAGCCATAAGATCAACAGCCCAATGAAGCAAAGCAGACTCAGTTGGCTTCAACTGCTTAATGAGTTCAACAGATTCATCCTCGGTATTACAATTGAGAACTTCCTCAGGAGAAAGACCGTCAAGCACTCCACAAGGTAACTCTCTAAACCAAGCTTTAATAAGACCAGCCAAACAATGCACATCAATATTCTCAGGTACAATACCTCTGTTTAGTTGATCTCTTACATGTTCCTCTTGACTATTCTCAGGATTTATCCTGAAAATTCCTTCAGCCTACAAAAAAAAAGGTATACATATCAATTCAATCTACTCTCAGAAAAATTCTTAATTTTGATTCCCATTTCCATTACCTTGAGACCTTCTTGAGAATATAGTCTCTCCTGCATAAGTAATAGAATAGTTGGGACACTGTTTCCTTTCTCGTCATAAGAACATTGCATCGATTCCGCCGATACACCAAACACGCTCACACTGCATTTATATCTAAGCTTTTAGTATTTTGAATCCTAAAGATCCAATTAACAACCATTAATTGCAGATCCAGTTTCAGATTTTGAAGCAGCAGTGAAATTGAGAGATCTTTGAATTGATACCTTGCACTAGGGACTCGACATGGGATCTCGACTTGAAGCTCGTGAGGGAGACCAAGAAAGCCATGGAATCGATCGAATGTTACATGAGTGATGTGTCGAACATTTGTTGGCCAACCGATCTCCATGTGATGAACGGCGGACGAAATCCCTCCGCCGACTCCGCCGTCGTCTTGTCTGTTGTCTACACGGCAAGATACTACCGATTTACGCAGCGCTGTTAAGAGAAACTCTACAAGAGACAGTTGTTGCTGATTCTGCTCTTCTTCTTCTTCTTCCTCCGCCGTCGATTTTCTCCTTCCTCCTTTTCCTCCGCCGCAACCTCCGCCTTTAGTCATCATTACAAGCCCCGTCATTGAGAAACTTACTTATTGAAGAAGAGACAAAGAACAATGAAGAATTTCGCAGCTTCTCTCTCTCTTTCTCTCTGAACTTTGTGCTTCTTCTTCTTCTTCTCTCTCTTTGGAAGTGAATTTGATTTTTGAAATTCTCGAAAAGATTTCTCTTTTTTTATTCTTTTTGTTTGATTTAATATATATATTTTTAATTTTGTCTTTTTGGTTGGATTTCAAACCAACGGGCAACGGTCCACTCAATTCAAAATTATCTCCCTCTAGGGCCATTATTTATCTAATATGGCTTTTATTGGAATCACGTTTTACCCCAAAGAACTTCTCTCAATCTACAACAATGCCACTTGCTTTAATTGGTTCTTGGTTGTTGACGTGGCGTTTCATTTATGGATCTTCTGGATTTTTTTTTAATCTTTGTCAAATTGATATTCTCACTTCATTTTAAAACAAATTTCATTTTTTATTTCATTAACCAAAAAAGACTATAAATTTAAGTTGATATCAAATACTGAAAAAAAAATCTTTTTTTTGCTACTAGTTCCTTTTTATTATAATAAACTTAATTTTCTTTTAAATACTGAAAAAGTAGATATAACAATAAACAATTATTTTTGGTTAGAAAACTATATTTTTAATATAAATGTATTGTTGGAAGAAATTTTCTCCGGTTTGTAATGTAATGACTAATTAGATAACGATACGTGGATATGCAAATTTTCTTCTCTTTTTTTTTCCTTTTCTACCTTTACTGAAAATGGTGAACCAAAAATTTATTAACAAAACCGGTTTAACAGTATATATGATAAGTATACAATTAGTACACATAAAAAAAGTTTTAAGTCTTCCGCCGCTAGGGTTCTTGTTGTATATTATGCGATGAAGCCGCCTCCGAGAAATTTGTTTCAGGTGAGTCGATTTCCTTTTAATCTCGATTGAACTGAAACTATTTTAATCTATAAAATCTTTACGAAATATATGTTTTTGATAACTTACCGAATTTAAAATATATGTTATCATTTTCTGATAGCAGTAGTATAAAAATTAGTCAAGCATTAAGATTTTTTCCGCCATGAAATTTTCTATGTGTTGTAAAACATATGTTTAGACTCTTTAGATTATCTAAGCGGCGTATAAATTTCATGGATCTCAAATTTAAATAGCTAAATCACTATTGAGTTAAAAATTTATGTGGTTGGTAATAAGTGGTAGAAGGTTATTAAATGTTCTAGCCGGTATGGATGGATTAGATCTAAGATTTCATTACTCACATTCAGATTTAGGCATCCAAAATATCTTAATTTTGGGTTTATTAATCATAAATATTATGTTCGAAATTGACATGCAATATCTACATGTTGAAGTCAAGATTTGATCCTAATTTTTTAATTTACTAATAAGTTTTGGTTTTTTTAATACTTTTGTTTCTAGACCCCGTCTAACAAAAAACAATATAAAACAAAAGCATCACCATCAGTATCTATTGATCGTAGAAAAACACGATCAATGTCTAGATCTGAAAGAAAATCATCATCATCAAACTGTATTTCTGAAACAAATGCGCCATCAACATCGAAATGTATATCTGAAACGAATGTGCCATCAACAAAATATGATGATAAAGTAAGTATTTTTCTTCTAAATGCTCAATGATTTACTAATTTGATTGTTCTAGTTGATCAATTGGTGAAATAAATCTTCACGAGTTTAAAAGTGACTTTGTTCGTTTCACCATCCATGTATGTAAGTGTTGTTATTCGTTTTGCTTAATTTGGGCTTTTTAAAAAAGAAAAGGCTGTGTTGGGCTTTGATTAAACGACTTAGACCCAAAGAAAAGAAGTCACGTGTACTCTCACGTGATTGTCTTCATCGTTTCGACATTTGGAAAGAAAATGTTAGGGTTTGAAATCGTCGCTGGACCAAATAATCCGATAAGAAGCTATAGCTGAAGTGTTCCTTCTATGTCAAAGAGAGAGAGACTCAGTGTCAATATATCTAGAAATTAACCTCATTCTTTTTACATATTTACCATTATGCCACCATGTCCTGAAGATAGATTTCACTGCTTCTTCACCATACATTTAGATTTTCCTATCTTCTTCTCTACCATATAACCTAACGCTATAATTCACGGCGGCACAAAATTCTAGTCGCTGATTGCTCTCCATTCACCGGAAGTTTAGAGTCAGTCACTGTTGCGTATATTAGTGACAATCATGGTTCGATTGTTGCAGCCTAAACACATGGTACAAGCTGTGAATGCTTTGCATTGGCGAAACTCTGTGGAATTTCATAAGCTGCTTAAAGATAATGGAGATTTCTCTATTTGCTTTAACTCTGATCAAGGGTTACCACAAAAGGTGCAAATAAACTTGATTTGATTTTTCAATTTTGTTCTCTCCATTTGTAGTATAGTACTGATTTTTGGGTTTCTTTCAGATTAGTGTTGAGAAAATGGTGAAAATGTTACCTCGGCATCTCATTGCGGTGGTTATGACTCCTAATAAAGATGGAAAGTCTCGATATATATTGTGTGGGATCAGACTGTTGCAGACGTTGTGCGACTTAACACCTCGTAACGCGAAACTCGAGCAGGTTTATCCATCTTTATATGTGTTTTTGAGCTTTTGAAGAATTGGAATTTATGTCTCTAAGGAACAGTATTTAGGAATATGGTTGATTCTTTTTTGTTTGCATATTTGTGATAGGTCTTGCTTGACGATGTGAAATTATCAGCACAGATGATTGATCTGGTGATTATTGTGATAATAGCTCTTGGCCGTAACAGAAAGGTTCTTTTCTCTAAAATCCTCTTTGTGTCTATTCCTGTTTCTCTTTGGAGCTGTAATTTCATGTCTGTTGCTTGTTTCCAGGAAAGCTGCAATTCGAATAAAGAATCGTTACTAGAGGCTACATTGGTGGCTTCTTGTCTCCACCTGTTTCATGGGTTTATCTCTCCTAACTCCCAAGATCTTGTTCTCGTCTTGCTTGCCCACCCAAGGGTATGCATCTATGACCTTTATCATAATGTGCTTGAAATGCCAATGTGAGGAAAGGATATATCATTGGAAAATAAGAAAATTACGCTTGTGCTTTGAGATCTGGGTTCTGCTGCCTTGGGACAAGTTTGATCTGATTCTTGTTTTTCTCATCTAGGTTGATGTGTTTATAGACAGTGCTTTTGGAGCTGTTCTCAATGTTGTGATATCTTTGAAAGCGAAGTTGCTGTATCGACAAACTGACTCCCCAAAAAGGTTAGGTGCAAGTTCTGTAGAGGAGGTCAACTTCCACTGCCAACAAGCTGAAGCTGCTTTGCAGTTCCTTCATTCTCTCTGCCAACACAAACCGTTTAGAGAACGTGTCGCTAAAAACAAGGTTTCTCTAGTGCTTGGTATTTGATGCATCAATTTTAGATTAACTAGTCTCTTGTATATTAATCACTGAGTTGTTAATAATTCGTTTTGCTAAATTGATAATTTTGTGGAGGACGAATCTCAGAATTAGGTTTTCTGGTACTCTTCTTTCAGGAGCTATGTGGAAAAGGTGGCGTTCTTAGGCTAGCTCAATCCATACTATCACTAGCTATTACACCTGAATTTGTTGGAGCAACCATAACTATAGCTTCCACATCTAGAATGAAAGCAAAAGTCCTTTCACTTGTAAGTCTATTGACATTTAGCAAAGTGTTTCTCTATTTATTGTCTGCTACTCATACCAAAGTTCATGTTCCTGCAGTTGCAGCATTTGTTTGAGGCAGAAAGTGTCTCATTCCTTGACGAGGTTGCAAATGCAGGAAACTTGCAATTAGCCAAAACTATTGCCTCAGAGGTTAGTCCTAATAAGGGGCTCTGCTCTAAAATCGATAGGACGTTTTCCTTCTTGATTTGAAAGGTTTAGCACTGGGTGACACTGCTATTTATGGAGATTCCATACAAATTGACAATCTTACTGGTTTCTATATGTTGTAACTAGTCATAGAACAAACCTCAAGTTGGCTTAGTGATAATCAGCTCTGCTCTGTAGTCTAAACCTACAGTTTCCTAAATGGCATATGTTGTTAAATTGACATTTTGTACTTTCTGTTCCTCAATTCTCTCCCGGAAAGTTTATCTATGTGAAGTTGGTGTTCACTTATTCAGTGATGATATATCTGCAATCTAGGTTCTTAAATTACTGAGGCTTGGCCTTTCTAAAGCTTCCATGGCTACTGCTTCTCCTGACTACCCGATGGGTTTTGTGCTACTTAACGCTATGCGCTTGGCTGACGTGCTCACGGATGATTCAAATTTTCGATCTTTTTTCACTGAACATTTTGTAAGTATCCAATTATTCCTGCCTCTGCTAAAGTCTTTTGTTTTATTTATTGTTTTGGCACATATGATTCATACAATTTATGGGCTGTCGTTGGTCTGGTTATAAATTAATTGCGCTACTGAAATTCTGTAATTTGATGTGTGACGGATGTTCAATCTTTCTCCAGAGCATGGTTCTCAGTGCGGTATTTTGTCTCTCTCATGGAGATTTCTTGTCAATGTTGTGCTCTTCTGATCTTTCTTCAAGGGAGGATGATGCGAATGTTGATTACGATCTGTTTAAGTCAGCCGGATGGGTTTTAAGTATATTTTCATCTTCTGGGCAATCAGTCACACCTCAATTCAAGCTCAGTTTACAAAATAACCTTACCATGTCTTCATATGCACACCAACGAACATCCTTATTTATTAAAATGATCGCGAATCTTCACTGTTTCGTTCCCAACGTCTGCGAAGGTGATTTTTTTTTCCCGTCACTATCTTCTTCATTTTCCTGTATCATATCTTCGGTTTACCTTCGTTTGTTACTAAGTGTATTCGCTGTTAATATCTCTGCAGAACAGGATAGGAACCGTTTCATTCAGAATGTTATGAGTGGATTGCGAAAAGATCCTTCAAGCATATTGATTAAGATGTTACCAGGCTCTTCATATACTCCAGTGGCACAGAGAGGCACTGGTGTTTGCAGGAACCTAGGTATGTATCTCTATCCCGAGATACATATATTATTTTTCATATACACATGTTTTGGCGATTTTGTTTTGATGGATATTTGTATATGTAGGTTCTCTGTTGCGCCATGCAGAATCCTTAATCCCTAGTTCCCTCAATGAGGAAGATTTCCTGCTTTTGAGGTAACAGAAAGCCTCTTCAGTCATTGTACTTTTCACCGATGACTATATTAAAGATTTATAGTTCTCTAGATGTGCTATTTTATGTAGTCATTTTTTCGGGATATTGTCTTGTGCAGGGTGTTTTGTGACCAGTTGCAACCGCTAATCCATTCCGAATTTGAGGAAAGTCAAGTACAGGTGAAGGTGAAAAAGCTTTTTGCTCTCTTCTACATTGCTTTTACAGTGATCTTGTTTTGTTTAAGATTATCTGTTTTGTTACACTGATACAAGTAGCTATAACATGGCTTTACTAATGTCCATCGTATGTTGAATTTCTACGAAAGACAGGTCTTTTTCTAACCTTCAAATGTTATGTTTGTTCTAGGATATTGAAGGTACGGGAGGGAATTTATCTGGTAAGCAGCAGAGAAAAGAGCTTCTGAATCTGAACAATGAGGAAGCTTCAGAGAATTGTGATGTCCGAGTTGAAGGTATGATAACAAAGCAAGGCGTGAATGAGGAGGTGGACACAGTTGACCGATTAAAAGAAAGCGATGCAGATGCGAGCAATCTTGAAACCAGTGGTTCAGATACAAGCTCTAACAGAGGGAAGGGTCTGGTTGAAGATGGAGAGTTGGTTCAGAATATGAGCAAGCGGTTTAAAGGCAGTGCGTCAGGAGAGGTGAAGGAGGATGAGAAATCTGAAACCTTCCTTGTCTTTGAGAAGCAGAGGACGAAACGGAAGCGTAGTATTATGAATGATGATCAAACGGGGATGATCGAGAAGGCGCTTGCTGATGAACCTGATATGCAGCGGAATTCAGCTTCGATACAGTTATGGGCTGATAAATTAAGTCAAAAGGTGAGTTCAAGAATTCTACTCTTTTTAATTTCCAACAGGTATTACGAAGGATGCGCTTGTTGATTACGCGATTTTGCAGGGTTCGGAGGTTATTACATCTTCGCAGCTGAAAAACTGGTACTTGCTTTTTTTTTTCCTCTCCGTCAACTGCAAAGAGAATCGTAATCACTATACGCTATCTGACATTGATAGTTTATTCTCAGGCTGAATAACCGAAAAGCGAAACTAGCTCGAGCAAACAAGCAAACGGGGACAGTTCGGGATAATAACAGCTCAGGGGAATTACCGGAGAGCCCTGGAGATGAAAACACTTGGCAGCAGAAACCATCAACACCATTTAAAGATCAGACTGCATCTAAAACCCCGAAAACAGGAGAGAATCTGTTGAGATCATCGTCATCATCAGAAGAAGTGATAAAGCAAGGGCAACAAGTGAGGCTTATGGACGAGAGAGGAGACGAGATAGGGAAAGGAATGGTGTTGAGAACAGACGGTGAATGGTACGGTTTAAGCCTGGAGACGAGACAGATTTGTGTAGTTGATGTAATGGAGCTTAGTGAGTCATATGATTGGAGCAAAAAGATGATCCCTTATGGATCTGATGATGTTGGTAGGACTTTCACAGAGGCGAATTCGAGGTTTGGAGTTATGAGAGTGGCTTGGGATGTGAATAAGCTTCAGTATTAGACTCAGTTGCATTGAATTTGATTAGTAGGATTTTTTTTAACTGTTTAGAGATTCTCTATTGGTCCTTAATTTCAAAGATTCTCTGTTTTATGGGATTTTGTCTCTCTCTCTCTCTCTATCACTCTCTGGTTATTTACAGGCAAAGGCTGAGACTTTAAGAGTAAATAGTGAAGATAATAACAGAAGGAAGAGTTTGACTTTTTATCTCACTTAGTTGACTTAATGCTATTTAAAGAAGTAAATAAATATTTTTCGTGATTTAAGGAGATAAATGATAGTAAATCTAAGAAGAAATCAATTTAAGGCTTTGGAGAATGAATTCCATAAGGCTAATGATTATTTGAAAAGTTTGGATAAATTACCAAAAAGGCTACAACTTACAGATTATTCAATGTTAAATTCTTTTGAAAAATTGTATAAAATTAGAATGTTCTTTAAAAAGAAAATTCAAACTCCAAAGTTTTGATAAGTGTTAAAAAAGAAATGCTTTTCTTAGAATTGACTACATATTTAAATTTCGAGAGATTCAAATTTACAGTAATAAAAAAAGAAGAGATTCAGGGTACTCTCGACAGTTCACACGCATATAAAACCGTTGACTAAAGAAGAAGACTAAAAGTACAGCTCAGCGGAAACGCCTTTTCCTTTTCTATCCGAAGAAAACTGTGTCCTCCAAAACTCGGCGAAGCAAACATTTATTTTTATTTTTTTTTCTTCTCTTTTAATTCAAAAAAAAAAAAAAACAGTCTCTGAAAAAAGAAAGGTTTACTTGGGGAGAAGACAGAGTCCGTCCGTCGTAACTCGCCACCGTTGTCCGCCGTGAAGTCTTACTCTTCCGATCTGAAGTTTCTACCTAGTCCTTTCATCAGTGCCGTAGTTTTTCCTTCTTTGATTCGCTTTCTAGGTTTCGTTTTCTCAATTCTCTGGTTCTTTTTTTGGCTGTTGCGGGATCGATTTATACGCGTAAAGTGATTTCCATGGGCTCGAAACCTTGGCTACATCCAGCTCCTCAATATAAAACCCTAGAAACCTTTTGGGATGATGAAGACGATGCTCCTGGTCCTAGATGCGCTCATACACTTACGGCCGTTGCAGCTACCAAGACTCACGGTCCTCGACTTATACTCTTCGGCGGCGCCACCGCTATTGAGGGCGGAAGTTCTTCAGTTCCTGGGATCAGTAAGTATCCTTGATTCAATTTGAATTTCGAAATATTTCTTTTGGTTTGATCTGGAGTTGCCTGATGCTTCTTCTGTGGTTGTTCTGTTTTCTAGGGTTAGCTGGTGTTACCAATTCGGTGCATTCTTATGATGTTCTCACTAGGAAGTGGACAAGGTAAAAGAGACATTGTCTTTAGTGTTAAGATTTTGTTCTTTGGTTTATTGTTTTCTTGCAAATCCACGTTGGTTTGATGGAGACTTGCCTTGTCAATTTCCGGATTTGTGCAGGCTTAAACCGGCTGGTGAGCCTCCATCTCCTAGAGCTGCTCACGCCGCAGCTGCAGTTGGCACCATGGTCGTTTTTCAGGTTATTTATTGATCATTCAGACCATTTATTGGTTCTGGCAAAGCGCAAATGTGATAGGCTTTTGGTCAATTGTCATTGTCCATATATGACACATACTTATGTTTGTCTAATTAACAGGGTGGCATTGGCCCGGCGGGGCATTCTACTGATGATCTTTACGTTCTTGACATGACTAATGATAAGTTCAAGTGGCACAGGTGAGAGACTCTTTATAAATTTCTCAGTTCCGGCTCTCTTAGCTATCTGTTTAATTGATGTCAAAATTATTTCTTTTAATGTGCGTTCAGGGTGGTGGTTCAAGGGGATGGTCCAGGCCCTCGCTATGGCCATGTTATGGATCTAGTTTCTCAGAGGTATCTTGTTACAGTCACTGGAAATGATGGTAAGAATACGTCTGTTTCATTATTTTTGGTTTTTATGTGGAAATGTTAGTCATTATTCTGTTTATTTCTTAAAGAATCCACATATCCTAACAAAAATGTGTCCATCTGTGTATGGAACAGGGAAACGAGCTCTTTCTGACGCTTGGGCCCTGGATACAGCTCAGAAACCATATGTATGGCAGAGATTGAACCCAGATGGTGACCGGCCAAGTGCTAGAATGTTAGTGATTAAGTTGATTTTAATGGCTATTGTAGAACGGCTGATTCTTCAACTGAGTTTTCATATTTTGATTTTTTGTGCATAGGTATGCTTCTGGCAGTGCTCGTTCTGATGGCATGTTTTTGCTCTGCGGGGGAAGAGACACCTTGGGAGCGGTATACTTTTTTTCTCCATTAATCTCTTGTGCAGAAATTAGTAGACTCCTTTTTTTTTTCCAGGATAGGACCAGATAAGTTACAAAAATCTCGAATCCAGAGCTTTGCTTATTTTGCTATGAGATCCAAATTTTAAGATATCATGTTTTCAATCTTCTTTTTGAATGCTGGTATATTCTCTTATGTGTTCGTGTGTCTGCAGCCGTTGGGAGATGCTTATGGGCTGCTAATGCATAGAAATGGTCAGTGGGAGTGGACTCTGGCTCCAGGTGTAGCTCCTTCTCCAAGATATCAACATGCAGCGGTAAACCAAATCTTGCTCTAATTTCGAAAAATATGGAAAAAAACTTCTGAAGCGTTGAATAATACTAGTATCACAGAGGACTGCACATTGTAGCTTTAGAAACTGAGTTGACTGTTGTTTTTCTTCTATATGAAATGATTGATGAAGCATTTGATTTCATTTACAATACCATGCTCTAATTCCAGCCATCGCAATGAGTTCCTTAATTGTTTTTCTTATCAGGTTTTTGTAGGTGCAAGATTACATGTCAGTGGTGGTGTGCTGAGAGGAGGCCGTGTAATAGACGCTGAAGCATCTGTTGCAGGTAATGATGATGGTCAGCTAATTCTCGCAGGTTTTACTCCCTCCTCTCGATTTTTGATCTTGCTATGGAATCTATTTTCTCGCAGTGCTTGATACTGCTGCCGGTGTATGGTTGGATAGAAATGGGCAAGTTACTTCTGCACGCGGAATTAAGGGACAAATCGATCAAGATCCGTCTTTTGAACTTATGCGACGCTGTCGCCATGGCGCCGCATCAGTTGGCATCCGGATCTATGTGCATGGTGGTCTAAGAGGAGGTAAGCCTGAAAATTTTCCTTTTGTACAACAAGATGCCTAAGTTTATTGCAGTACATATACATTAGTTCCGTAGTTTCACGTTTCATAAAATAGGTCAAGTTGAATCTTAGGAAGTTTTTGTGGTACACTTACATCTCTTGTAGTTTAAATTAATGTCTCAAGTCATCTATCTTTTTCTCAAAGTATGACGATTACGGTAATTTTATTTCCGCACAGATGTGTTACTTGACGATTTTCTAGTTGCTGAAAATTCAACATTCCAGTCAGACATCAGTTCTCCTTTGCTAGCATCAGATAGAACCCAACAAAGTTCTACTCCCAGGTTTTCTTATGCCGCACGACCTCCGTCAGGCTCTGAACCAACCTTTGCCATGTCTGAGGGACTGAGGTCTATCCCATTTCCTACCCTCTTTTGGTTTGTGGTTAACTATGTCTAGTTGTTTGAGCATGACTTATCTTACTTTTCTCCTTAACAATATCAGCTTGGATGAAAATTCATTGGAGAAATTGACGGAGGCTTCTGCAGCTGAAGCAGAGGTAGCTAGTTCTGTTTGGCGAGCTGCACAACTAGGATCTGGTTCTCTGGATGAAGAACCCTCTACCTCTGATGCCAGCTCGCCAACTGTAGAAACTACTACTGATGATACCTCAAATGAAGGAGATGTCAGGCTTCATCCGAGAGCTGTATGTTAATACCTAATAAAATTATACATTTCTCTCTTTGTTTCATGCCTTGGACATATTGGCTGCTTAGTTTGAAATACTTCCCAAGCTAGTCTTTTGCGTATTTGATTACCGAATTATCTCATTTGATAGGTTGTGGTAGCAAAAGAGACGGTTGGCAGTCTGGGCGGCATGGTAAGACAGCTAAGCTTGGATCAGTTTCAGAATGAGAGCCGGCGGATGGTTCCCATGAATAATAGCGATGTGCCACAACCTACCAAGAAGTTCACGAGACAGAAGTCTCCGCAAGGCCTGCATAAAAAGGTATCATTCTTCTGCAATCTTCTCATCCTCCTGGACACAGTCACTGTTAATATCTCTACTAATATGTTGTTGCTTGCAGGTCATTGCTGCTTTGTTGAGACCTCGAAACTGGAAACCTCCTGGCAATAGGAAGTTTTTCTTGGATTCTTACGAAGTTGGGGAACTCTGTTATGCTGCCGAACAAATATTTATGCATGAACAAACGGTTCTTCAGCTAAAAGCTCCTATCAAAGTCTTTGGCGATCTCCATGGGCAATTTGGCGATTTAATGCGTTTATTTGATGAATATGGATTTCCCTCAACAGCTGGAGACATCACGTAAGTTTAAGAAATCGATTGAACGTTGTGGAATTTTACTAAAAATTAGTCACTGAACTATTAAACGTGTTTGCCTCAGGTATATTGACTATTTATTTTTGGGAGATTACGTTGACCGAGGACAACACAGCCTGGAGACTATAACTTTGCTGCTTGCATTGAAGGCAAGACGGTGCCTAATTTCACATCACCCATATTGCTAGTGTCATTCAAATTGTGCTTTTTGGTTTTATGGTTCTTAGATATTCCTGTGCAGATTGAATATCCGGAGAATGTTCACTTGATTCGTGGAAATCACGAGGCTGCTGACATTAATGCACTATTTGGTTTTCGTCTTGAATGCATAGAAAGAATGGTACATGCCTCTTTGCAGAAATATTCATCGTGTTTGTCGCTAGCTTTTCTGCGTAGACTAAGCCTGCTCTGTACTTCTACCAGGGAGAGAATGATGGCATCTGGGCATGGACAAGATTTAATCAACTTTTTAATTATCTTCCTCTCGCTGCACTAATCGAGAATAAAATTATATGTATGCATGGTGGAATTGGGAGGTCAATCAGTACAGTGGAACAGATTGAGAAAATCGAAAGGCCCATAACAATGGATGCTGGATCCCTTGTTCTTATGGATTTATTATGGTAATCCATCCTTTCTGGTCCTGCTTTCATATCAATCACTATTTCTAATATCCTTGAGTTAATGACATTTTTTGAAGTACAGGTCTGATCCTACAGAGAACGATAGTATCGAGGGTTTAAGACCAAACGCCAGAGGACCTGGTCTTGTCACGTTTGGGGTAAAATACCCCTTTTATTCGCTCTTAGTCGTTTTTTATTAATATTATTTTGGGAGTTAATCACTGAGGGCGTAATCTTGATATTGCAGCCTGATAGAGTCACAGAATTCTGTAAGAGGAATAAACTACAGTTAATTATCAGGGCCCATGAATGTGTAATGGATGGATTCGAAAGATTTGCACAGGGACAGTTGATTACGCTTTTCTCCGCCACAAATTACTGCGGTGAGGAGAAACAAAACCCGTCAAAAACTTCATCTTGTATAATATGTTTGTTTTCTTGGATAGGCAAAACATAAAGAAATAAAACATTGTGGTACTTTTTTAAACAGGAACTGCGAACAATGCGGGAGCTATATTGGTGGTTGGCAGAGGATTGGTGATTGTTCCTAAGTTGATTCATCCTCTTCCACCTCCCATCTTATCTCCAGAGAATTCTCCAGAACATTCTGGAGACGACGCTTGGATGCAGGTAACAACAATTTTACTACTTTTTCTGTTTCAAATTAATTCAAATCCATATATCAGCTTTTTTTACTACCATCATTAGAACACATTCTCCAAAGCAAAAAACATGAAACTTGTTTCAGACACCGGTTTCCTGACCTTAGTGTAAGAGGCTGTATTTGTCTTGTTCCTAGAATCATTTGGCCTAAACCGGAAACACATAGTTCTGGAACATTTTCCTAGAATGTACAATTATAACATGATGTCTTTGTTTCAGCCACAAACTGAGCAACTCGATCTTAGTTGGTAGTTATGTACTTATGTGATACCAATAAAGTCTCCAAAAATCTTCACTTTTGCGTAGAAAAACAAATAGTCCTAGGAGAGTTTATGTAGCTCTATCTTTTTTTTTTTAGCTACGAACCAGACACTGAACCTATAAGTACAATTTATCTTTTGCAGGAGCTGAATATCCAGAGACCGCCGACTCCAACACGAGGCAGGCCACAACCAGATTTTGACAGAAGCTCGCTTGCATACATCTGAACCTGATTGCATTCCCGGTTTCTGCTTCCAGTTCATGAAGTCAACAATTATTGGATTTTGGTAAAACTCTATACAAGTATAGTAAGATTTATGTTTAAAAATTTGCAGTGTTCGTATACTCTGCCGCACATGTGTAATATAACCCACTATACCACCAGAGAATGAGAATGGTATAGGTACTATTTTTTTTTTCTTCCCTCTTTTGCTTTTCTTCTAATAAAACTTTTAGTGAGATAAAGTTATTTCTTCTGTGCATCTCGTGTGTGTCTGCATATGCATGTGGAAACATATTGCATAAATTTAAAACATAAATTTGTTTTTTTGGATTTTTAAAACTACAACACAACAGGCATGCATATACACATTCATACATAATTCTGATTCAAGTCTAGTGGTTCAGAGGGCAGCGAAAGCATGGAGAGCTGATTGTGCTCTACGTCCAGCTTCTGTGTGAAAGAAGTGAAGAAAATCTTTATGCTCAAAGGGTTTGAATATACGTGGATGCTCTTCGTCGACAAGTTCTTCTGGTGAATCTATGATAACTCCTGTTTTTGGAATTGAAAACAGTCCAGTCGAATACCTTGTCTTTTTTCCCATCATTATGACTCGGTGATACGGAGAAGGCAATCGACCATTCAAAAGTGCCTGCAACATCAACAAGTTTATGATTGATTGTTCTTTAATTAAGAAGTGTGTGTGTGTAAGAAATGTTATTTAGGACTTACGCATAGAGAATCTCCAACCATAATAAGGACAGAATCTTGAGATGGTTTCACTTTGATCCATTTATCGTCTTTAGTCTTCACTTCCAAACCATCAACTTGATACTGATGAAGGATCGTGATGATGTTTTTATCGGTATGAGAGCGTAAACCTAACTTAGTTTCCTCATCATCATCATCAGGAGGTGATGTATACTTCATAAATCGCATAAGGTAATTTGTAGAATTAAGATGGTCATCAATGTATTTTTCTATCCCAAAGCTCTCCATTATCATTCTTCTCACCATCACATCCAATTCCACTAATTGCTCCGAAAATCGATGTATCGTCTCACTGTTTCAAACACAAAAATGTTTCAAACGCAAAATATAATTGTAATGCGTATAGTTTTCTTAAAGGAAACAGAATCAAAGAAAAACTAAATTTCTTTAATTGCACATAAAAGGCCTAAATGATTGACTTGTCACATTCATACCTAATACTCTTGTTCCCATGATCAGGCCATAACTGTTGAGTAAAGTCGTTGACTTTCTCCAAAACATTAGCATCATCGATCCCCAAACTCTGGTAAAGATTATGACAAAGATAACCATGGAAGGGTTTTGAAGATACGTTTCTCTGTTTGGTCTGAATCGGCAACTCGAAAAGCTCTTCCATAGCTTCAAAAACAGACTTCTTAAGCTCCACTGACACTTTGTCAAAGGAAGCTTCGAAACAACCGTAGTCTTCTAGAGCTTTACGGACATCAGCCTTCACTTCATCCCACTTTGAGCTTCCTGGTTTTAGGGTTTGGTTCGAGAAATCGATAACCGGGAGCTGAACAGAAACAGAACGAGGAACAGAGTCTGAATCCATTTCTTGATTCTGAGAATTTTGAGGGTGTCTTTGGTTTATGATTTGGTTTAAAATTAAAAAAAAAAAAATTGGTGGAAGAATACAGAGAGGAGACGTGAGAAATCAGATTATTATATAATTGAAAAATTTGGTAGCTGACTAGATCTTATGCATATATGTATAAATAAATGATGTAATAATAGAGTTTGTTGACATTTATGGCAACCATTAATAACTACCGTTACGCTGCTGCATGTATATCTGTGTGTGTGTGTCACTTAATTATATCAACTCAATGATTTTTTCTATTAAAAAAAAAATGAAAGTGCTAGTTAAAACTTAAAAGCAAAGTTCTTCAAAACATGGTAGAGTCGTAGAGATAGCTGGATTCACCTAAAACTTATTGGGTGCTATATCGGAAAAACGGCCATTTTCAACCCCAATTATTTGGGGGCGGGTTTTTCCAACCCAAACTAAGGCCCCCCGTCAATTTCTACCCAAACTCAAAACTAATTCAAATTCAAAACCTAAACTAATGAAAATTAGCCGATTTCAACACGACAGAAGACGGTGTTAGTTCGGGATTTAACGGCTGCTGAGTCAGCTATATCGTGGCATTGACGTGGCGGGAAAACGGCCATTTTCAACCCCAACTATTTGGGGGCGGGTTTTTCCAACCCAAACTATTTGGGGGCGGGAAAAAATAAAACGTCGTCGTTTTCACTGACGTGGCTTCTGGTCAATGAAAACGACGACGTTTTATTTTTTTCCCCTTCAAACGACGAAACGACGTCGTTTTAATTTTGGGGAAAAATTAAAATTAGGGTTCTTCATTTTCTCTCGAAACAGAAAAATGTTCGTCGATTTTATGAATTCACAGGCACTGTAAACGGAATCTGAAAGAAATGTAGCAATAGCAAGAAAAAGCAAAATTTGTTCCTGAATAGTTTGGTCTAGCAATTGTGTCCGTCTAAAGATTTTGTCTTTCTTCCTGCAGTGGAATCATTGTACATACATTCTATCTGGAAACTTGTCTGAAATCAATTGTGTTTATAGTCTCGTGACCTGAATCATCATCACTACAATTCACAAAAATCTCAATCTGCATAACAATTCATGAACTCTAAAGCTATGGTACCACACTGCCATTCATTAAAATTTCAACTCGACACAAATGGAGACAATACCATATTGTTTTAGAAATCATACCACCCCAAGATCCATCACATGGTGAGTAATACACAGTCGGACTATCGAATGATAGATCACCTTCGATATATAAATAGTTTTTCTCTCACGACCCAACTACAAGATTACATGAATATAGCAGCAGCTTGGGTTTTGAATTTAAATTAATTTTGAGTTTGGGTAGAAATTGATGGGGGGTCTTAGTTTGGGTTGGAAAAACCCGCCCCCAAATAGTTGGGGTTGAAAATGGCTGTTTTCCCGCCACGTCAATGACACGATATCGCTGACTCAGCAGCCGTTAAATCCCGAACTAACACCGTCTTCTGTCGTGTTGAAATCGGCTAATTTTCATTAGTTTAGGTTTTGAATTTGAATTAGTTTTGAGTTTGGGTAGAAATTGACGGGGGGTCTTAGTTTGGGTTGGAAAAACCCGCCCCCAAATAGTTGGGGTTGAAAATGGCCGTTTTCCCGGTGCTATATCCATTAAATCTGTGAATATAAACATTTGTTTAGGTTAGAGGTGTCAAGCGGGCCGATAGCCCGCGGGCTTTGTCCAAGTAGCCCACGGCGGGGCGGGCTTGGACATCATTTTTCATGCCCATAAAATAGCGGGCCTCGCGGACAAGCCCAGGCGGAGTGCGGGTTTTTGCGGGTTTTGTCCGCGGATTTGCGGACCGGCCCGCGGACTACAAATATTTAATAAAAATAAATAATTAATATAAATAAATAAATAATTTTACATAATTCTGAAAATATATATGTGAAATATATGAACATATAACGAAATTTAATATATAAAATTATAAGATTTACAAAAAAATTAATTCTAATAGTTTTTTTTATTGAAAAATTGTTAATTTCAAATTTTAAAAATTAATTTTATTTTTTAAATTATTTTTAAAATATTTAAAACTAAGCCCGGGCCGGCCCGTTAACCCGTTGGGCTTAGCGGGGCGGGCCTGGACATATTATTTTTGCCCGCGGTCCTAGCGGGCCGGCCCGCCACGGTCTCATAAACTTAAATGCCCATCGCGGGCCGGCCCAATGTGTTTTTCTATTTCAAAGCTCTCCATTACCATTCTTCTCACCATCACATCTATTTCCACTAACTTCTCTGCAAACAACTGGATCGTTTTACTGTTTTCAACCAAAAACAAAAGTTTGTAAGGATTCATATGAAAACAAGAAAATACAAATGAATATGCAGAAATTTTGTTTTCAGTTCATTGGTCTCATACAATGGACTTAAGCAAAAAAAAAAAAACTAATAAATGTAATTCTATAAAAATATGGTCACTCATTAACAAGCTGCAAAACGCTGAAGTTAAGCCAAAAAAAAAAAAAATTAACATGCTTTTAACTAAACAAACTAAAAAGAACTTATGCACAATGTTTTAAGCTTATTTTAACTTTTTATACAATCTAGTTGGTAATTAATACCCAAAAGATAAAAAGCATGTCCCCCAAAAATACAAATAAAGTATTCTTTTTAAGGTTTTTAGTTGAGAAATCATAATCACTTTATCGTTGTGGTGATACTGTACTTTATGGGATCGATCATTACAGAACAAAAGAAAAGAAAAAGAGAATTGAATCTAAATAGGAGAAGAAGAAAAAAGTAGAAAAAGAATAAGATATGCAACCAAATGGGATTAAACTACTAACACAATAAAAGCCTAACTTAAGCCCAATACTCCTGCTGTCAAAAAAAAAGAAAATAAAGCCCAATACTCCAAATTCAGATCACATTCAACCAGATTTTGACCCAAGGTCACTTGCATAGTTGCATTTGCATTCATCTAAAATTTGTTTCCATTTCATTCAAAAAATACATTTGGATTCTGAGTAATCGAAGCCTTTGCAACAGATTTTCAAGCACTTTTTAGGTCCAATTGTTTTCTAATGTAAATTGCTAACACAATATACAACGTTCTTTTTTATTTGAAAATTGTAAACACAGATGATAATTCCCTTTCTCAATTTCCCATTTTAGAAAGATGTTTGTAAATTAGTAGTACTACATTGTAATTAAACGCACTAAAAGATTTGCATTGATGTCTTAATCTTCGTTCTGATTCGAGTAATTTTAGTAATTAAACTTCTCTATGTATCAACCAATCATCCACTACCACGTGGGTGAGATTAATTAAAATAATTTTTTGTCTTATCTTCAAATTTCAAACCAGATTTGTTTTTTAATTTCTCAGCCGAGGATTCAGAATCAGTCTCTGATCATTTCCATCTTCGCAATGATGATTCCGTTTCATTGATCGATCAATCTCACTGACAAATCTCGCCGGAGTTACTTCTCGCCGGCCTAAATCATGCCTTTGCCTATATTCTCGTCGCGGTTACAGTGTTCGTCTTCCTCGTCATCCTCGTCGCGATCTTCGTTTCTTCGTCCTAAGCCTCGAATCGATCCAAGCTTGACCTTAATTCCAGGCTTATCCAACGACGTCGCGAGACTGATTCTCTCCTTCGTCCCTTACCCTCACATCTCTCGTCTCAAACCGACCTGTAAATCATGGTACGCTTTTCTCTCTTCCAAAACCCTAATTTCACTCCGCCATAGCCGAGACAACAGCAACATCAACAATCTCTCGCATCTCCTTTGTATCTTCCCTCAGGATCCTTCGATTTCGCCTCCGTTTCTCTTCGATCCAGTGACTCTCTCTTGGAGATCGCTTCCTCTTATGCCTTGTAACCCTCACGTTTACGGTCTCTGCAATTTCGTAGCCGTAGCTCTTGGTCCTTACGTTTATGTTCTCGGTGGCTCTGCTTTTGATACTAGGTCTTATCCTCTGGATGTTCCTTTGCCTACTTCTTCTGTGTTCCGTTACAGTTTCGTGAAATCGGTTTGGGAACGGCTCTCTCCGATGGTGTCTCCACGTGGTAGCTTCGCTTGCGCTGCGATGCCTGGTTCGTCTGATCGGATTATTGTGGCGGGAGGAGGATCACGGCACACTTTGTTTGGTGCTGCTGGAAGTAGAATGAGTTCTGTGGAGATATATGATGTTGAGAAAGATGAGTGGAGAGAAATGGTTGAATTGCCTAGGTTTAGAGCAGGATGTGTTGGTTTCTTGGTTGGGGATGAGAAGGAGAATGAGAAGAAGGAAGAGAGGGAGTTTTGGGTAATGGGTGGCTATGGCGGATCGAGGACGGTTTCAGGGATTCTTCCTGTTGATGAATACTATAAAGACGCGGCAGTGATGGATTTGAGAGTAGATGGTGGTGAGAAATGGAGGATAGTTGGAGATATGTGGGGAGAAGAAGTGCGACCTAAGCTAGGGAAGATTGTTGCTGTTGATTGTGGAAAGCCGGTGTTTTTCATGTTAGATAAGGATTTGATTCTTAGGTATGAGGTAGGTTTGAATCGTTGGAGAAAGGAGTCAAGCGTGCCGAAGAAAGCTCATTACGACAAACCGGTTGGTTTTGTTGCACTGAATGGTGAATTACATGTTATGATTCTTTTGGATGGTTATAATCTGATGGACACAAGGCATACTAGACAACAGAGGAAAGCTGGATCTTTGATGATTCATATGTATGATCCAAAGAAGAAAACTTGGAGATCGGTTGTCTCAAAGCCACCGTTCAATCACCAACTTGATTTCAGGACCACGGTTATGTGCACCATCCGATTGTAGTTGGTGTAAAAAACTCTCATCACATCATCTAGAATAATAATTTGGTGTTCATGGTGTGTGAGCTCTGATGATGTTTAGGTATTGGTTCGTTTCGTTTACCACATTTACATATGTTACCACATTCTGTACAGGTTGAAAAAAAAAAGATCTTTGGGTATTCTGTTATATTGTAAATAACAAAATATTCTATGGCTTTGTATAAAAATGCTCTAGCTTGCGAACAATGCAAAATTTGCTTCTTCTACTCTCATTTCAAGTTAATTTCTCCATATACTAAGCAAATCCACGACTTTATAAATCTCTTTTTGACTGTCGACTACAACTTCACTTTCTTGGAAAAGGTTTTGTCATAAGAAAGAAGACAGTTTCCTACCATAAGCAAGTGTGGACATTGAAGAAGACAAGACAGTCTCTTGCCATTAAGATTATTGTAGCGTGATGTGTTTTGTTTGTGATACGAACCAGATATACTTGTAACTATCATACTCCACAGAATTGAGGTTAGTATAATTGTATTATACATTGAATATGAGGTTTTGAATTTGGATCAAACAACACATCTAAATTAGTATTATAGATAGCAATGATTTGGAAGTGACCACAGTTGCTCAATGAGTCAATGTACAAAGTCAAACGTGGCAACACAGCTTTGCACGCTTCATTGACACACACGTCGACGAAAAAACCATATCCGCTCATTGAAAAAGTCGGAAATTTTTCGAGAAATTCAAAGGGCAACTCTAAAAAGAGCTTTTGCGTACTGTTTCGAATTGTCTCCTTCGTACGGGTAAATCAGCTAAAAACCTGAGCTTTATTTTTCTGGTTCTTCACATTTCACGATCCGATTTAAGGTCATAGCTCTCCTAAAGTTCTCAACTTGGAGTGATTCTGTTTCTGGGTTTTTTGTATGCCTCTGGTGATTTCAACTTTTGTGCTTTTTTTTTTTTTTAATTCGATGCTGAATTTATTAGGGTTGATACTGTTTCTGTGCATTCTTCAGTACGCCGATAAAGCCGACGACTTTGATTTTGTTTGGATTTAGGGTTTTGTGGTTTCCAGCTTCTCTTTGTTTATAAAATCTCTCATTAGATTGATTGTTAAACTGATGACTGATGAAACTGTGGTATGATCGTAATCGTTGTTTGTTTTTCTTTGATTTAGCTCTTCCATAGTTGGGTTTAAATGGCAAAGAGGGTTTTAGTAGTGTGAAATGTGTTATTGATGAAACTTGGAACATTTTACTGGCTTTTGCAGGCAAGCTATGGTTCAAGAGAACTGTGAATGAAACTTTGGTATATGAGAAAATCAATGGTGGTTATCTGCTATAATGTTTTTTGGACCAAGTGAGATTGATACTGACGAAATGGGTTATGCAATGAGTAGACTTGAGATAGAATCCGATCTATGTGATACTGGAAAAGACTTTTGTGGAGTTGGTAGTAGTAGTGCTAGTCACAGATCAAGTGAACATTTGGCAGATTTGGACCATGAAATCAGCCAGGTTACTAAATTGAAATCTAGTCCTCATCAACGGTATAGCCGTGAAGTCCCCGGGAGACATCAGTTACCTGTGTCTACTGTGAGGATGTTGGCTGGTCGAGAAAGTAATTTCTCTGGAAGAGGAAGGTTTTCCGCCGCTGATTGTTGCCATATGTTAAGCAGATATTTGCCTATAAAAGGTCCTTGGCTTGTAGATCAAATGGACAGCCGAGCATATGTCTCTCAGTTTTCAACTGATGGTTCTCTCTTTATTGCGGGGTTTCAGGTAAATTCTTCATCGTTGGTAATTATTGATTATCAGTTTAGAAAACAGATGATACGTCTCTACGCATCATGTCCTGGTTTTTCTATTCCTGAGTTGAGAAGCATTTTCTGGATGAATCAATCTACATACCTGCTTTAATCTAATCATTATTTTCAGGGTAGCCGTATTCGGATTTACAATGTAGAGAAGGGCTGGAAAGTTCAAAAGGATATACTTGCAAAAAGCTTGCGCTGGACTGTTACTGATACTTCTCTATCCCCTGATCAGCGAAATCTGGTAAGTTTTGTTTCTTTCAACTACTACTTAGTACTTGCTCATTTTCCATATGATTCTTAATGCAAACTTTGACCTCGATTCAGATTATATCTTAATAGTGATGCAGAGTAAGTGGTTTTGTCTAGTCTTTGAGGTCTCTTGATAGATCAAAACTCTATGCTTATATTTCAAAGAAAGGAATAATGAATTATTTCGATATTGCAGGTTTACGCAAGCATGTCACCTATTGTTCACATTGTTGATGTTGGGTCCGGTACAACCGAGTCTCATGCAAATGTTACGGTATGGAACCACAATATGTTGTTTAGCAGATTTTTTTTATTATGGGATTGAATCACTGCTTGATATTCATTTTCTTTATTCACATGTTTTAATTTCTGTTTCAACATCTTATCAATGAGGTTAAATTAATTAGGTCCATGTCTTTTGCAGGAGATCCATGATGGATTAGACTTCTCTTCTGATGAAGATGGAGGGTACTCTTTTGGGATATTCTCTGTGAAATTTTCAACCGATGGACGAGAAGTTGTTGCTGGGAGCAGTGATGATTCCATCTACGTTTATGATCTCGAAGCAAATCGAGTTTCACTCCGGACTGTTGCACACACGGTAAAATTCCTTTATCGGTTGAGGCAATTTCTCCTAAGATTTCTACCTGTGTGTTAGGGGTGATGTTATCCTTTTAGAACTGATAGCATTTTCTCCATTTCTGCAGTCTGATGTAAATACTGTGTGCTTTGCTGATGAAAGTGGAAACCTGATTTTATCTGGAAGTGATGATAACCTCTGCAAGGTGAGTGTCTTTGTTGCTGCAATAGTACAATAAATTTCTGGGTTTTATAAACAAAGTTGTAACAGGATCTTGTTCAAAATTCATTACACAAATAGGTGTGGGATAGGCGTTGTTTCATTGGAAGAGATAAGCCAGCTGGTGTTTTAGTGGGACATCTCGAAGGTGTTACCTTTATCGATAGCCGTGGAGATGGTCGCTATTTTATATCAAATGGTAAAGACCAAACTATCAAATTGTGGGATATCAGAAAAATGTCCTCAAGCGCACCTGCAAGGTAACTATTTTCTACATGAAACTGTACTCGTCCTGAAGCATTATTGGTCGCATCTTGTTTGTTGATGTCTCACAAAGAATTCGTTGATGAAACGAATTGTTCTATTTTACAGGCATGAGGTGCTAAGAAACTATGAATGGGATTACAGATGGATGGATTATCCTACTGAAGCAAGAGATCTAAAGCACCCACTCGATCAGTCAGTGTCAACATATAAAGGTCACTCAGTCTTGCGTACTCTCATCCGTTGTTACTTCTCTCCAGCGCATAGGTCAGTCTCTTTTGAAGTTCCATAATATCCCAAGCCTCCTGACAAAGGAGAACCCTCTTTACGTATTTTTCTAATTCTTGTGGTGGCTTCTTTTGTTCTTTCTTTTGACAGTACTGGCCAAAAATACATCTACACAGGATCTAACGACAGTTCCGTCTACATATATGACCTGGTAAACAATAAATCCTCATAAACACATTTAAGAGACGGTCACATGAAAAAGTTTAGCACTTTATGGTTTATGTTTCACACTAATACTAATTGGTGTGTGCTGAATCTCAATTGCCTCTGTTTTGACCAATCTTGGATTTATTCATTATCTTGTTCTTAGGTAAGTGGAGATAAAGTGGCAGTGCTAAAGCACCATAGCTCACCTGTAAGAGACTGTAATTGGCACCCGTATTACCCAACTCTTATAAGCTCTTCGTGGGACGGAGATCTTGTGAAGTGGGAATTTCCAGGGAGCGGTGAGGCGCCGATTATGAGTAAGAAGAGAGTTCGAAGGAGACATTTCTACTACTGATGCATCTCTCTACAAATACACATGGTCTCTGTAAGTTATATATATATAAAATGTAGAGAAGGAGATGATGATAAATAATACAACACAAGTGAGAATCATCAAATAAGGCTTTAAAGTTATAAAAAAAGGGGCTTTGGTGTGTGTGTGTGGAAAGTGTCTTGTTGTGATATAGATTATAGAACCATTCTCTTCTCCAACCATTTTTAAAAGGTCATGTATGTGTTATAACTTATAATGGTATGCAATGTAGTAATAATTATAGACACTTTTGTCATGGTTTGGTTTCAGACATGCCTTTATAGAGTGAAAATTAAGTATTCTTTTTATTTCAATTCATTCTCTCTGTTGTTTTAGGAATTATATAAATTACACTTACGGTATATTCAAAATTCCCATCAAATTGAAATATATTAAAATACCACTATTTTATCATAACATTTTAATGTCGATCATATGAATTAACTGCATAGCCCAAGTAAAGTAATGTAGTTTCAGCTACCCAACAAAATATAATGCATGCTAGCTAATAATAATATAGGCGTTGCACATTTTATTCGAAGCATTATATAATGAGATGCAATTAAAGTTGACATACATCATCATTATCATTAACCAATTCACAAAGTCACCAAACGAATAAACAAATCGTTGTTTTTTGCTACCCTCGAAACTCGAAGGTTTAGTAACAAAATAACCGGAGAAAGACACGAAAATCAACAACATCTTGAAATTACGTCTTTACCCTCGCCACTCGTTACATTGCGTTGTGGGTCTGGTTTTCTGCAAACCGGCCTTAACCGGACACGGCGTCTGTACCGGTAGCACCATACAGTTGTATTGCAGACACAGCGAGCTGCTCACCGGAATATCTGCCGCCGGACTAATTTGTATTCCCGTCAAGAAGTTGTGTTGGAGGTATAGTGTTTGTATATTCGATGCCAATAACCGATCCACGAAGCTAACCGGGACTTGACCGGTGAATCGGTTATTGTTTAGATAGAGATTCTGTACGTTGGAGAGAAGCGGAGAAAGCTCGCCGGAGAATCTGTTGTAGCTTAAATCGACGGTCGGAATTGTTACCTGATTCGCCGGTTGAATCACGCCGTAGAAGAAATTACGTTGTAATTGGAGGTTGGTGATCGGGAAGGTGAAGATCTGACCGGGGATTGCACCGGTGAACCGGTTTAAGCTGAGATCGAGGTAATTGAGCTGGTTTAATCTGAGTAAAACCCGGTTTACTGGTCCGGTTAGGTGGTTCCAAGCGAGTGAGAGATACTGTAACGACGGCGGAAGAGACGTGGGAGATATTACGCCGGTGAGGTTGTTGCGTTTGAGATCGATTCGTGTTAAGGTTTGTGAGAGGAATTGAGGAATTGATCCGTTCAAGTGATTGTGACATAGAATCAGATTGGATAACTCCGGTAAGGATCCGACTGACGGAGGAATCGACCCGGTTAGCTGATTATAGCTCAGATCAAGTGTTTTGAGTCCCCGAAGCTCGCCGAGACTCGCTGGAATCTCACCGGAGAGAAAATTCCGACTGATTGCGAGAAATCGGAGATTCTTTGACTGCGAGATTGTGTGCGGTAACGAACCCATGATCCGACCAGGTACGATAGAGAGCTCCGTTAAAGCAGAGAGTTTTCCAATAGCCGGGTCAATCCGACCAGATAAACCGGGTGAACCGGCTCTTGGATCACCGAGGTTAAGCGCGGTTACTTTATCACCGTCACAATAAACTCCGGCGAAGTTACAAGGATCAGAGGTAAAATCCCATGAATCGAAGAAATTTGAACCTGGTAAATCATCGAGCGATTTACGAATCGCTTGTAGAGCCAAGAAATCAACTGGGACGATGATCGATTCCACGAATAAACCGAATCGAAGTAGAAGCATCAAAACCCAAAACAGAGTAGCAAATCTCATTGTAGCCGTTACAGCTTCAGAGGAGTAAAAACAGAGACTTTATAAATACAAAACAGAGACAAACTTTAAAGTTGAGAAATGGGTCAGAAAGAGATGGTGGTGTGATTGAAATTAAAGGTTCTTGTGGGAGTTTAATGGCGGATTTTGATACTAGTCAAAGTGACTTAAAAAGGAGGGAAATTGAAGAAATATAAAAGAAGGTTTCTTCGAAGAGAAGTGTGAGAGAGAGAGAGACAAAAAGAGTAATCAAAATGGCTTAAGAAGGAAGCGAAATCAAGAGCTGAATAGACTTTCTTCTTGCTTGTTGCTTTTTGTTTCTGAGATTTTTTTCAGGGTGGCTTTGTGAAGAAAGAAAGAGTCATAAATGCTACGAGTGATAGAAGTGGGTTTTAGTTTTTACATTTGTGATTCGCTTGTGTCAGTGAAAAATAAAAATAATGTAATTTTATGTCGGGAATATGCAACAGGGAAAACGGCTGTCCGAGCCTTAGGTTCGGAGTGACAGGTCATCAGCTTCGGAAGAAAGAAGAGCCTAGGGTGGTTGTTGACTCGTGGTGGTGGGGTCGTGACTCACGTGACATGTGTGTACTTTGGGCTTTATGTTGACACGTCAGCCTTTTTTTTTTTTTTTTTTCTTTTGACCGCAAGTTAAATTACTTAACCCTAATCCCTAATAACAAAAATCTTAGGTTTAGGATGTGTGTATAATGACTGATCGATAAAAATCTTCGTAGTAGAGTTAGTGTTTTCGCGTACACAAAATTTTGGTTTTTATGTGTTTTCTTCTGAGGCAAAACTTAAATTCGTTAATCAATTGAGCTATCAACATATATATATTGGATTTAGTTTAATATCTTATATTATTGCATCGGATTAGATTATTAGTGGATCTCTTGTTTTGTAAGGAAGCCAAGAGAGAAAATTCCAAGTGATCATAGCCAAAGAAGAAATTGTTATTAACTATCCAAAATTATGGTCCCAGTGAGAGAGAATTTGCACATCTGTTGGAATGTGTGTTTGTATTCTCTCAGTCGTCATGATCACATTGCACCGATGTGCTCACTCCAAAGTTTATATAATATATATTTTTAAAAAACAGAACTATGATGTTGTTGATGATGATCATGATGTTGTTGATGATGATGGTGGTGATAGAGAGCTAATGAGATGAATGTTAGTGATGCTATATGACTAGTCATTTTCACTCCATCTACTGTTTTTTCTTTATGCTCCACTCTTACTACACATTACGAAAAACTTACGGCTTCTAATAATTACCTTTATAATGATTACAAATTCGACCTATACAATTATATAAGTATATAGCAATAATATGATCACAAAGATAGCAAATTTTCAACTTAGAATAATACTTTTAACTTGTGTGCATATATTTTAGGAGGTATCAAACCCTAAATTTCATCATGGTTGGACCATTTAATTCAATGGCCACCCACAAAGACGAGCGATTTATATTAAGATATCCCCCCATTATCAATTTTCGACAATCATTTCCTATAAACTAAGATACTTGCTAATCATCCTAAATTCCTAATGAACTATATATGCATTATAATTCGACCATTTGTGTATTTTGATAAAGGAAGATTATTAATTAAAAGGTTGATTCATCCACACGCAGTGATGATAAAAAGCGTCACATATGGTTGTGTATTCATAATCGCATATTAATAAAAAAAGCGTTTCTCTTTTCGACCAAACACACGAGAGTACTATCAAACTCTAAAATGATGTATAGAAGTTTTTGCCTGGTAAATCATTAACCAAAAAAATTACATCTTAAAACATCGATCAATGGATAAATGGTCATATAAATGTCATAATGGCCAAGAGTCAAGAGTCAAGAGAGTGCACCACCTACTAAAATGTAAAACAAACAAGTTTAGTGGTATAAACAAAAGATGAGTTAATCGATGTGAAACAAACAATATTATAATCATTAGTTTAGTGCATAGCAAACGGTAAATTCATAATGTTCAAAGATACTGGAAACGAAAATGAAAAAAATATATATTGATTGATGTTTGTAATCTAGGAATTTATATCAGTGTTGCGACCATGTTATTATCCAAAATGCGTATGTGGGTTGCTAATTGAAAAAATGGATGACGAAAGATGAGGTATATTATTGGATCATTTCTATTGTCTCTGTTTTGACCAACTTTGAGTGAGAATCTGAGACCACATTTCTAATGTTAAAAGTCAAAGTACTCTCCACTGTAAAACGAGTATATAAGCAAAAGTAAGTCAGGTTTTTTGTTTTTGTTTTGTAAGTCAGAGTTAACAATACATATAAAACAAATCACAAAAGGAAAAGAAAAGTAAACACTCACAGAACAAAACATAGAATAGTATAAATTAAAGTTTTTCTTTGATTTTAGATGTAGATCAAAGGCCATATTCAAACACAAAGAAGAAACTATAGCGACAAACACAAAAAACCAAACAGACGATCAAGTATAAGTAAGTCAGATTTAGTATATACAGCCAACAAGAAAGATATTACAAATGACAAGAATAAAAATCTTAGAAAAATTCAAGCAAATTCAAAGAGCCTCAGAGAATGTTAATAAGGCTCTCCTTTGGTTCCAAAGTCAGAATCAGAGGCCGGCCATATTTCCAAAACTTCATAAGTTAGATGGAAAAACAACAAATAATGCAACCAGTCAAAAGAAAAAGTCAAGTCGTACAGAATTAAAAAATCATGCAAGTTCAAAGAAAATGTATCGAGTAGGTGGTTTAGGAAAGTCTTCTTCCATTTATTATTGAGGGAAATATAGAAATGAGCAAATTGTGAAGTCACTCTTTACAAGATGTGTATAATTTAGATGTAAATAGAGCAGTCCAAAGATATAAAACCAAAGCAAAACCTTCATTGCCATATTGATTCGAAACCCGAGCGGAAAAAAAAAAGCTTTTACCCACGGGAGAAACGAGCCTGAATCCTCCTCTGGATTTTGGCCCGACAAGACGGACAGTCCTCCATGGCTTCCTTCTCATGAAGCTGGTTACATTTAGAGCAAAGAACCTGATGGGCACAAGGCAAGAAAATCACACTCATCTCTTCAGACAAACACATCACACATTCCCTCTCTCTTTTGATTTTCGACTCTGCCCCGTGATTATTCTCCCATACTTTTGTTGCTGCCATCGGGTTTGCCTTTGTGCTGGTGGTATGATTCATTCCGCTCTTGTCATTGCTTCCGTCTATGCCTTTTTTCAAAGCAGCTATCTTCAAGCAGTCTGACTTGAGTTTTAGCTTTGAGATCTCGGTGTCAAGTCTTTTGATGTTCTCAATGTAGTATTTCACGTCGTTCTCGGCTTTTGTTTTGATCCGCTCTTCTTCTGCTTTTCCGAGTTCTTCCAGTTTCCCTCTCTCTTTCTTTAATGCAGCCGCTTGAGTAGTGAGTTTCCCCGTCGCTGCCTTTTCTTGTTTCCAAGTAGCCTGTAACTGAGTTTCATTAGTTATCTTGATCATATTCTACACTTAAGAGGTAAGACTACAATCATACCGACTAGAATGTTAATCAGAAACATCATTTCTAATAAAATGCTATGGTTAGTTCTTGATTTAATGAGCACGGCACAAGAAGTATATAGGATAAACTCTCAGATGAAAACATATTTTCACTCCTATATCTCTAATTCCTCTGAAACAATGTAAAGCATTGGGCAAAACGCAAAATGTGAATATTCCAGCCAAAAGAATGAAATGATTACCTGAAAAAAAGAATTGTAGAGGAAAGGATATGATCAGTTATCATACAATAAAATACAGCCCCGAAGACGAGAGGACCTAAAACGTGCAAAGGTTTTGGTCTACAAAAGGAGCTAACCTCAATTTGGTTTTGGCGGGTTTTTGCCTTGGCAACTTCTTGCTGCAGCTCTGCCACCTTTTCTCTTTGACTCTTGAGCTCTTCCTGCAACAAAACCTTTTGCCCTTCCCACGACTGAGCATTCTTCAACAATCTTTGCACTCTCTCCTTTGCTTCTCTACAGCTCTCAGCGGACTCAGCAGCTCTTATATTAGCAGCTTCCCTCTCTCTCTTTAACAGAGATTGTTCGAGCTCGAGCCTGCGAATTGTGTTGTTAGTTCTTTCAAGCTGGTTGGTTGCGTTATTCAAGGCCAACTCCATTTCAGATCTCCTTTTCATAGTGTTTTCTTCCAATAACTGCTTCTCTTTTCTGAACTCTTCTGCCTCTTCTTTCTCTTTTCTTAGTGCCTTAAGCTCTGGTTGGTCCTTAAGAAGTCTAACAGTAGCCTGCTTTACTTTCTGATTAGCCCAGTCAGTCCAATCCTGCAATTCTTTCTGCAGATCTTTCATTCGGGGAACTAGCTTTAGAATTAATTCATCTCTTTTATTTCGGGGAACATATATTCCCAGAGATGCATCGTATGGGATTGCAGCATAGTAATCTGGTGCTGGCTTTGTAGACACAGAAGCCTTTTCTTCAGGCTCAGAACCGGACTTCTTTTCTGAAGCTACTGGTGCTGGAGCATTATTAGCAGGTAATGCAGTAACATGCTCCTTAACATCTAATGCAGGCGAATCTGACTTAGTATTGTTTGAGAGAGTGCTGCTACTCTCAGCTAAAGGAATTTTCATAACGTCTGTTGTAATCTTCGATGAAGAATTTCTTGCCTGTGCGGACAGTAAATCAGAAGCTGCTTTGCTTCTTTTCTCCACAAGGAAACCACCAAACTTTGCCGTCTTATAGCCACCACCTTTGCTATAAGTTCTAATCTTCTCCACGCATGATTTCTGCCGTAGCATGGCCATTTCTTTTTTGGTGCGGCCTTTTCGACAAGATACTAATTTATCATCAGAAACAGAAGTCAGGGATGCACTTTTAGTGCCTTCACCAGAAGCAGTGGAAACAGAAAATACCTCTTTTCCAGGTGTTGCTCCACTAGCATGAGGATTTTTGGAGTTGTTTACATTTGGGAAGTTCCCAAATTTGACTGGCTCACTCTGATTGCTTTGAGTATTGGATATGGGGGCCTTTGGGTTATCCGAGCCACTGGATTTTGAAGGATTGCACTCAGAAACTGGAGATTCCGACGATTTACTTGCATTGGAACCCGAAGAGCCCTCCAATCCATCTCCTTCCACTTCAAAAGCTTGCAAAACATTCAAGTCACACATCAACAGCCTCCACATAGCTTCGACTGTTGAAAGCGATGGTCTAACCTCCCTAACAAGACTTATCTTCTCTACCAAAGTATAGGCAACAAGCTGTTGCAAATCCTCAAACACATAGTCTCTCGAACCAGCAACTTTTTTTCCACTCTTCAAAATACTCAAGGTATCATTAACAATGTTAGACACGAGATCATTTCCCCCACAGTAGAGCCTACTGCTTGAAATAGCTTTGAGAACAACATCCTCACTATACCCACAATCCATAATCTGATTCATTGCACTACGAAAGAGGGTGAGCAAATTTGATGATAAAAGTTGTTCGAGTTGACAAGCAAACGGATCATCCCATCCTACGGAGTCAGACTCTTCCGCTTTCAGCTGCCCGTTCGAGTCATTTTCACACAAAGAGCTTTGAGATTTGAGTGAATGTAACTCATATCGAGGGAATTCAGTCAAAGAAGCAGCATTTTGTGGAGAAGGATCAGCTAACTTTCTCTTGTTCTTCCTTCCTTTCTCTTGCGGTGGTGACACTGAAGACGTCTCCACTTTTCCACCATTGAGAGCACCACACTCATTCATTTCTTCTTGCTTCTGCACCATTAAGCTATAATTCCCTGAGATTATGAATGTTTCAAGTTATAAGAGACAGAGATAAGAAAAACGATTAGTGTTCATACACCATATCCCTTGCAATTCCCAAAGAGACAATTCCCAAATTCCAGTAGCAAAAACACCAAAACAATCGGCCAAATTAAATTAAATTCCCAAAACAAATCAACCCAATTCCCCACGGAAACACACACGATTTCTCAAACATAGCAGCTCAATCGGAATGCAATCGAATCAGGATAAAACCAAATCTTTTGATCATTCACACCAATAACAAAACACGGTGCCGTAAACTGACCGGAAACGCAAGGGACGGTGGAAGCGAAACCGCGGGAAAAAGACGATCGGAAGAGAATCGAGAGAGAGAGAGAGGGATCGATGAATATATATTAATAAATAAGAGTGTTGCAGAGAGGGAGAGAGAGAGAGGCACTGTGATAAAGAGAACAAGTGCGTGGCTAGAAGATGAAGGAGCCGGAAACAAAATTGATCGTGAGCTTTTTTTTTTTTTTCTTTCTTTGGTGACACAAAGAGGGTTGGTGCTGGAAATACTCAATATTACTGATTTGCCCCTGAGGGTATTTTAGTCATTACATCTTCTGGTCAATTTTGTTCTGCTATCAATTCAACAACATGATGAACAAAAGAATCGATTACAAGGATAAGAGAGAATGATAATCTGATCAACAAAGAATCTGTTCCAAAATTCAAAGTAATCATTCATTCTCTTCTCTGATGATGATGATGATCCATCAAGACACAAAGCTTGTACATCAATTCATTGTCTGCATTTGGACCTTTTTGTGCAATGATTTTTTCCAAACTCCGGGTTTAAGCAAACTCCTCGTCGTCGTCATTTTCTTCTTCCTCGTACTCGGAATCAGATTCCTCCTCTCTTTCGGGTTGCATTAATGTACTCATGTCAAAAGAAGATGGATCAGATTCTACCTCTTCTATATCTATAGTGTCGTAGCTCATTCTCTGTTCGAACTTCTCATCTGAACAGTTGAGCATCCAAGCCAATGAACATTTGATTCCCTTCTTGATTATCTTCTTGTGCCTCGGCTTTACTGTGGACTCAAGTCCATAGGTAAAGAATGCGGGGAAATCCACAAGATCTTGAAGTGGTCTTCTCATTTCCTTTTGGAAGTATTCAAAGCTGAGTTTCATTATTCCGAGGTTCAAAGCCAGAACCTGTGGACATCCGATTACCATTTCCCTCGTTTGGTCGATCGAAAATCCACACTTGGTAAGGAAATCAATGTGCTTTAACATAGGAGACTCGCTGAGACTAACAAACTGCGGCATTCTCTCGATCAAAGAGCCGAGATCCTCTGGATTTAGATCAATGGCTGAACAAAGTAGCTTCTTTTGCGTCTCAAGCTTAGGTTTGAGGTCGATTCCTATGATTTCAGGATACTGTGCAATTATAGAAGGAAGAGATGTTTCTCTGACATTGAAATCTTGCAGGATTTGCACGTTTGGTTTCACCGTATCATCCAATTCGAACCCCAGAATGTGAGGCCGCTTCTCAATCAACCTAGCTACAGCCAGTCTTGGAATACCAAGGTGCTCTAGATACTCCACGAGAGGCTTAATTATCCGAGCTACCCGCATTCCCAAAATCTCAGGGTACCGTGTTAAAACACCACCAATCTCCCTCCTAGCTACACCTATACCAACCAAGTAAGCAACTGATGTGCTCATAGTCCCTTCCAGCTTAAACCCCAAAACTTCTGGATACCTCTCAAGCACCCGAGGTACATCGCTGGGTTTAATATCCAGTCCTTGAAGATACTTGACCACCGGTGCAAGATCTATAACAACACTAGCATGAAGAACCTGAGGGTATCTTCTAAGAAACTCAGTGAAAGTCGATTTCCTCACGCCTAGTTTCCCGAGATAATCAAGAACCGGAACCATGTTCTTCTTCACGCTACAACCAAGAACAAGAGGGTAATTGTTGATATCTTCAATAGTAAGTCCCAACTTGTGAAGAAACTCCACACGCTCTTTCATCACATCAGCTGTTACAGGGAGTTCAAGGCCATCAAGCTCATCAGGAACAATCCCAATCCCACGCAAGAACTCATAAACCTTAGCACGATTAGCAGCTTTCTCCTTATTCATGTCTAACAAACTAGGACGACTATACAAAGACTGAGAATCTCTTCCCTTATCCTTAACCCTATCCCTTCCCGAAGAAGGACGAGACGACCTTTCTCTTTTCGGTGATGAATCCACAGAACGTGAAGAAAATCTCCGATTAGCAATAGCGCATTGAACAGTTACACCAATCCCAATTCCAGATCTCTTCTTGTGGTTGCATAAGTTGCCATAAGTGGAATCAGAGAGTGAACGAGATCTAACGGCAAAAAACGATGGTGGATCAAAGTGAACTAACAAAAACCCAGGCTTTGTGAAGCCGCTACAGAACCTAATCTTCATCTTTTACCTGCAAAAAAACGGAAGAACACTAAAATTGACGATTATCAACGAGAGAATCATACCAATTCGGACTAACCCAGAAACTTGTACAGTATAATTAGCTCAGGAAACTTGGTAAATTATCAAAATTCAAACAATCCTCCAAAAAAAAACCATCATTCATGTTCATGTTAACATCAATTAACCAAAAAACAACATAACCTAATTAGAAGCAAACTATGGAAATCGAAAAGAATAAGTAGAATTGGATCAGCGTGTGATTGAAATCTCACCGGAGATGAGGAAAGATATCAGAGAAGACGAGGGTTTTAGAGGAGCGGGTAAGGTTTTTTCCTCATCACACAACAAGTCACTCTCTCACTCTCCATTGAAATGATTTATCCGAATTATTGACGCTCTTCCCCATATTTATTATATTTTCCACTATTGACCCATAATATCTTAAATGTTCACATTAAACCCAAACGTCTATGATTACCTTGATTGTGAAACCTAAATTAATCTATATATAATAGCAATCTAATAAATACCATTTGCACATCTGAACGGTTGCGTCTTTTTATCGCAACCTTTCGTTTAAATCGGTTATTTTTTTGCGGTTATTTTGGTTGCGTCTTTTTATCGTAATTTTCGTTTTAATCGGTTATTTTTTTACGGTTATGTCGTTTCCAATAAATACCATTTGTATATCTGAACGGTTGTGTCTTTTTATTGCAACCTTTCATTTAAATATTTATGGTTGTTTTTCTTACAGTTATTTTTGTACGGTCATGTTGTTTTATTGAATTTCTTTTTACGTAAACCAATAAACTACATATAAAATTGGTTTATTTCATAGTTCACATATGGATATATTTTTAATTTTTAAACTAAAATTTATATTTTACGGGTATGTTTTTTAGAAAATTGCAATCCGAATATCTTCTGCGGTTGCTTCTTTTTATTGTACCTCTTCATAAACAGTTGCAACCTTTTATTCGAATTATTGTAATATTTAGTTTATTTCACGAACAATTGCAACCTTTAGTTTATATCACAAACAATTGTAACCTTTGATTTATATATTTAGTTTATTTCACGAACGATTGCAACCTTTGATTTATATATTTTGTTTTGTATTTCACGAACAATTGCAAGCTTTGGTTTATTTTACAAATTGCTATAACATCTAATTATCTACCGTCGCGTCTCTCGGTATAATTTTCATAAATTAATATTTTTAATTTTTAATTACCAAAATGCATTTAAATGAGATTGTAATCTTTTAATTGAACCGTTGAAACATTTGGTTTATTTGACCAATCATTGCAATTTTTGGTTTTGGTTTTACGAACCATTGTAATCTTTAGTTTATTTGACGAACTTGACGAACCGCTACAACTTTTGATATATCGCAATATTTCATTTATTTCTTTTTAAACTAAAAAGATTATTTTACGTTATGTTTTTTGAGAAAGTTGCAATCCGAGTAAATATTTTTTACAGTTGCATCTTTTTATCGTAATTTTTCATAAAATGATTGCAGCCGTTTAGTTGAACCATTGCAACATTTAGTTTATTTCACGAAAAATTACAACTTTAAGTTTATTTTATAAATCGTTATAACATTTAATCATCTACTATCGTTATTATTAATTTTCGTTTGATATTTTTTTAACGATTTTTGAAATATTTTTCCCCGCGACATCGCGGGGGTCCGGAGTCCTAGTAAATATAATATCATCAAAAAATTTCTCTTAATTAGTTCAAATTTAAATTAATTAATTTTATCCTATAATCTTCAACATTGGATTAATTTATGATTCTTTTTCTTTTTTATAGTATTGGGTTTAATTCAGAAATAGACAAAGATTCGGGGTCTGTTTCCAAGTATCTTTACTCATTTAACAGTTCTGAGACTTCTAAAGAGAGGAAACTTAATTTTCGCGAAACATCGAGAAAATGATCGTACTTTCAGTTGGTTCCGCTTCGTCATCTCCGATCGCCGTCGTCGTCTCCGTCGCACTTCTTCTGTTCTATTTCTCTGATACTACTCTAGGAGCTCCTTGTCCCATTAATGGTGAGTTTCGCTTGTTTTCTCCCCTACTCGCCATAAGATTGCTTCGCGTTACGACCTAGGAGATTATGATCTGAATGCAGATTTCCTCTTGCTTATCTGTGTATCAGTGATAGAATATAAGTTCTTACTTAGGTGTGAAATTGCTTTTTTAGTAGAATCAAATGGACGAAAATGTGCACAACTTGCGATCAATTTAGTCTAAAGAAGGATCTAAGAACATCTCGATACCAATTTTGCTATCGATTTCTTGTGGTATGACTTTTGCAAGTGTTTATGAATGCTCTGTAGTGAACTTTGGTTGCAGATATGATACAGATTCGCTGCAATTTCATCGATCTGTAGCTTAGATACTTCGAAATTGTCATGATAATACTGGTTCTTGACTGTTGAATGGTGAATATAGGCTTGCCAATCGTGAGGAATATTAGTGACCTTCCTCAAGATAACTATGGAAGACCAGGTCTTTCCCACATGACTGTTGCTGGCTCCGTATTGCACGGAATGAAAGAGGTAATGTTCAAAGCGATAACGGTTTTTTAAAACTCTCCCCATTTGTATCCTATCGTCAGTTTCATGAACTTGTGAATGAGATTTTGTTGTTTTGCTCACACTTTAAATACTTGATAACAGTAACACTGATTTGTTTTGGATGTTCAGGTTGAAATATGGCTTCAAACATTTGCTCCAGGTTCAGAGACACCAATACACAGGCACTCATGTGAAGAGGTCTTTGTTGTCCTAAAGGGCAGTGGTACTCTCTATCTCGCTGAAACACATGGAAATTTCCCTGGGAAACCAATTGAATTTCCAATCTTTGCTAACAGTACAATTCATATTCCGATCAATGATGCTCATCAGGTATGTCTTTCTACCTCTCACATTGTTTCAGATGATTTGGCTCTTTCCTTGAGTCTTAGACTTTGAAATCCAACTTTGTTAGAGTTCCATTAATTGTAATCTTGACTAAGAGAAAATTCTATGTAAGGTTGATGATATACAATCCCATTTCGTATGCACACATGTTACTTAAAGTAAAGTTGAAGAAATAAGAGCAACTCATAGTATCTTGTTTAAGATTGCTTGAGAGTGTTAGATACGCTGCACTTCCTATGTAACATTTTGAGACAACTATTAGAAGACCAAACTCAATGGCAGACGTTGTATATTCATATAAATCAAAGAAATATAGCATTTTCTTCTGTTAAAAATTCTTTTGGCTTATATGGAATAATCTCACTCATCTATTACTGTTCTTAAAGGTCAAGAACACCGGTCATGAGGACCTGCAGGTGTTGGTTATCATATCTCGGCCGCCTATTAAAATGTATGTAACGTCCTTTTTGAGGAATATGCTTATAGATATTATGTGTGAATGTATCCTTTTACTAATCATTTGGAAAATCGTTTGTTTTTAAATAGCTTCATCTACGAAGACTGGTTTATGCCACACACTGCGGCGAGGTTAAAGTTCCCTTACTATTGGGATGAGCAATGCGTTCAAGAATCGCAAAAAGACGAGCTTTAAAGCAAAGTCAGAGGCCAAAACCAAGCACGCCCTTTAGATAGTAAAATCATAGTTGAGGTTTTGTGACATTACGTAGATACTGGTAAATTGGCAAGGATTTTACATGAATGTTGTTACAAGAAAGTAAATAAATGTTCAATCTTTGAAGTTCTTAAGTAAGGGAGTCTTATTGGTCATGAAATTATGTAATTGTGCACATCTTGATTGCATTTGCGGTTGAAATAAATAAATATATATATATATATATATATATATAGTTGCACTCGCTTTTATTTTCCTCTTCTATATGACTATATCCACCAATTAGCCAACTATGCAAAAGCCTTGGTTATTGTTCATAAATGTAATTTGCGAAATAATGATGATTTTGAAGACATAACGATGTCGAGCTACGGGAAGATTCTGTTGAACACAGGAGATAGCTGAACGAGGGAAACAGCGAGACTTAAATGGTGATGACGTGTCGAGCTGTGATTGGTGATGGAGACTTCCAGAACGTGATGCTCAAGTTTATTCGAGATATATATTGAAGATATGATCAAATCAAGGAAAGAAGATTTGAAGCAATCTCAAGAATAGGAAAGTGACCAATAACGTGTGTGTTGTTGGTCTATATATACGCAGTCTAGGGTTTAGGTCTAGGTAGGCGTTTAGATTATCTCTGTGAATCACAAGTACTAGGCTAGAGGCTATTTAGGGTTCTCGGTGAGTGAACAGAGAGGATACAAAGCTGTTGATGTGTTGAGAGTTTGGGTAGATTAAGGATTGGTCAGTCACAAGTAGTGTTAAGCTTGTGTAAATCTGATTAAACATATCTTGTAGATTGTTTAAGGGATTCTTAATAAAAGAAAAGAATTTCTTTTCAATTGCCTCAACATCTGTACAATAATACTTGGTATCAGAGCGGGTGACCGACCTGATTACTAACTCAATACAGGTTAAGATCCTACGGATTAGAGATGTCAAAGGCAGAACTCAACAGACCTGTGATGCTGGATCACAGAGGCTACGGTCACTGGAAAACTTGGATGACGCAGTTAATCATTATTATTTTTTCAAAATGAGTTTAAGTATTAAATCTATATTACGTGAAAATATGCCAACTTCAAACACAAAAGCTTACGGACTAACTAAGGACAGGATGCCTAAGCGCGAATAGTTTTCGACGTTTTTAAAATTGAACACTTAAACTAATTTTTAAAAGAAATAGCAAAATTAACATGGTTTTAGTTAAAAATTATTAATTGTATTCTTAAAGTTTAAGTGTTAAATTTGTTTTAGATTTTGTGAAAATCATTATTATTTTCTTAAAATAAGTTTAAGTATTAAATCTATATTACGTGAAAACATGTCGAACACCAAATCTTACATACCAACTAAGGACATGATGTCTAGGCTCGGTTAGTTTTCGACGTTTTTAAAATTGGACACTTAAACTAATTTTTAGTTAGTGAAATTAACATTGTTTTAGTTAAAAATTATTAATTATTTTCTTAAAGTTTAAGTGTTACATTTGTAAAGATTTTAGTGAAAATCATTATTATTTTTTAAAAATAAGTTTAAGTGTTAAATAAATTACGTGAAAACATGCCAAATTTCGAACACCAAAGCTTACAGACCAACTAAGGACATGATGCCTAGGCTCGGTTAGTTTTCGATGTTTTTAAAATTTAACACTTAAACTAATTTATAAAAAATGAATAGTGAAATTAACATGGTTTTATTTGTTTTAAATTTTAGTGAAAATCATTCTTATTCTTTAAAAAATTAGTTTACATATTAAATCTACATTACGTGAAATTATGCCGAACTTCAAACACAAAAGCTTACGGACTAACTAAGGACAGGATGCCTAAGCGCGAATAGTTTTCGATGTTTTTAAAATTTAACACTTAAATTTTTTTTAAAAAAAGTAATAGTGAAATTAACATGGTTTTAGTTAAAAAATATTGATTATTTTCTTAAAGTTTAAGTGTTAAATATGTTTAAAATTTTAGTAAAAATCATTATCATAAATTAAAAATGAGTTTAAGAGTTAAATCTATATTACGTGAAAACATGCCGAACTTCGTACACCAAAGCTTACGGACCAACTAAGGACAGGATGCCTAGGCGCGGTTAGTTTCGACGTTTTTAAAATTGAACACTTAAACTAATTTTTAAAAAAGTAATAGTGAAATTCACATGGTTTTAGTTAAAATTATTAATTATTTTCTTAAATTTTAAGTGTTACATTTGTTTTAGATTTTAGTGAAAATTATTATTAATATTTTAAAAATAAATTTAAGTGTTAAATCTATATGACGTGAAAACATGCCGAACTTCGAATTCCAAAGCTAACGGACCAACTAAGGACAGGATGCCTAGGCGCGGTTAATTTTTGACGTTTTTTAAAAGTGAACACTTAAACTAATTTTTAAAAGTAATAGCGAAATTTACATGATTTTAGTTAAAAATTATTATTTGTTTTTTTAAAGATTAAGTTTTAAATTTTTTTTAAATTGTAGTGAGAATCATTCTTATTTTTTAAAATTGAGTTTAAGTGTTAAATCTATATTAACTAAGGACAGGATGCATAGGCGTGGTTAGTTTTGACGTTTTTAAAATTGAACACTTAAACTAATTAATAGTGAAATTAACATGGTTTTAGTTAAAATTATTAATTATTTTCTTAAATTTTAAGTGTTACATTTGTTTTAGATTTTAGTGAAAATTATTATTATTATTTTTAAAATAAGTTTAATTGTTAAATCTTTTTTTTTGGGCAAAAAATTGTTAAATCTATATTACGTGAAAACATGCCAAACTTCGAACTCCAAAGCTTACGGACCAACTAAGGACAGGATGTCTAGGCGCGGTTAATTTTTGATGTTTTTTAAAAGTGAACAGTTAAACTAATTTTTAAAAGTAATAGCAAAATTTACATGATTTTAGTTAAAAATTATCTATAGGCTTTTTAAAGTTTAAGTGTTAAATTTTTTAAAATTTTTAGTGAGAATCATTCTTATTTTTTTTAAATGAGTTTAAGTATTAAATCTATATTAACTAAGGACAGGATGCCTAGGCGCAGTTAGTTTCGACGTTTTTAAAATTGAACACTTAAACTAATTTTAAAAAAGTAATAGTGAAATTAACATGGTTTTAGTTAAAATTATTAATTATTTTCTTAAATTTTAAGTGTTACATTTGTTTTAGATTTTAGTGAAAATTATTATTATTATTATTTTTAAATGAATTTAAGTGTTAAATCTATATTACGTGAAAACATGCCGAACTTCGAACACCAAAGCTTACGGACCAACTAAGGACAGGATGCCTAGGCGCGGTTAGTTTTCGACGTTTTTAAAATTGAACACTTAAAATAATTTTTAAAAAGTAATAGTGAAATGAACATGGTTTTAGTTAAAAATTAGGGAGACTCACAAAAATGCCCCTTTTTCAATACCCCTTTTCAAAAATGCCCCCTTTGACTGTCCATTTTTAAAAATACCCTTTTTTATGTACAAAATAACTAAATTACCCTTCTTTTAATAAAATATATCACAAATATATAAGGAAATATAACAAAATTAGGTCCACAAAATACAAAATATTTTTTGGCGGGAAAAGTGATCCCGCAATTTTTCCCGCCAAAACACTTGTAAAAAACCTTTAAAATACCTTGTAAAATTTTCCCGTAAAAAATTTTCCCGCCAAAAAATTTTTTTTGCGGGAAAAGTGATTCCGCAATTTTTTTGGCGTTAAATTTTTGGCGGGAAAAATTTACAAGGTATTTTAAAGGTTTTTTACAGGGTATTTATAAGGTTTTACAATGTATTTTAAAAGGTTTTACAACGTATTTATAAGGTATTTATAAGATATTATAAGATTTTACAAGCAATTTTATAAGGTTTTACAAGTTATAAGGTTTTACAAGTTTTTTATAAGGTTTTACAAGTTATAAATACCTTATAAAACCTTATAAGTACCTTGTAAAACCTTTTAAAATACATTGTAAAACCTTACAAAACACTTGTAAATACTCTGTAAAACCTTTAAAAAACCTTGTAAATTTTTCCCGCCAAAATTTTCCCGACAAAAAAATTTCGCCAAAAAAATTACGGAATCACTTTTCCCGCAAAAAAAAATTTTTGGCGGGAAAAATTTTTACGGGAAAATTTTACAAGGTATTTTAAAGGTTTTTTACAAGTGTTTTGGCGGGAAAATTGCGGGATCACTTTTCCCGCCAAAAAATATTTTGTATTTTGAGGACCTAATTTTGTTTCAAATAAGGGTAAAATGGTCATTAAAAATTAAAAGAGGGCAAACTTAAAAATGGACTCTCAAAGGGGGCATTTTTTAAAAGGGGTATTGAAAAAGGGGCATTTTTTAACAATTTCTCTAAAAATTATTAATTATTTTCTTAAAGTTTTAAGTGTTAAATTTGTTTTAAAGTTTAATAAAAATCATTATTATTTTATAAAAACAAAAAGTTTTTACTTAAAAATATTTGAAAAAACATTGATATTTAGTATTAATTAGAAGTGAAAATAGAATATCTTATTTTGTAAAAATCAAAAATGATTAGGATGTAGGGGATGAGACCAATTATCCGGGATCCGGGATCCGCTCCGATCCGCTCCGAAAAATAGGATATCCGGGTGGGGCGGATCCGGATCCGGATAATGAAAAAGCGGATCCGGCCGGATCCGGATCCGGATAATAGAAAATTTAAAGCCGGATATCCGGATCCGGGATATTTTATATAATAATAATATTTTTTAAATATTTTATTACTATTATTTAAATTTTATTAATAAATTCTATTATTTTATATAAGAATAATATTTTTTTAATAATATTTTTAATTATTTATATTAAATTATTTGTTTTTAAATATTTTTATTGAAATTTTATATTAATAAAAAAAATTATATAAAAAAACCCGGATCCGGATATCCGGCTCTTTTTACGGATATCCGGATTTCGGATATCCGGGTGGAACGGATCCGGATCCGGATAATGAAAAGGCGGATCCGGCCGGATCCGGATACCCTAAAAAAACCGGATATCCGGATCCGGCCCAGCCCTAAATAGGATGTATGATTAAAAAAAGAAAAGGTGAGAAAGAAAAGATACCTGGAGTTCCATTGGCTTAATTAGTTTCCATGACTTCACACTCCGTCGTGCTCGAACGTTCAGATTGGTCGTCATTGTCAGATTCAACTTGAGAGGAAGCAGCTGGAATATGGAAAAGGTTTCTGTTAAGTTGCTTTTGTCATCAAGATATGTACACCAAATGATTCACTAGTTATGGTGCAGTGTTATTCTTTACCAGTATTGTCTGGAGAAATTTCATGAGATCCTTATTCTCCATAACAGCATCCCATACGCAATGGAAGCAACAACAGTCTGTAATAAGCAAACATGTGAAAGAGTTAACAAAGCTCTGTTAAATCAAAAGGGTTATATTCAAAGCAAATATGAGACATATACCAAACAAGAGTAGAGACAATTTTAACCGAGCAAAGAGAGGAAACCGATATACCTGCGCAGCGGTGTTTTCACTCAGAAAAGCCAATGCTTGAAGAGCAACTTGTGGAATAGCTGATTCAACAGCTCTGTTCTCAGAAGATTGAAAACCTGAGAGCATTTAATTTGGAAACAGCACCACCATCATTTGATCCTTCCATAGCAGCAGACGACTTTGGAGATGACATATACACCCTAAGAGCATGATTATTGGTAGTATCTTAGAAATAACTCTTAGCAATATTTAAGTAATATATTTGTAAAAGTGATTGTTAAGAGATGGTATTTTTGAGTTAAGATTTTTGTGTGATTAATGGTAGGCTCTTAACATGTGGTTGTTAGAAAAAAAATATTAATATAAAAATAAAATTTATAATTAATATAAAAATTAAAATTTTATAACATATATGACATAAAACACAATAGTAAGTTGATTTAAGGTAACCTAAATATATTTCTGACCACATAAATTTGAACAGATTTTTAATCTTATTTGTTTGATTTGTTTTTCATATTTGGAAAATTCAAAGCTTCAACTTAACGTAAGTAAACAAAGCCAAACGTTAAAAGATTGAAAATAGAAAATCAATTAAACATACAAGTGATCCAATAAATTTTTTGAAAAAAGCGTAACAATTAAGCACATACTTATGTAGGACTTGCTAAGTGATCGTATGGAGTAAAAAGGCGTAAATCCATGCATGATTATACGGAATTAGAAACTGTAACCTTAGCTAGGGTTGATGTTCCCTCTTAAAATAAGTATCAAATGTTTGAAAACAAATCAAATCAAAGCTAAGGTTGTCTGCATTCTTTCTCCTGCTACGAGATGTTGCCTTGATGAAAGGAACTACTTGGAGTTCTTGTTCGCATTTCGTTTTATCAACATCAACAACTTCTTCTTCTTTCCATGTAGTTGCTCTCTTTTTTACAGAGCTCCTCTGCTTCTTCTCCTTTTCTTCACATTTCTTCTCATCATCACAATTCCAATGTCAATAACCAAATCGTCAGACAATTCAAATTCAGACTCAATTCAAAAAAGACTTTGAGCTCAACTGAAAACCAAACCTAAACATATCAATCTAAGAACCATTTAAAGATGATTCTCCTCCAAAGGATGCTACTGCTACAGTTTCTTGAGAAACTGACCAAAGGATGCTGCTGCTACAATTTCTTGAGAAAACTGACTAAAGAAAGATTCGACAGGACCACCTAATTCCTCTTCAATGATAGTGCCTGCAGTTTCAAATCATGATCCAGTTAATGACATATGAAAACTAACATAGTCAGACAAATGCATCCCTAAGAGCAACCAAATGTGGCATGCAGAATGGAGAAAGAACCATGGAAACATGGACTAGCAAGACATTACGTTATACAAGTAATACGACTGACATTAGAAGCTAGGAGATTAAGACAAATGCGATTATAACTTCTATCTGACCTTGGAGATTTCACTCCCAATGAAATATAGCCTCGTCGAAAGGGATTGACCAACTGGACCAACAGAAGAGATGGAAGTATCATTTGCAACAGAGCAAAGTATCCTTCCGCTGAATCTTCTACGCCGGAATTCAGATTAGAATCAACCTCTGCGACTCCAATACCCATAGATTCATGAACAATCGCATGATAACTCTCCGATTGAGGAGCTTGGTTTGATAATCTCTCAATTCCCGACGAAAATTTGTCAGCCTCAAGAGATTAGTAAATTAGGTCACCGGATATTAAACCAAGAGATCGGAGCGTATCCTCCGGCGAAGGCGTGATGAGCTCGTCTTTACGATTAAGCGATAGATATGAACGGAGAAGGCGCCGTGGGATTGAGCCGTCGAAGTCGTCTCCGGTTTCACAAACGAGAGAGAAAGAGAAAGAAGTCGCCACGTCATCGCTTCTTAACAATAGATTTGTCTCTTAGTTAAGAGACACAAAAGACACCTCTTAGCTTATTTCATTATTTACCATTTAATTTTAATTAAATTTAAATCTAAGAACAAGTTAAGAAACCATCGATAATGATGGTCTAATCCATTAACAACCATCAAAGTAAGATCCTTTTTCATCAAAACTCTGACAAAATTCTTCTACTTTCTCGAATCCTAATCTCATATAAAACCTAACCCTAATTCATCAAATTCAAGCACAAATCCTCAATAATCCAAGATTTAGAGAATCAAAAAACAAGAACACAAATTAGGATCAAATCTTACATATTAATGGCTTCCTTCAGATCTTCAGTAGCTTCTTTAGCCTCCTCAAGACTAGGAGGTTTGCTAAAAACAACCCTAGTCGTGGTTGTTCTGCAACAACGGATACGGAACGATCACCGGCTTCAGATGGAACTTGTGCTCAACGTGAGCTTTCTTTTTCTGCCAAGAGAAACAAAAATAGTCAAGTCCTGTACTGTATATACCCAAAAGCAACAAGAAGCTCTCACAAATCAATACTTAAAAGCATAAATTTTCAATTTTTAAGGAAACAAATTGAAACTCGTTTCCAGGTAATCAAAACTCAATAGTCAGATCACTGTACCACAAACTAACACATTGTGAACGAAGCAATCAAAACCCAGAAATTGCAGATCTTCGAGAGAGTCATATCATATAAGAGAGAGTATTTAAAATTTGACAATCGCTAAATCCCGATGTAAACCTAAAAGAAAGTTCCAAACCTGCTTCTTAGGCATCAATCTAACTCTTACGGATCATGCTGCAGAGATCATTCATCATGGAATTCACCGGATAGTGATCATCGTCATGGATTTCGAAGCGAGAAATAGAGAGAGTTTTGATATTTCTCTCTCAAGGAAGAAATAGAAGAAGCAAAGTGTTAATTAGGTCTAAATATTGATCAATGTTATTATTATATATACACAAGATATTACAATAGAGCCGTTGGAGGATTTATGTTTCCTTATTTCAATTTCCTTTTCTTTCGATGCCTTTATTTCCTTCTAATATACAACGGTCATATATACTATTTCCATGTTGTGTTTCTTTTTTTAAAACAAATCTTCTGTACTGTTTCCTATTTCACTTGGGTTCGAGAAAGTTTAGACCAAAAATAGATAGATACGTCTTACCATAGCCAAGATTCTAGAGCGAAGAAGGAAAAGATACTTGTGTTCAGGCTTTCTATACTGAGATGGAATCAACTAAGGCAGAGTCTTCCAGAGGCAGAGGCTCATGATTTGCTAAAGAAGCAATGGATGCTTTGGAAGAGGTAGTTACGGATTGTAACCAAATGAAAGAGAGCGCTTGTGGTTGCAGAAACAGAGCTTGAGGCTACAACGGAAGGAGAAACTCGAGGAAAGAAGATGAGAAGAAGAACAATAGGTTCTGCTTGAAGCTCTTGTTGCTGCTGAGAATTTGAGCAAAAACGCTAACGAAGAGAATCATAAGCAATATATCATTTTATTATATACCCATCAATCAATACTCACAACTCTAGAATTCTTCTGCAAACACACAAAGAGATACAAAATTTTCAGATTTTGCAATTTCCCTTAGAATAAGTTGAAAACAGAGTGGCTCTGTTTTTGTGTGTTTACCAAGAAAGAATTGCATTTTGTTAAGGATAATCTTTCGTGATGAATTGAAAAGCGTAGTCCATTAAATCTCCGTTGCAACCTTGATTCTAGGATTTGTCGCAGTCGACTAGTTCTTGTTCTGATAGAGATATGAATTCTCCTGTTACGATCTTGTTTATACCTTCTACTACTAACTTCTTGTGTTGATCAATACACAAACACAAATATAACATTAACGCACAATAATACATAGCAACATGTGTTAAGGGTTTGGATATTAAGTCTATGAAGATTGAGATGGAATCAACCCAAGTAGACTCTCGCACATGCTCATGAGGCTGCAACAAGCTTCTTCCTCTTAGAAAGCAGTGTGTGATTTTTTGGCATTAGCTTTGAAAGAGGTGGCTACGGATTTTTGTAGTCAAACGAAAGCGCAGCTTATTGATGAAATAGAGGTTCGTAGCTATGGAGGAAGATAGACACAAAAGCTTTAAGTAGATAAGATGATCTGATGCATAAAGATGTACAATTTGTTCTTGAAAGATACTCGATGAGAGTCTTTTAGTGATGTCTTGATATTTCTTTCCCTAATTCCTTCTTCTCAACCATCAAAAGATTCATGGTTGGGAAACTTGCAATAGCCTCTGGTTGTTTCAAACGTTACACTCACAAATTTTTCCTATTAAAGGAGTATGTTTTGAAACTGAAAGCTAAAGCCAACAACGAGGCTGGATTCGAAGATGGAAAGATCTCTTCGCTTCAAGCGGTTTTAGGACATATATGGCGTTCAAGGGTTAAAAACAGTGGCATGAAAGCTTCCCGTTCAGGCTAGCTTGACCGGAGTTCCGCGACAAAGTCTATCAATTTGGATAAAGCAAACTTAAGCTAGATGAACATGAAAGGAGACAAAATAATATTATCAAGATCATTTTACTAACATTTCCGGGAATAACTCCTCTTCTTCTTGCATTTGCTTTATTTTGCCCCTCTCTTCTTCTATCTCAAATCTGTCTCTTCAATTTCACTATCGGGCTTTTTATTAGTCTATAATGGGACTCAAAATAAGGCTTTGGCCCACATCAAAAAGATAATTCACAAATCAAAACTAATTTCAGAGTCTTTTGTCCCACATCGCTCACTCTACTCATTTTGTGTTTGTTTATATATTACACCAAATGATAAGTTTAACGTCGAGCTAAGTAACGTGAGCTTGTAGCCCGAGTGGGGACAATAAGATGGTGGAACAATGGTTCGGGTCCACAGGTCGGTTCTGGTGTTGGCATGTTTCTGAGCTGCCCAGTCCAAGCTGTGAGTAATCCTTGTGGGTCGAGCGAAGGCTTGGCTCAGACGGGTTCTAAAGTTGGAGGGTAATGCGTGAGGCTGGTTTCACAGAGCAGCGACTACTTCCCGCTTACAGCAGTGGACGGATCACGGTTCGGCGTCACCCAGATCCGCTATGGCCTGCTGGTCCGATCTCACCTGAACCACCATTTTTTTTCCCTCTCATCTACAGCTTTTTAAGGCAGTTACATAAGAATTCTTTTTAGGGTTTTATGCTTTAAGAGGAACAAACTCGGATTGTGCAATGACCAAAAGCTGTGAAACGGAAAGCAAACTTTGAACAAAGCAAGAGGAAAGAGGAGACTGCAGATAGTTGAACCTTCAATAGGATATACAATGTAATCATAGCTTTTGTTCAATGTATGGAGATATACAATTTTCTGCTACTCAAAGAAATGTAACTTAAGAGTCAAGGTTAAAAGAGCCACGAGTAAGATGTGTAGGAAGGATCTCAATTGTATCGTTGTGATCAACACCAACCACCCAGAATGACTGATTCTCGTTCAATACTCTGTTTTTGTGTATAAGAAAATACCCTTCTTGAGGCAGATTTAACTCACCATTCTCTTCAATCTTCACCAACTCGTTCCTCAGTTCTTTTACGTTATCGTTCATCTTCACATTCACAGCCACCGGAACCTCCTTGACAGCTTCACTCTCACCGGAATACGGCAAAACGTATACGACAATCCGCTTCTTCGGAATCCTCTCCTTCTCAGACGAATCTTTAATGTTAGTGATCATCTCTTTGACTGAGTTTGACGATGGAGATTGCTCTGTTTGATCCGTCAGAGTCGACTCTTGATGACCGTCAATGATCTGTTCTGTTGAGTTTGACGGTGGAGGAGATTGCTCCGTTTGATTAGGGTTATGATCAGGAGAAACGAAGAGTTGAAGACGAGATCCGTGGACGATCTTGAACTGTTCGATATCAAGATCGTCTCGAAGAACAGTGCCGTCGAAGATAAGGGATTGTTTTGAAACAGAGATACGTTGAAACTTCTCGATCTTCTCTTTCATCTCTAACACTGTATCCTTGTAATACACTTCAATATCGAACGATGAGCCACTCTGAATCTCGAAGAACACCTTCATAATTGTATCAATGGTGTTTCAAGATCAATGGAGACTGTTGAAGAAAAGAGAGAGAGTGATGACTTGTAAATAAAGTTTCCTCACAAATCGGTTTTATATCATTGTTTCTCACGTATCGAAATCAATGAGAATCTTAACCGTCAACAGCTATCTTTTTACTGATTTACTAAAATGATCCTACGGTATATAATTTCACATTCTTCTACCAAAAAAATTGAAATGCGTTGAAACGCAGCGTTTTGTTGAAGAAATATAGGTCCTGCCCATTACTTGCAGTGTTTTTCTTTGGTTTTAGTCTTTGAATAAAGCAAGAAACTTTACTGTCTTTTGTCCTGTTTTTTTCAACAAAGATTCAACATTTGATCTTTATACGTGTTTCTGTAACGCCAGATCATTGAAAAATATCAAAAAAAAAATGTGAATTAGACCATCCGTAATGTTTCTAGAGAATGTACAGAGGCTTAAAGTGATTCTTGATCGCTAATTTCGAAAAGATGTAACTAAACAAGAACTTGTTTCTCTTCTTTAAACAACAACAATATTGGTAATTACATGTCTTAGCATATTTTCAGAAAGCTATGAACTTTGAACAAAGCAATAAAACTTGAAGAAAGACTAAAAGCTTCAAAGAGAGAGGAGACTGTTAAAAGATGGTAGCTTGCTGATAATCTCAATTCTATCACCGTCAACAACAAGGTTCCACTTGAATGACTCAGATTCGGTCAATGGTAACGCACTGTATACTAAGTAAAACCCTTCGTGAGGCAGATATAACTCACCCCTCTCTTGCATCTTAACCAGCTCTTTCCTTAGTTCTTCAACGTTATCATCTGCGTTAACCTCTACTTGAACGATCCTGGGATCATCTTCATATGGCTTCACATATACTGTCAGTTTCTCTTTGGCTGAGTCTGACGGTGGAGATTGCTCGGTGGTTTGAACTACTTGATTCCCAACCGTCACCTTCATTGTTGAATCTTGAGGGACAAGTAACTCAACAAGTGAATATGCCGGTCCTGATGAATATTCATTGTGGATTCTCCTCGCCACCACCTTCGTGATCTTTTTGCCTGTCGCTGAATCTATAAGCATTTGATCGTTGTTCTGATTAGGGTTATCCTCGGGAGAGATATAGAGAAGGAGACGAGAGTCTAAGAGAAGCTGGCAATCAAACTTAGGAAGATGATCTTGAAGAACCTTGCCTTGGAAGTAAAGAGTTTGTTTCGAAGCAGGGATACCTTGAGACTTCTCGATTTTTTCTTTTATCGATAACACTGTCTCCCAGAAATCAACAGTAATGGAGAACGATGAGCCACTCTCAGTATCGATGAGCACGTTCATCATTGTATCAATGGTGTTTCAAGAACAGTGGAGAGACAGAGACTTTTGAAGAAGAGAGAAAGAGAAAGTGATGATTTTTGTGACGAAAGTTTTATTCGTAATTTGGTCTTATATATCACTAGTCAAAGAATTGTAACCGTCGATTGCTCTCCTAACTGATATGATCCAACGGTTAATTTAAGCGTTCTTGAAATGGGTTGAAACGCAACGTTTTGAATAAAAATATAGTATCCGGCCCATTAACCCGACAAATTTGACCCGTCTCTTGTTCTTCCCTTTGAAACGCAGCGTTTTATTGAAAAATTTAGGTACGGCCCATTAGTTGCAGAGTGTTTTTAAGGCAATTAGCATTATGATTTTTTTGGGGTTTAGTTTTTGAATAAAGCAAGAAACTTTACAGTCTTTTGCTCTGTTTTGTCAACAAAGATTCAACATTTGATCTTAAAGTCAAGCATGATCACTGATTTCGAACAAGATCTAACTCAAAAACAACTAATTTTTCTTCTTTTAGCTCATATTGGTAATTACATGTCTTAGGCTCTTAGCATATTTGCAGAAAGCTGTGAACTTTGAACAAAGCAAGAAAACTCGAAGAAATACTAAAAGAAAAGAGGAGACTGCACTGAAACATATCCGATATATGGATAGACTAAAAGAAAAGAAAGACTGAAAGAACAAAGCAAGCTCGTTTAGTGATGACTTGTGGGTTTAGGGCCGGGATAGGTAACATATCCGAGGAAAATCTCAATCGTATCACCGTGAGAAACACCGTTCGTCAAGAATGACTTATCTTCATGTAATACAGCCTGATTGTGTATAAAGTGATACCTTTCTTGAGGCAGATGGAACTCACCCCTCTCTTTCATCTTAACCAGCTGTTTCCTCAGTTCTTCAACGTTATCATCTGCGTTAACCTCCACTAGATTCCTCATGGTATCTCCATATGGCTGCACCATTACTATCATCTTCCTCGGGTTGGTCTTGGTCTTCTTCCTCCCAGGCGAATCTGGAATGTTAATGACCTCTACGACTGAGTCTGACGATGAAGATACTCTGTTTTGAACTTCTTGATTCCTGTTTCTTCTGCTCCCAACCGTCACAGACGACGAACCTCGAGGGGCAAGTAACTCATCAAGTGAATATGCCGGTCGTGATGAATATTCATTGTGGATTCTCCTCGGCACGACCTTCGTGATCACAGGCCGATCATGTTGCTTCTTACTGCCCTCGGGAGAATCTTGATTGTTAACGAACTCATGAATTGGATTTGATGGAGATTGAGCCACTTGGTTCTGAGTAGGGTTATCGTCAGGAGAGATGGAGAGATGGATACGAGAGTTGTGGAGGATCTCGCATTCAAAGATGTTAAGATGGTTTAGAAGAACCTTGCCTTTGAAGGTAAGTATTTGTTTGGCAACAGGAATACCTTGAGACTTCTCGATCTTCCGTTTAATATCCAACAGTGTATCCCCGAAAACAACATCAATGGAGAACGTTGAGCCACTCTGATTCTCGACGGTAACCTCCATCATTGTATCAATGGTGTTTCAAGATCAAGAGAGAGACGTGAAGAAGAGAAAGAGAGAGAAAGTGAGTGACGATAAGTTTACTCGTGTAATTTGGTTTAAATAATCATTTAAGCCCCTACTCGAAGAATCTTAACCGTCGATGGCTCTCCTTACTGTTATGATCCAACGGTTAGATTAAGCAATCTTGATATGAAAAAAAAAAAAAGGAGTAATCTTGAACTGGGATAAAACGCAGCGTTTTAAGGCGTTTCAAAAATGTCATTTTGACAATCTCATGATTGGAAAGCTTTGTAGAGAGCTCTTTAATTTTCGTCATGAGGTAAGTCAGTAACACACAAGTTTCTCTCTTTTCGCTCAAAGTTGTTCTTATTGGTAAATTTCATAAGTATATTTTGCAAAAAAGCAAGAAACTACAATAAAGACATTGTCGAGAGTTAAGTAGGCTTCATTATCAGGTGAAATGATTAAGGATTTAGCTTACTTGGAGTCAGAAGACAGGACCACCTGAGGCTGTGTTGCCTGTTGCGTTTGAGACTGGCGTTGCATCATTTGTTGTTGATTAAGCTAAAGGCCATGGTGATGTTGCTGCACTGGGAGAAGTTTGGTGAATCATTATAATATGGGGAAGCCTAAGTGTTGTTGCTGGTTGAAAAATATCTCTGAAATGTTCATGAACAACTTGGTGTAATAGTCAACATCTGAATTGCTTCTGTGGGAGAAATGGCTATCTTGGTTCTGCTGATTGGTCTCAGGTCTCATGACTTGCTGCAATTCACCCGAGTAATAAGGCTAAACCACAATCTTAGACTCATAAGAAGCTAGTAGTTTGACTGTATTATATAATAACTAAAAAGAATTAGTTTTATAAAGAACTTGGAGACTGGAAAGGTTGAAACCAACAGAATCAAGCTCTTAGTTTACCTGAATCATAGGACTACATCACAATCTGAGACAAGTACCCTCAAATCATCGTCAAATAGAACATTTGGTCAACTTCTTGGTTAGTACATAGCATGCAAAGTAATCATTTCATTCTTATGGGCTTAAAGCTGATACATTATCTAACGAGAATCGATCCACACCACATAAGAACCATCTAGTAAAATTGGCTATAAACGATTGACATGATAGAGTAACCTGAAAAGGAAATGGACCCAACAGAGATTTTGCTGCAGAATTGGAGCAAATTCAACAAAATTTACAAACACCTAATTCATAACCGACCTAGAAAATCTGTTGCATGGAAATTAGAAGAGCATTAGAGTTTTAAAATCTTACCAGAAATGGGTACAATGAACATCAGAGCAGCAACAACGAAATTTTTTTAAATTTTAGGGTTTCATTCATCAGAATTTGAGGATCGATCTGCATAAGTTTTTGGAAAAAAAAAATTTGGACCATTTCTCGATTTATGCGTGTCATCCTTGCGCAGGGGCCATGCTAATCTTCTCTGTATCGTTCCAATTTTATCGGATGTCCCCGAAGGGACAATCACCTTCTCGACTCCGACGATATATAAACGCAGCTTCGTCTACTGTTCTAAGCGATGTGGGACTTTTGACAACGTAAACAGGTTAAATGGGCTCGATTATTATAAGGCCTATTTCTATTTCTACATAGGCCCATTAACATTGTTTCTACGTAGGCTTCTTTCTGATTATGCGTAGAGAATGAGAACGACGCCGTTGGTTTTGTGTAACGTTAGCTTTAAATTGTCAATGAGCAATTGTTGGGTTATAGACTTTGGTTTTTGCACAAGGAAAAAAAAAAAGACTTTGGTATGCTGTTAAATGTTACTAATATTTCATTTGGCTAGAGAACTTATGGGTAACTAAACACTCAACGTTTTAGATTTTACAGTTTTATCAGAAAAATTCGAAACTTTTGCAATAATCGTCTTTCATATCATGTCAACAATTAGCTACCAAGACTGCTCCTACGTCCACACTGATGCTCTACCACCAAGTTGAGGCTGCGTTTGCGATTGAGGATGCGGGTGCAGAAAAACTTGAGAAGCAAAAAGATTGAGATCAAGATCGAGATGGGGACGTGGTGCCTTGGGAGAAGAATATTGATGCTGAATAACTTGACAAAACTCATAGTGACCTACAAATGTAACTAAAGGCTTTTGAAAAAAAGTTAATCCTGGCCGTTCATTCATATGAATCTACCGGTGAATAATCTGATATTGTATTGGATAACGATGATGATATTGGTTTTGAGGATTGAGGAGACGACAATGAGTCTCTGCTTCTGATCTAGTCGGAGGCATTTTCTCTGTTTTTGTATTTCTTGTGCAACAAGTTTCATTTATTGACTTGTACTCATTCTTCTCTTCTGCATTTGTTTGTCTTACCGAATATATTGGAATTGACTACTTTCTTTTTTTTAATTTGGAAATGAGAAACGATTTGCTAAACTAAACGTTTAAAAAGAAAAACTCTTTCTTTTTGAATTCGAGACTTTTGCATAGTTCTTGACTAAACAGTTTCATAATCTCTAAGAAATTACACAAATGGGGAATTCTAAAAAGAGAGACTTTAAGACTAGAGTGGACTTTTAATCTTCAGTAAAAAGTATTGAAATTGATTAGGAGTTGATAATGAAGATTCAGAAGAAAAATCTTCCTTGTTCCAAACTTTAGAATAGATCTTTGACTAAACAGTCATCAACACCAGTTCATTTGACAGCTACCAAAAAGAAAAACTTGAAAATCATGTCAAGAATCGTTTTACCTAGGCTGCTGCTGATCTTGACCTTGTTCAGAAGATCCTTGAGACTGCGTTGGCTGTTGGGTTTGAGGCACACGTTGCTGCATTTGTTGATTTAGCTCAGGCCATGCATGTCGTGGGTTCTGACCTATATCAAATGATCTTGGCTGTCCTCTTGTAGCATTCCTGTATTGCGGCATTCTCGGGTCAGCCATTGGATGTTGATATAAGTTCTGCGGGTAAGCCATTGGATGCTGAATTGGCCACAGTGGCCCTGGCATTGGATTGGTCATCTGGTTAGCTGATGGATGCTGATGATATGTGTTCTGAAGTCTCCATGGTTCATAGTTGTAATATACTAATGCAGGCCCTCGAATCTGGTTAGGCACTGGAAGTTGATAAAAGTTCTGCTGGCTAGCCATTGAATGATGATATGGGTTTATCATCGGACCCTGCATTGGCCATGGAATATATATATGAGTCGGCGTTGGCATCACAGTTTGCGTTGGAACTAGATTGGCCATCTGGTTAGCCCCTGGAAGCTGCTGATATGTGTTGTTCTGAGGTCTGAATGGTGCTGCATTGGGAGAAAGTTGACTCGGCATACCAATAGGTTGGCTGATATTGTTTCGATCACTTGTAGACGATGTTGATCCAGGGTTTGTTCTTGTGAGTTGCTGCTGCGGGTCCATCGTATGACTACTCGTAGCAATCTGATTAAGCCTTGGATTCTGATGTGAAGGCTGAGTAATAAGACCACAAGTTTCTTCGTAGCTCTGTTTTTCTCTGTTTTCAGCTTCTTCTCTATGGTCTGAGAACTCGATTTTATCATCAGATTCCTGCCAAGATTTAAGAACCAAGAGTTCATATTTAAGCATCTCTCTTACTTACTTGCGAATTAAGTAAACTGGGAATAGTAATTACCTTGCGCACATCACCATCATTGCGATCATCTTCTTTATTATCTACCCTTCTTATCTCGCCAGATTCACTACTATCTTCACGGTTTCTTGAAGAAGAAGCATATGTTTTCTCGTTGGCGGAACAAGAAGCAGAGTCTTTCACAGGTTTTCGAGCGAATACATGATCACAATTCACAAATCTCCGGATTAATCTTAGTCGGCTCTTCTTCAAGATTCAAATCTCTGTCTTCTTCGAGAAAACAGATATCGGCGGCATCAAAATCGAAAAAGCCATTTGGGAAGTTTTTCATATATTCGGGATCATCTCGTGGTTCCGGCTCAGCCATGTCGCAAGAGAAAAACAGAGAGAGAGACGAAGAATTAACGAACAAGAAAAAATGAAATAAATTTAATTAGGCGCCATGCTTTTATACTCGAGAAGGAAATATTAATCACACAAAATCTTTGATCCGTTTGGTTCGGTTAAGTCTGGTTTATTGGACCTCACTTCTGTTAGTAATTACAATTGTTTCAAGTAAATATCCTATAACAAGCACAAATTCACAGAATCAAGGAAAATACAAACACAGAGCATGTTCTATAAACTTTTTGAATGCAAACAAATTCAAAGATTCGAGTAAAACATACACCATTTTACAGTAGAAGTTTTCAACGAACAAAAGTTATACAAACAGAGACGGATTCAAGATTCACAAAAACCGAAACTCCCCAGTCCCCACTAATTGAAAGTATGAACATTGATCTTCTTCTCTTGAGTAAATTCACAACCAAAACTACAACACACTTTTTTTGCTGCAAAATCAACTTAAGCCTCCTCCTAAGGTTATGACTCTTTTTATGTCTTTGTTTTAGTTCCCCCTTGTTGTTCTTGTTCTTGTTGTTGTGAATGAGAACTGAACATCCTGTCTCCGCAATTCACTGGTTAGCTAAGTGCTTCATAACCATTCAGTCTGCCATGTATAGATTCCTGAGTCTGCTCGATATATTCATAAGAGGTTAGTAGCTGTCCTGACTCCTGATAAACGATTACGACGATGATAAGGAGTTAGTTTAGTTCTTTCTGCATCTTGAAGACTGAAAAGAATCAAGCTCGTTGGGTTTAGGTTTACCTGCCTCACATGGCAAAACCACACAATCTGAGACAAGCAAGCTCATATTCGTCGTCAAGTAGAACATTGGCTAACTCTTTGGATGGTACACAGCTTCAAATGTCCTTTTCAAATATGATTCCCCATCAATTCAAAGACCTTTTCAAATATGATTCTACCAAGTAATCATTTGATTCTATTTTCCATCTCTGAAAACTGAAACCCCTAAACCCTAAACGTGTATCTTCACCGTTGCTAATGGGTCGCTGATTCATTCCAGCTAGTCATAGACACTTTCCTCATTACCTAAAAACCCTTTTTCCCATCCAATGAATAAAATTGATTCAAGACAGGTGACAAAAATGTCAGATAGTATATCCAAAAATTGTCTCTTGAACCCCTAACCAGCATCAAAGTCTTGATCTTTTTGTACAAATCAACACAGGATATTACTAAGAGAAAGGGTTGACAGGATTACCAGAAACTCAAGAACCCAGTAGAGATTTTTGCAGCAGAATTGGGGAAATTTAAATAAAAATACAAACTCCCAATAGCTAGCTTACTTATAAAGTTGATCAGAGCATAAAAAACCAATGCATCAACTGCAATGTAATGACTTAATCGAAACCGAACTGAGAACGAAGAAATGCATAGAGTTTAATCAGAACAAGTCCTTTAAAAACGAAAAATTGCTGCACAAGATAAATATTAGACCAATGCACAAATCTATTTGGCAACAAACGTTAGAACAACAACAATTTGGTTTCAGAATCAATCTGTCGACTCTAACCATATATAAACGCAGCTTCATCTACTGTTCTAAGCGATGTGGGAGTTTTAGTCTTTTAGACAACGTTAACAGCTTAAATGGGCTTGTTTAAGGCCTATTTCTATTTCCACATAGGCCCATTAACATTGTTTTTACTTACGCTTCTTTCTGATTTATGCGTAGAGGATGAGAAAACGACGCCGTTTGGCTTTGTGTAACGTTAGCTTTAACATTCAATGTCTAGACTTACAGTTTTATCAGAAAAATTCAAAACTTTTGCAAGAATTGTCTTTAAAATTCATGTCAACAATCAGCTATGCTCACTTGGACCTTGAATGTTAGTGATCATTTCTTCGACCGAGTTTGACGATGGAGATTGCTCTGTTTGAACCGTCACAGTCGAATCTTGATGACCTTCGATGATCTGTTCTGTTGAGTTTGAGGGTGGAGGAGATTGCTCCATTTTATGATCAAGAGAGATCAGAAGAGTTGACGACGAGAATTATGAAAAATCTTGCATTATGAAAAGTGAATCTTTATCGCTAATTTCGAAAAGATGTAACTAAACAAGAACTCGTTTCTCTTCTTTCATTGGTAATTACATGTCTTAGCATATTTGCAGAAAGCTATGAACTTTGAACAAAGCAAGAAAACTCGAATAAAGACTAAAAGGAAATAAAAGATGATGATAGCTCGCTGATAATCTCAACTCTATCGCCGTCAACAACAAGGTTCCACTCGAATGACTTAGATTCGGTCAATGGTAACGCATTTTCTACTAAGTAAAACCTTTCTTGAGGTAGATTTAACTCACCCCTCTCTTGCATCTTAACCAGCTCTTTCCTCAGCTCTTCAACGTTATCATCTGCGTTAACCTCTACTTGAATGATCCTGGGATCATCTTCATATGGCTTCACATATACTGTCAGTTTCATCGGATTGGGGTTGATCTTCATTTCCACAGGAAGGACCTCTTTGGCTGAGTCTGACGGTGGAGATTGCTCAGTGGTTTGAACTACTTGCTTCCCAACCGTCACAGTTGGCGAATCTTGAGGGGCAAGTAACTCAACAAGTGAATATGCCGGTCGTGATGAAAATTCATTGATGATTCTCCTTGTCATCACCTTCGTGATCTTTTTGCCTGTCGCTGAATTTATAAGCATGTGATCGTTGTTCTGATTAGGGTTATCCTCGGGAGAGATGGAGAGAAGGAGACGAGAGTCGAAGAGGAGCTGGCAATCAAACTTATCAACATGATCTTGAAGAACCTTGCCTTGGAAGTAAAGGGTTTGTTTTGCAACAGGGATACCTTGAGACTTCTCGATCTTTTCTTTTATCGTTAACACTGTTTCCCAGAAATCAACATTAATGGAGAACGTTGAGCCACTCTCAGTATCGATGAGCACGTTCATCATTGTATCAATGGTGTTTCAAGATCAGTGGAGAGACAGAGACTTTTGAAGAACAGAGAAAGAGAAAGTGATGATTTTTGTGACGAATGTTTGTTTCTTCGTAATTTGGTTTTATATATCACTAGTCAAAGAATTGTAACCGTCGATTGCTCTCCTAACTGATATGATCCAACGGTAAATTTAAGCGTTCTTGAATGGGTTGAAAACGCAGCGTTTTAAATTAAAAAATAGTGTCCGGCCCATTAATCCGACAAATTTAACCCGTCTCTTGTGTAAAAGTAGTATCCGGCCCATTCTTCTGAGTAAAAATCGAAATGAATTGAAATGCTGCGTTTTGTTTGAAATTTTTAGGTCCGGCCCATTCATTAGTTACAGAGTGTTTTAAAGCAAATTAGTAATGTGATTTTTTTTTTTTGGGATTTAGTTTTTGAATAAAGCAAGAAATTTGACTGTCTTTTGCCCTGTTTTGTCAACAAAGATTCAATATTTGATCTTTATACTTGTTTCTGTAACGCCACATCATTAAAGAATACTAAAAAAAATGTGAATTAGACCATCTGATCGTAATGTTTTCTTCTGGAGAATAGACACAGAGCTTAAAGTAACTCAACAAGAACTAGTTTCTCTTCTTTCAGCTCATATTGGTAATTACATGTCTGAGAAAGCTGTGAACTTTGAACAAAGCAAAAAAACTTGAAGAAAGACCAAAAACAATAAGACAAAGAGGAGACTGCACTGAGTTTAAGCTCATTAGTGATCAAACGTTCGACCACTTGTGGCCTTGTAGGTGTAGGAGCCGCGATAGGTAACATATGCGCTGAAAATCTCAATCGTATCACCGGAAGCAACACCGTTCGTCAAAAATGACTGATCTTCGTTCAATACAGCCTGCTCGTGTATAAAGTAATACCTTTCATGAGGCAGATTTAACACACCCCTCTCTTGCATCTTAACCAGCTCTTTTCTCATTTCTTCAACGTTATCATCTGCGTTAACCCCCACTAGAATCCTCCTGCTCTGTCCATATGGCTGCACTATTACTACCATCTTCCTCGGGTTGGTCTTGGTCTTCTTCTTTGCAGGCGAATCTGGAATGTTAATGACCTCTTCGACTGAGTCTGACGGTGAAGATACTCTGTTTTCAACCTTTTGATTCCTGTTTCTTATGCTCCCAACCGCCACAGTCGACGAACCTTGAGGGGCAAGTAACTCATCAAGTGAATATGCCGGTCCTGATGAATATTCATTGTGGATTCTCCTCGCCACGACCTTCGTGATCTTGGTCTTCTTCCTCACAGGCGAATTTGGAATGTTAATAACCTCTTCGTCTGAGTATGACGCTGAAGATACTCTGTTTTGCACTTCTTGATCCCTGTTTCTTATGCTCCCAACCGTCACAGACGACGAACCTTGAGGGGCAAGTAACTCATCAAGTGAATATGACGGTCGTGATGATCCATTGTCGATTCTCCTCGCCACCATCTTCGTGATCACAGGCCGATCATGTTGATTCTTTCCGAACTTTTCCGTTGTCAAAGGACTTGATTTTGACGGTAACGGAGGTTTCCCTGATTGATGAAGCACTTGATTCTTTTTGCCCTCCGGAGAATCTTGATTGTTAACGAACTCATGAATTGGATTTGATGGAGATTGAGGCACTTGGTTCTGAGTAGGGTTATCGTCAGGAGAGATGTAGAGATGGAGACGAGAGTTGTGGAGTATCTGGCAATCCACGATATTAAGATGGTTTTGAAGAACCTTGCGTTTGAAGATAAGTGTTTGTTTGAAAACAGGGGTCCCTTGAGTCATCTCGATCTTCCGTTTAATTATTAACACTGTATCCCAGAAAGCAACATCAATGGTGAACGATGAGCCACTCTGATTCTCGATGATCACCTTCTTCATTGTATCAATGGTGTTTTTCAAGATCAATAGAGACTGTTGAAGAAAGAGAAAGAGAGAGAAAGTGATTGACGAAAAGTTTATTCGTGTAATTTGGTTTAAATATCACTTTAAGCCCCTAGTCGAATAATCTTAACCGTCGATTGCTCTCCCTACTGATATGATCCAACGGTTAGATTAAGTAATCTTGAAATGGGTTAAAACGCAACGTTTTGAATAAAATATTAGATCCGGCTTATTAACCCGACAATTTGACCCGTCATTGTTCTCCCCCAATTTTACCCGTCGCAGGTAATTCTTCAATTAGGGTTTTTTTTTTCTCCGGATTCAGCTTCTTGGAGATTGGTCATTTGTTAATAGGTTTGAACAATGTATCATTTAGTTTGAATAAAGCAAGACACTTTACTGTCTTTTTGCCCTGTTTTGTCAACAAAGATTCAACATTTGATCTTTATACTTGTTTCTGTAATGCCAAATATATATATATATATATATATATATATATATATATATAATGTGAATTAGACCATGACCATCCGATCATAATGTTTTCTTCTGGAGAATGTACAGAGCTTAAAGTGAAGCTTGATTTCGAAAAGATGTAACTCAACAAGAACTAGTTTCTCTTCTTTCAGCTCATATCAGTAATTACATGTCTTCGAAAGCTGTGAACTTTGAACAAAGCAAAAAAACTTGAAGAAAGACTAAAAACAATAAGAAAAAGAGGAGACTTAAGCTCGATTAGTGATCAAACGTTCAACCACTTGTAGGTGTAGGAGCCGCGTTTGGTAATATATGCGCTTAAAATCTCAATCGTATCTCCGTAAGCAACTCCGTTCGTCAAGAATGACTTATCTTCATGTAATACAGCCTGCTTGTGTATTAAGTAAAACCTTTCGTGAGGCAGATTTAACTCACCCGTCTCTTGCATCTTAACCAGCTCTTTTCTCAGTTCTTCAACGTTATCTTTTGCGTTAACCTCCACTAGACTCCTACTGCTCTCTCCATATGGCTGCACCATTACTACCATCCTCCTCGGGTTGGTCTTGGTCTTCTTCTTTGCAGGCGAATCTGGAATGTTAATGACTGAGTCTGACGATGAAGATACTCTGTTTTGAACTTCTTGATCCCTGTTTCTTCTGCTCCCAACCTTCACAGACGACGAACCTTGAGGGGCAAGTAACTCATCAAGTGAATATGACGGTAGTGATGATCCATTGTCGATTCTCCTCGCCACCACCTTCGTGATCACAGGCCGATCTTGTTGTTTCTTACTGAACTTTTCCGTCGTCAAAGGACTTGATTTTGGCGGTAATGGAGGTTTCCCTGATTGATCAAGCACTTGATTCTTTTTGCCATTCGGAGAATCTTGATTGTCAACGAACTCATGAATAGGATTTGATGGAGATTGCTTGGTTTGAGGCACTTGGTTATGAGTAGGGTTATCGTCAGGAGATATGGAGAGATGGATATGAGAGTGGTGAAGGATGTGACATTCAAAGATATCAAGATGATCTTGAAGAACCTTGTGGAGGACTAGGCTTTGTTTGGAAACAGGAATGCCTTGAGACTTCTCGATCTTCTGTTTAATCGTTAACACTGTATCCGAGAAAGCAATATCAATGGTGAACGATGAGCCACTCTGTTTCTCGATGATCACCTTCTTCATTGTATCAATGGTGTTTCAAGATCAATAGAGAGACTTGGAGAAAGAGAGAAAGAGAGAGAAAGTGATTTGACGAAAAGTTTATTCGTAATTTGGTTTAAATATCACTTAAATCCCCTTGTCGAAAGAATCTTAACCGTCCATTGCTCTAATTATTGATATGATCCAACGGTTAGATTACGCAATCTTGAAATGGGTTAGATTAAGCAATCTTGAAATGGGTTAAAACGCAGCGTCTTGAATAAAAATATTAGATCCGGCCCATTAACCCGTCTGTTTTTTCGGTTAGGGTTTTATTTTTCTCCGGATCAATAGTGGAAACTTGATACTGAAGTCTCAAGTTTTCCATTTTCATGTGGTTGTTCAATTTATCTACTGATGATTGAAATCAGAAGTTCATAGCTAAATCCGATGTTGATAGAATCAATTTGAACAACAACAACAAAAACAACATCTTTATTAGGGGTCTGTTTCGATTAAGGTTTCTTTCTGCTCAAGTCATCTGCTCTTCTCCTTCTGAATTTCTAGTTCTTAAGCATATTTTGTGTAACGAAACAATTTTGAAGAAAGCAAAAAACTTTGAAAAAGACTGAAAAGCTATAAGGTAAGGAAAATATTGCAGAAAGTTAAGCCTGATTCATGATCAAGTCATCCCCAACCGTCACACGCGGTGAATCTTGAATGCCCAGTAACTCTCCCCTCGAATTTGACGCTAGTTATGATTCAATGTTTCTGCTGCTCGTAACCATTACTGGAGATTCTTGAACCTTACGAATCTCGGCTTGAACCACTTTATTCCTGTTTCTTATGTCCCCAACCGTCACAGGCGGTAAATCTTGAATGCCAAGTAATTCATCAAGTGAATATGACGGTAGTGATTCATTGTTGTTGTTGCTACTCACCATCACCGGCATGATTTGTTGGTTTAAGTTTGACGGTGCTGGAGATTGATGAAGCACTTGATCGCTGTTGTGATTAGGGTTAGAAGATACGAATAGTTGGAGACTAGAATTGTGGATGATCTGACATTGTGCGACGTCAAGATGGTCTTTAAAAAGAGCCATTTTTTTTTTTTTGAATAAAATGTAAAATTTATGCGGCAGATTTTACATTCTGTTTGTATATAAAGAAATAGCCTTCTTGTGGCAGATTTAACTGAAACCTCTGTTGAATCTTAGCCAGCTCTCCAACGTTATCACCCGCGTTCACCTCCACCGGAATCTTTCTGGTCCCGCATTTTGGCAGAACCATTAATCTCAGCTTCTTCAGGGGATTGTTGTTATTGCTCCCCACCATTAGCATTGTCGAATCTTGATGACCATTAATGATCTGTTCTGTTGAGTTTGATGGTGGAGATTGCTCAGTTTTGAACACTTGACTGTTGCGGTTCTGATTGTGGTTTTGATCATTGTTACCGGGAGAGGATATGAAGAGTTGGAGATGGGAGTTGTCGAGGATCTGACATTGTTCGATATCAAGATCATCTTGAAGAATATTACCTTGGAAGAAAAGGGTTTGTTTCGAAACAGGAATACGTTGATACTTCTCAATCTTTTCTTTGATCTCTAACACTGTATCAAAGTAACCCACTTGAATGGAGAATGGTGAGCCTCTTTGAGTCTCAAAGAACACATCCATGTGTATCAATAGAGACTGATTAAGTGTGGATAGAAAAAGAGAGAGAGTGTGAAGAGAGATGTTGTGCTATAATATCATTTTGTTTGAAAACTAGCAATGAAAGGTAACATTTTGAGAATATACTGATAATAAAATCGTACACAAAATAGAAAACACATGCCTCTGGGGATGTAACAAACTTAATTCTATCTATAAAACCTGAGTTAACCTAAACTGAATTTGAAAAAAATAAACAGAACAAAAGAGAAGAAACAGAGCATGGCTTAGACACAGACCAGTTCAAAGCTTTTTTTTTTTTTGCTGAAGAAGTCGAATAGGATTAACCTACACTGATCACAGGCTCAGAGGTGGATCCTCCAGCTGGAGAAGAAGAAGCAGCAGGAGGAAGCGGAAGTAATCGCTTCTTCTGGGCGCGTGGAGGCAAATGCTTCACATGTTTTCTTGAGCTATTAACAGAGGCCCATGGTAAGAAAACACCGGTACCACCACCGGTTCCCATCACATTGGGACTTGGTAATATCATTGGTTGAACTGGTGGTGGTGCCATCATGACCATTGGAGGACGTAGGACTCCAAGTTTTGGCATCATGTCAATTGAATGATCATAGCCATTGAGGAATGGAGTTGGTGTCATTTGGTAAGGTTGCCACATTGTCATTACACCGTCGTTGCGAGGACTGTTGGGTTGTGAATGGTTATGATATGTGTCAGGTCGAATACGAAAGAATGTGATGCTTACTCTTTTGTTTTGTGATGGACACATTACATGTCTTGCCATGTCTGCACTGTTCCCTCTCATCACCAACAAAGATCTATAAAGATCAGGTCAAGCAATGTTAATGAAGCGAAATCGACATTTTTTTTGGAGTTAAAGGAAGAGGTTTTTGATATTTTTTACCCTTGTTTGAGAGAAAGAGTTAAAGGTCCTCTGAAGTTGCCTTCGTTGTCACTAGAGAGAATGCGTCCATAGGCCATTGTTGATTCAGAGAGAACAAGAGTGGAGATTGGTTGTTCTAGATGTGGTGGTTTTAGGAAAGGCTGTGAGTATTCACCCTGCAACAAGAGCGGTAATCTCGAAGGTTAAAGAAAAGCGGAAACATAAAGGAGTACTGGTGATCCATGGAGATGTATGTACCTCTTCAAAGAAGTTGATGACACAGCCGTTTGGTCTCTTGTATTCTGGGATGAGTCTCCATTTGACAAAGTGATCAATGACACTCTCAAGAAGTGGTGGAATTGGCTCAATGTTAACTACAAACCAACAAAGTCTAATCGGTCAAAGCCATCCACATGCATCAAACCATTTAGATTGAACCTTGCGGATCAGAGCAATTCCTTACCAGAGTTGTTGGTGTCGTTAGAGTTTTCATCCGCCTTAACATGGCCAAAGATGGGGACACCAAGCTGAATCAGCTCTCTCTTGTTCCCTTTAATCTGTTTGTTGAACAGTATAAAGCTCTCACCTGCATTCATCCATGTGTAAGCACCGGAAAACTCTTAAAGCCTATAATGTGTTTCGCGTAAGACAAAGTCAGTCACCTGCAAGCTTCCCGTTTATGCCAGCTTCTCGGAGTTCTGCCACAAAGTCTATCAATTTAGATATCTCATCTTCTTTAAGTAATTCTTCATACAGCTTTAGTCCTTTCACAACATTCACCTAACATCACAACACTAATTTATCAATATCCATATCAATATGTATTGTGTCCCTCAAATCGAACTTATCACACTACTCACAGTGTGGCCTTTGACTTGCTCTTTGGCTTGGAAACCTTTGATAGGCTTAATCTCACATGACCGTGCATCACAATCTTCATGGCTCTGGCATATAATCTGATGTGTAGTATCCGCAGCAGCAGTTTGGTGAACATCTTGATGAGAACCTATGAAAAACACATTTAGAAGTTTTAATATTTTCATATTTTATTACACACAACATTAGTTGCAAAATGTTTTATTAATCAGTTAATTAATGTGAGATTCGATTCTCTGGCTTTAGTGATAAACACAACGACTAGAGTAATGACAATTAAATGTGATATTTGATTCTCATGGACCATTCTAAAGAACTTATAGTTCCCTTGTAAAATGTATCAGAGAAAGTCAGAGACTTTCAATGTAGAAGACAAGACTACAAAGTCTAATGTCTTCGTCCACGTGTCTCTACCTAAACTTACGACTTTCAACACGAGTGAATTAACTCTACACACATATCACGAAGAAAAACTCACTAGACTGGTAAAAAGATCTTTAACAAAATAAGACTTCTGACTAATTTTATGGCCGTGAACAAAAAGCAAAAAGTTTTAAAGTTAAAGAAAAAATATGTGCTCGTGAGTCGTGAGGGATTCGAACATTCGGGACGAGAAGAGAAACAAAGTTAAAGGGCGGCACGGAAAATCGTGGGGACCATAATTGATGAGGACTCTTTTTTAATTAAATCCAACGGCTGCGATGAGCTCACCACTATTCGAATAAAAATTGCAATAAAATCATCACACGCGAATCAATGTGAGATTGATACCTTTGATGCGTTTTACAGTTACACATCAACTAAAGGCACAAGACAACAAAATTGTTGCCTACTAGTACTACTAACACACATTGAGAATAGGAATTCTAATCTTCTACATCCAAACGACGTCGTTATGACGTTTTTGGTCTTCTTTTACCTTGTAGAAGTCAGAGAAACTTTTTCAGATTATGCCTTTTCAACACAACTACAATAGATTTGTACTTTTGTACGATTTTCATGAAAGTTTGTGTTAACTTTTATTCTTACAGTAATAATAAGGTCTCGATTTTGTGATTCGAGAGTACTTGCATAACTAAAGTAATAGTTACGTTATAATAATTGTCCTCCTAAATCAGTATAATGAAGAAAAGAATATATAAAATGAATAATACTTTATGTTCATTATAAAACCACTGAGTAGCCGGCAACAAAATATATTAATATATTATTAAATTTATTATATACTGTATTCTGTTTCACACATGTTAAAGTAGGGTAACTAAAAATAAATTAAATTATAATTAATGCTTAGTTTTCAGTAAAATATTCGTCTTCAACTATTATATAATCTTTTGTAATATATAAATGATAGTTTTTCAAACATGGTATGAAAAAAAATAGGCTGTGTTAGTGATTACTGTGGAACATTTAAAAAAAAAAAAGATTCTGTTTTTAGAAAGAATCTGTTATTTTTGGTAAAATAGTTTCTAAAAATCGAATCTCTGGCATAATGATGCAAACAAAATCTCAAAATTGATATATTAAGAAAATAATCTTAAAAAATTAGTACTAATTAAGAAAGAAAAGTCAAAATTGTTTAGAATGCATCTCGGATCCAGTAGAGGGAAACACGTACTTGAATCTTGAAACTTGAATTAGTCTGAGAATCAAATATTATTATTTTCTTCTTAATTAAACATGAAATATATATTTTTTTAATCAAAAACAACTATTTTCAACTCATTCTCATAATTGTAATGGAGTTTTTTTATAATCGTCACCAACCACAGAGAGCCAGTTTACACAGTGAACAGAGAATCAAATGACCAAACTTCAAAGAATATGCTTTTAAAAAGTTTCAAAACAAACAAAAAAGACAATAATTATATGAAAACACCTATCATTGTTTCTGGTAAATTATATAGAAAATTCTGGATCCAATCAAAAATATATAATTCTTTTGAAAATTGTGAAGTTTTTTTACTTACCTGAATCAGTGATATCACTAGTTGGTGAATCATCTTCAACGTCTTCCACATCTCCGTTTACGTCATTTTCCGTTACTTTCTCGCCGTTAAAACAATCTTTCTTCTTCACTTCCTCTTCCTCCGCCGCCACCTCTTTCAGATCTTCCTCCTCCTCTGTTTTCTTCAGTTTCAGATCCTCCGCTTTCTTAGCCGCCACTTTCTGAAGCTCGATCGCTACTTCAGCGATGGAATGATACTTCTGCATCTGAAGAACAGGGATCCAATTCAGACGCCGGCGATGGATCGCCGCGAAAACAGCTTCATATTCCGATCCAGACACCGCTTCTTCAGTTATCCTAAGATGCGAACACATCGCGTCGATTATCGCGTTCGCCGCCGCGAATTCTCCTCTGAACCATGAGATCAACGCATCTTTACCTAATCCTTCGGAAACCACAGTTCCCGGTGGAACTTGAACCGGAACAGTCACCGCCTTCGCCGTCGTAGCGAAAGTGAAACCAGTGGCTGATCGATCTGTCTGGCGTGCTTGTGCTGCCGCAATCGTCATCGGCGTTGAACTCCGGTGAAAGATTCAGTTATTCTCTCGGGATCGATTATTCCGATCAGTCGGCGGCGGAAACAGAAAAAGGTGTGAAATGGGTTGGAAATGTGGGCCGGGTCGGGTATCGGGTCGGGTTGTTGCACATGCAAGTGTAATGAGAAGGTTTTTCTGAGGAGAGTTTGGTTCCAATTTATATTGGGGCAACCGGGAAAGGGATCCGTACAGGTGGGAGAGACTTATGGTGATGATGTGGCAATCTCTTAAAGCTGACGTGGCTAAAATTCTGGTCCCTCTTTGCCCGTTTCTTATTCCACCGAGTTTTTGAATTTTTTTTTTGACAAAAGAGTTTAATTTGGTATATAATTTGATGATTTTTATTAGGTAGATGGCAAGATTTTGCCATGTAATTGAAAAACAAATAATGATGTTTTTGATCGCCATAAAATAGTGTATTTTGTATTGTTAATTTTTTATTTAACTTTTATTATGTTATTATGTTCTTATTGAATACATGTTTTTCTAATATACAAGTATACAACATGCTATTTTAAACATGAAATCAGAAATCCTGATTTTTATGTGATTTTAAAATGTTATTAGACAGAGTTAAAACTTAAATTTTTTCAAATAAGTACAATTTTTTTAAAAAAATGTAAAAGTTATCGCACACTAGTTATGTTGTTCTTGACTTTTTGTGTTATTTATAGAAGATGGTTTATGTTGTCAAAATATGGTACACATGATAAAGAATATTATAAAATGAGACAATAATCCATATTTACGATTACTAAAATAAAAATAAATTGTAGAAAATTTGAAAAGATTTGTTTTTCTTACATTTGTCCAAAAAAAAAGTTTGTTTGTTATATTTTAGATGTAAAACATTAAAAAAAAAAAAATTGGAATAGAAAGAAATCTCTAAAACTTTTTATAAGGAAAAGACAGAATCTGATGAAATATATATATGTTTGACATTTGTTTGAAGCATTAGCGATACAATTAAGCGAAGGTTAAAGAAAGCTCATTTGTATTTAAAAATAGGGCAGTTTTTTTAAGTTCTTTCAAAAAGTTATGACATGGTCTACATTTTTGGGGTTGATGTTACGCACAATAGTTCCTTGGGACAACAAAAGGACGGCGCGGAACAAAAGAGTTATCTTGCCGTATTACATAAAATGACTTCCAATTCTGAATTATAAAAGTACTACTATCGTTTTCTTTATGTATTATCAAATGATTCCAAGTAAGATAAATCCAGTCTAATCCTTGTCATTTGTTGTGGTTAACTTTTATTAAAATTGTAGTGGAAATGATTTGAACTGTATATGGTGGTTCTAAACTTTTTAAACATAAAACGCCTATAAATTAGTTGGTACTTAAAACTTTTCAACGAATATTAATAATTAATAATGTATAAAGACTGATGTTTACCACAAATCTAAAATTTTAATGCAACATTTATGAATAACATACTTTTCTCAAATTGTTACTCCATTAAATAGAACTTTTTTCTTGTCTAAGCTATCAAAATTTTATGTGGCAGCAGATGTAATTAGATCAGATTTTTTGTTTAATATTCCCGTTCTTCCTTTCTATATAAACATTTTCCATAAAGAGAATCAACTTATATATACACCAAATTATTTTCCATTTTGTTCTCATTCTATATTTCTTTTGTTACTATATATCTATATAGTAAATTATATATATTTCTTCATTAGTGGTATAAGCAGCTAATATTTTATTCTGTTTACTACACATTTTAGTAAATTTTATACATAGAAATATAATAAATTGATTGTTTTGTGTTGTGTTTATATTTTTTAACTTTTACACCAACCAAACTCATGAGTCATGATGTCAATGTCCATGTCCATGAGGCCCGTGGAAGATGATCTAAGAGATGACGTATAAAATAATAATAATCAAATTGATTCTGTATCTCGAAGATATTAATTAGTCTAAGACCTTATACTATTGTCGTTGTTCTCATTTGACTACCTCCTTTTGTTTACAAGTCAATTCACTAATAGTTAAAAAGCTCCCTTCTACGTGATTAATTAAAACATTAAATATGATAGTTACAAAATATAAAAAAGAGAGAAGATACTCATCCGTGATTAGTTGGGTTTTGATCCAAGTGTTTTATGTGGTTGCTTGTTTTGCATGATTTTTTTTTGTTGAAAAAAGTTTCGATAAAACTTGGATATCTATCTAGCCCCTACTCCTAAATCTAAAAATATGTGAATTTCGATTTAATTAGCGTTGAAAAAAAGTGTTGACTAGAAAAACATTCAATTTTAGAATCAATTACCGGGTTGGCATTATTTCCAACAATTATTACCAGATCCGGACTGATTGTCTATACCTATCGTTTTAGGTATTTTCACCATAACGAAATGACGATTTGACCCTTCTTACTGGTCCATCATCTCTCTTTCTCTTTGACTCTACCTGATGAGCAATATCGAAGAACACACATAACAGAGATGCATATATGTGACGACGATGACGAAATCAAACAATTGTGATGCAGATTTGTGATGAAGATGACGAGATGAACAGATTCACCCACGTCGGAGATGCAGATATGTGATGATTGTGGTTGTTAAAAAACGCCGGCGATGAGAAACTTCAAAAATCAAGCCATATGAAACTTTGGAATGAGAAAATTCACTATTTTTTTAATTCTTTCCACTTGGGTTCACCCGTTACTAGTTCCTTTAGGGTTTAATTTCATCAATTGAAATCCTTCTTTTATTCTTTGTAATCGAGCAATTGAAAGCACAGATCTGAAATTATACCATCTTCTTCGATTGAATCGACAAGTTTTGCTTCATCTACTCCGATTGATGTGGCTTCTTTCTCCATGCCATAATATTCCAGATTTGAAAATTGTTTATCATTCCCTTGGGTTTACTGGTTCTCTTAGGGTTTAGTTTCCATCACAGAGGAGGAAGATGAAGATCAGACGAAGATCCACAGTCCAAATCGTGTTTGCAGCGTCGTAGAGATAAGAAGGGTAAAACTGTATTTTTCCTTAGCCCAAAAATGCTCAATATTGTAAGCCCAGGTAAATAGTTCCCAAATTGAAAGTTTCAGCACAAGAAAGCCCCAAATCAGTAATAACCCCTTGAATTTTATGGTGTGACTAATTATTATCACATATAGATAAAGAGGAAAAGGGTTAAGTAGCCTTGTCAAAAAGGTAAAGAATCAATGAATGATGGGTTAGACCAACGAAATGTAAAATTATGGGACCGGAATGAAAAGTCTACAAAAATGGTGGGGTGAGGTGAAATTTGGGCCTACATAGTCCAGATTTGTGGGTCGAAGAAACAGCTCCACCCTCTAACATCAGTAGATTCCCTTTTCCACTACCTATGGCACACACACAAAGGAGGCATGGGGTTAACTCACGAACCCTTAGTGACCCATAAAAGTGTTGCTCATTGTTTTTCATAAGAAAGTTTCTAATCATGATTCATGAAGAAATGCTCACTAGCATATTGTTAATCGGATCTTCTATATCTAGATACAGATATACTTTAAGATAGTAAAGTATCACATAAGAATCACTAAATAAGTTTGTATGTAGCTACAGAAATAATCATATTACTATCAAATTTTGGGTTTTTTTTTTGTGTGTAAGACGCTTTCTAAGCAAGACATTGTGTTTTAGTGACATTCTTTTGGGAGTATTTGTCTAAACTTATTGACTACATTGTTACCTCTCAAAATTGAATTTTTACTTTTCCATCACTTTTTATTTGTCGTCGCCAAAAAATTACTTTTATTTTTCTTGCTACTCCATTCTCTCAACATGCTTTCTATTTTAATATTTCTTGCTACTGATCAAATCTCACCCAAAACCATTTACAATCAAAATAATACAAAAAGAGAGAGTTTTAGGATTATTTGTGAATGGACATGTGAATCCAAAAGGAAAAAAAAAAATGGATGAAAGAGAACGAAACAAGAGGGATAAGTATTTAAAGTATTTGTATGCATAATGCATTACACTTACCGCACAAGTGGAAGAGAAAGTGAGAAAATAGGGTTTTTACCCTTTTTTGTAGCGTTACTCGTAACACTCAATTGGTGTAAGCTCAAGGCCAAAAGATTCATTTGTTGCGACAACGAGACCAACACGGCAACACTCAAATGAATATAAAATTGTATTACAATGGCATTTATAAGTTAAAAATATATAGTATCTTGTCATTTTCAGTAATTTTACAGAAAAAAATAAGAATAAGAGCTCCAACCAGGTTTTTTTTTTATTATTATTTTAACAAAAAAAATTTACGAATTTTTTTTAATGGTTTGTCCATTTTTCTTTGTTATACATCTTTGAATTCTTAGGCATGCATATCCTTCTGTTAGAATTCACAATGCTTTATTTTTAGGGATTATTGTTGATTTTGCCCTTTTTTATCAAAATCTTTTGAAAATGCCATTTTCATTAAAATCTTACGGATTTGCCATTTTTTTACACTTAAAAATGTACGTATTTCGGATTTTTTTGGTAAAAATACGTAGTTTATACAAAATACTAAACCCTAAGAACAACCACAACCGACTAAACCCAAACGTAACGAATAAAACGCATGTTAAATCATATTTTCGTAGCCTGAAAAAGGGCAAAATCCATAAACTATTCAAAAAAGGGCAAAATCCACAAATACCATCCAAAAAAATGGCAAATCCATAATTGATTCTTATTTTTATTGTAAACTCGGTTTTCCCCACATAAACTAGTCTCTTGAGTCTTGTCTATAAAAATTTATATTAGTTGACAAACAAAAAAAGAAGTAAATAAACGTTGCAAAACAAAATAGTTATTTTATATCCAGTAATAAATATTAGTGTGTACACCAATTAATTAAATGTACGAATCTAATTAATATTTCTTTTATTAATTAACTAGATATTAAAATTCACTTTTCATTAGGAAATAAAGTTCCTTTTCTAAGAGAATATTGTTTACATGTGTTAGACTGTAATGATGTTTTTATATTCTTCTAACTTTGATCGGGTTTTAGCTATCTAAATGGAGTAAGTCTTTTAAGAAGCTTTCTTCCCCATTAATATATTATTTCTTTATAGAAATAATTTAAACATGTCGAATATGTATGTGGATATCACATTATTCGTGT